AGCAGCAGCAGCAGCAGCAGCAGCAGCAGCAGCAGCAGCAGCAGCAGCAGCAGCAGCAGCAGCAGCAGCAGCAGCAGCAGCAGCAGCAGCAGCAGCAGCAGCAGCAGCAGCAGCAGCAGCAGCAGCAGCAGCAGCAGCAGCAGCAGCAGTAGTAGTAGTAGTAGTAGTAGTAGTAGTAGTAGCAGTAGCAGTAGCAGCAGCAGCAGCAGCAGTAGTAGTAGTAGTAGTAGTAGTAGTAGCAGCAGCAGCAGCAGCAGCAGCAGCAGCAGCAGCAGCAGCAGCAGCAGCAGCAGTAGCAGTAGCAGCAGCAGCAGCTGTTGTTGTAGCTAGCTGCTGTTGCTGTTGCAGTTGTAGTTGCTGTTGCTGTTGCTGTTGCAGCAGTAGTAGCAGCAGTTAGTAGTAGCTGTAGTAGCAGTAGTAGTGCAGTTGCTGTAGTAGTAGTTGCTGCAGCAGCAGCAGCAGCAGCAGCAGTAGCAGCAGCAGCAGCAGTAGCAGCAGCAGCAGCAGCAGTAGTAGTAGTAGTAGTAGTAGTAGTAGTAGGAAGAGGAGTAGTAGTAGTAGTATTAGTAGCAATAGCAGCAGCAGCAGCAGCAGCAGTAGTAGTAGCAGTAGCAGCAGCAGCAGCAGCAGCAGCAGCAGCAGCAGCAGCAGCAGCAGCAGCAGCAGCAGCAGCAGCAGCAGTAGCAGCAGCAGCAGCAGTAGCAGCAGCAGCAGCAGCAGCAGCAGCAGCAGCAGCAGCAGCAGCAGCAGCAGCAGCAGCAGCAGCAGCAGCAGCAGCAGCAGCAGCAGCAGCAGCAGCAGCAGCAGCAGCAGCAGCAGCAGCAGCAACAAGCAGCAGCAGCAGCAGCAGCAGCAGCAGCAGCAGCAGCAGCAGCAGCAGCAGCAGCAGCAGCAGCAATAATAGTAGTAGTAGTAGTAGTATAGTAGTAGTAGTAGTAGTAGTAGTAGTAGTAGTAGTAGTAGTAGTAGTAGTAGTAGCAGCAGCAGCAGCAGCAGTAGCAGTAGTAGTAGTAGTAGTAGTAGTAGTAGTAGTAGTAGTAGTAGTAGTAGTAGTAGTAGCAGCAGCAGCAGCAGCAGCAGCAGCAGCAGCAGCAGCAGCAGCAGTAGCAGTAGCAGTAGCAGTAGCAGTAGCAGTAGCAGTAGCAGTAGCAGTAGTAGTAGTAGTAGCAGTAGTAGTAGTAGTAGTAGTAGTAGTAGTAGTAGTAGTAGTAGTAGTAGTAATAGCAATACAAAAAGTGCAAAATCATTCTTTTTCTGCTCTTCATCATGATCAATAAATGTAAGTGTTCGCACTTGTTTTTACTCTCAGGTTACAAGTAAGTTAAGCACAAATTTATGATCGATGCAATGAAAACCTTTTTGAGTTTGTCTCCTTCTAATCTTAAGTAACGGGAAAGCTCGGTTGTTCAAATCTCTCAGAGTTGAACGCACTAATCAACCACTTCGTCTCTTTTTGATGCTGTTTTTTTTTCCTTGTTTAATTTGTTTGATCCTTTTTTCCGATAAGATCCGTCTTCTTTAGAATTAATTGATACCAAAATGATACCAAAATGAACAAGTAGCAACTTTGCCGTAGTTATCGCAGTGGGTAATTAAAATAGCGTCATTTCTTTGTGCTTCCGTTTTGGCAACTGACACGCATTTCACGCATGCCTGAAAATGCCAAAACATTGCGCTTACCTTGAAGGCTATTGAATGCGTTAAGTTGATGATTGACTTTGGAATAGTGAGAGAAAAGAAATGACTGATTTCAATATGCACGAAATCTTACCACATTTGTGACAGGGAGTGAAAAGGTAGTTAAGAAAGTACGGCTTCCACCATGTAGAACAGATGCTGTTGTTAACAAGAACATCGTAACATGAGTCGTGTATTTGGCAGCATCTAAAATACAAATTGATAAAGATATGATGGTGAATTATGAGCGATATGCAGGTTCACTGGGAAAATAAGTTCTCCTTTCGGGATGAAAGACAATTTTATGCCATTGTAAACAAACTATAAATGCTATGGGCTTTACGAATTTTTGTCATCTTGTTAGCATTGGCTGCGTGATAGTTGTAGGACAAAAAACATCGGCTTAAAATATATTTAAAGAACGAGTGAACTGTCGAAGAGAAGCACGGTGTAAGGTATCGCATGTCTATTGTAGTGTGCCCAGGGACCCCACCATTTTCTCTTTCGTCTGGCGCGGAAAAAAGCGTGGGTATATGGAAGGCAAATAAAGGGAATGGTGTTTTAGTTTGTTATAGACGTCATGTCAAATATAGCATTTAACGACTGGGTGTTGTAAAACCAAAAACGTAAGTTCATATGGTAGTCAATCGTAACAACGAAATTGTCGCATGGAGCAATTATTAATTGATTTTCAGGTGCAGACGTGTAAACTTGCTTCAGGCGAGGACAATACGAGTGACTAAGTACCGATGGGTTTCAGTTTTCCATCTGCTTTTTCAAGTCATTTTCGACCAATATCGTAGCGCGGTAAGCCAAATTTATGCAATTCCAGATTACCGCTGCAGCAAGGAAGTGAAAATTGATCTATTAAACATAACTTTTTAAAGGCTTTAACAAAAGTGAAAGCCTACGAAGCAGTTTAAGGTAACAATACCTGTCAGTGTCATCAACAGGAGTACCTGATCCGCCATATCCGCACCAACATCCATAATCGTAATAATCCCATGGACTCCGACTTGTGGCGCACCAGATCATTAATCCAAACTGATACAGGTTCCGCGCTTCAGAGGCCAAATTTTAAATAGGTTTAAAATAGTTGGCAATGCATTGACTCAATTTAAATATATTTACGTCTAAAATTATTAACTCTTTCTCGATTTCTTGAATTTTCTCCCCGTTTGGCCTCTGCTATCATTTGTTATTAGTGACTTTAATCTGTTAGAGTTAGGAAGTAGGTCCTTTTTTTCTCTTTTGATTGATAAAAAATGTATCGAAAAACATTTTCTGGTTGGAAAGCTAGCCGATTGGTTGGTATAAGGGATTCGATTAGGACTGATTTTCAATATTAATTTTTGGATGACATTCTTCGAGCCACTGTTCCCACTGAAGGTCAGTGGAAGTCCTGGGGTGCCCATCATAATTTTTTCTAAAATCTGTTCATTATAAAAGACGTAGTCCTTGTACCTGTTCGTATTTTTATTGAATACGAGTATGTATAGTCAAGGTTTCTTGAAAAGAAATTAAAAATGCACAAAATTTCATGTAAGAGAATAGACTTCATAACTCCACTTTGACAAATGTTTAAGTTTTAGAGAGAGCCTCTCAAAGGACAGATTCCTAAAGTTATTTTCATCAGTCCTGCAGTTTTCGTGAGAGGGAAGGCTTCCTATGGCGTACTGTTACTTTATAATTTGTCTTGAAAGAGGATACACAGGTTTAATTTCCGTGCTAACACATTTGTATTAATGCAGCTGCGCTTAGAACGTTTACCTACGTTTATGTCATTAATGAACTTACTTTGTTTCCTCTCGAGAGATGGTTTGTCGATTCTCTCCTAGAGGCAAGATAACCACCAAAGTGTAAATACCTACCGCCAACAACTGAACTTTGGTACTCTAATAGACTTTGGTTGTTCGACTTAGGATGTGATAATTTGATTTTGTCAACTGAGTTGATAATAAATTGGCCACCGTAAAGAGTTTCTAACGTTTCGAGCGCTAGCTTTCTGTCAGAGCGACTTATTATGTGGACTATTTGAAGATATAGAAATTACATGTACCACCAGGAAACTTTGCTATCCTCCTAACCTGAAAAACCCTTGGCATTGGGTACCCTTAGCTTTGGTAGGGGGTCTTGGTTGTACGAAATGAGCTTTTTGCTAGAGTAGGAGCGATTATAATGTGAAACATCTCGAAGCTTAAGAGAGTGAGTTTTAAACGATTTTTACGGCTTAGTACCGTATGAAATTGAGTGATATAAAGGAACCAAGCACTCATTTTTCGAACCTTGACTCACCTACCTTGAATAGAGACGGCAGGGACAGGACACATACAACACTGGAAACGATAAGAAAAATTGCAGGTGCGGCCAGTGACTTCATTTTTTCAAAAAAGTGAATTCAGTAGTTTTAAGTCAAGCAACAAAGATACAAGGAGACAAAACCTGACGAAACCTGAGACTTGGAAACGGCGGAAGACTAATGATTTAACATCGAAACTGGAAAGCAATCATTTTAAACCTCAAGAATATTTGGGCAACTATCACAACGGTTTGTTTAGATTTTACTAAGTTGGCCAATCATAATTTTTACTGAAATTGCATGGTTGTCGCCGAGTGTGAATGAATTAGCATGTTGTAAGCGTAATGTATCTGTTTGGAAGTCAATTTAGAATTCCTATTGGTTGCAAATAACGGATAACTTAATGGATGAGCCGAATATCAATAAACTTAACAGCTTTTTGACCGCGGTATGTATCAATTGACATCATCAACAGCAAATCGATACAATCAATTAATTTTTTTCAAGCTATCGAGCCAGAATTAATGTTTAGAGTACATTGACTCAATCTTCATATCCTTTCGTGCAGAGGTCGTTCTTTGGGTCTTTATTTCAAAAAACACTTTTTTTTTTCTTTTTTAAGAATGTCTAATTATTAGAGCGGACGCTGAAAGTTCTTTCTTTTTAATGCGATTGAAGCTTGGAAACGTTCTCAATATGTCCTTCAAGTTGTGCGGTTTAGTATTTCAATTTGACAATTACGTTCAAACCTAAAAGTCCCAGGGTGACTTTTAAGTAGTTTGGCTTAATTCCGGAAATCAATCAAGGTCCAAAAAATATTCACCTTGAATATCCTCGTCCTCTTCCAATTTTCAATAGTACTGTACCAGAAAATTCCTTTGAAAGCAAGTGATTAGTGGTAATCTACACAAGGCTTTCTGTCCCTTTAAAAACAAATCGTTTGTTGTGTAGTTCCCAGGCCCCTGTAAGTATCGCACCGATCTAGTTTCAATACCTCATTGTTATTGGCGCTCTAAAAGGGATGTCGACCGTTATGAAAGACTCCACGACAAAAGTTGCATTATTTAGCGACAAGAAACCTGAACCAACTAGAGGTATCTCTTCAATTAACAGGTGGCAAGTTACACTTAGTTTTTCAACAATTACCCTCGCTATTTTCAGTTGGGTGTCCAGATTCTTTTGAAAGATAACCTGATCTTCGTACATCAGTGGTCGAGTTACTACAAGAGATGATCTCAGTATAAAAGCGGGCTTTCGTTCTACGAGCTTTATTCTGCTGTGGATAATACAGTGCTGGTATCTGGATCAATAGTAGTGTTCGCAAGATACGTATAAACAATGCAAATTGAATCTTAAAGGCAAGAATAACTTGGTGAGTAGGGACATCACTACACATCTTAATCTGGGATGGGGTATAAGTACGAAGTGTGATACAAATCGGTTAAATGTAAGCGTGCAGGACATACAAAGGAACACCGTCAAGGTATTAAGAAACTCAGATTAAAATGGATGTTAGGGTTCAGTTGATGATTGTTTTAATAGAAAACAATGGTAACTGTATCTCTGAAGAACATGAAGTTGGGACTGTGGGAATCGAGAGCCTGGAAGTCCTAGCCACCATCCAGATACATGTATGGACTCTAAGGGTCACAAGCCTCCAGCGCCGGCCACACATTCACAGACACCCAATCATAAAGAAGGCAACCTTACTTCCTTACTCCGCTGTGAGGTTGTGTTGTAGTGGTGTTGAAGTTTTTACCCTTCTTCTTGGCCAGATCAAGTGGAGGGAAGGTGCTGCTGAAAAAAGGAAAGGTGAGGACTCAAGGTCTTAGTGAAAGTCACTTCTTCTTCAGTCACAAGAGAGAGCAAACGATTCTTACAAGTTGAACTTTCGTTGTACTCTAAACAAACTCTGGGATAATTTGTTTCCTTAGGTAAAATTTCCACACAGCACTATGCTATTGTAAAACAGATCTGCTTTCCCAATGGCACTGTATTGTTTTTGTCATTGTTTTCTCAATCCAAGAACTGAATGCAAAATGTAGTATGGGGCTGTGCATAAATTTTACCATTCCTTGTACTGTTTGGTTTTGGCAGGTGTTTTTCTCTCCACTTGGAGCTCTTGGGGTCACATGCATGGAACACACATTAGCTCTTAGATTTGGGTTGTAGCTATGGAAATGCTCACTGATAGTTTCTTCACATAATAATAAGAGGAATTTAATAAGAAGAAGCAGGCAGCTGTTTAGTCAATACACATCTTGACAAACACTACATGTGAGTACTATTTACAACCTTACATAATTTATTCTTCACCCTTCTACCAAGAGACATGAAAAGGACTTGGTGGAACCTTTAGCTGCCCAATTTCAATCTCTACATGTCTATAAGGTCACATAATTACATTTTGACTTTTCAAATCAATAGCTCTCATTAAGATCAAATTAGTGTAGCCCTGAATGATAAAGACACATAAGTCTGTGCACACATTAATAGTGTATATACAAGTTTATGACCTGCATCTGAGTGTATAAAATGTGTCTCTGCATCATAACACAGACAAAACAATGACAAAGTGTCCTCTTAGCTCTGTAGTACCTTCCATTAGACACTGTCTACATGCAATATTTAGCAAACAAACCATTAAGTTACAATTTATACAATTCATACCCTAGAATACACTGAATCCTAGTTACTACCATGTAAAATTCAGGAGGATATTCAAATTTATGTATTTAATTATATATTCATAATAATATATTATGATGCCTAACAAAAGACATGGAAAGAGAGTAACAAAACATTCAGCTTACTAATTCAAGTCCCTGAGTGTCCTCTTAGTCTTGGTCTCATTATTAAATTTTGAATTGACAACTCCACTGCTTCCTTTGACTCTATAATAGTGTAAACCAGCCAGTTGCTGGCAATACATAATGAACTAGACTTTGACTGGCCTACATGACACAGATATTGGCTCTATAAGTGGACAATAGAGTTAAAATAAAATGTGGCATTTAGTCCTTAAAAGAACCTCCTTGAAATAATGATAACCAGAATTTTCTGGTGCCATGAAGGAGACTGAAACTCACAGCTAACTAGTCCAAACTGACTTGCAATGTATAATTGTATTTGCTTCAACTAATTCCCTGGATTGTTAGTTCAAGCCTGTCTTGCTCTGTAATCCTTAAGGGAAGGATGATGTGACTTTGTTTTCCATTAAATGGTTACCATACCAAAATGATACCAAAATGATACCAAAATGAACAAGTAGCAACTTTGCCGTAGTTATCGCAGTGGGTAATTAAAATAGCGTCATTTCTTTGTGCTTCCGTTTTTGCAACTGACACGCATTTCACGCATGCCTGAAAAATGCCAAAACATTGCGCTTACCTTGAAGGCTATTGAATGCGTTAAGTTGATGATTGACTTTGGAATAGTGAGAGAAAAGAAATGACTGATTTCAATATGCACGAAATCTTACCACATTTGTGACAGGGAGTGAAAAGGTAGTTAAGAAAGTACGGCTTCCACCATGTAGAACAGATGCTGTTGTTAACAAGAACATCGTAACATGAGTCGTGTATTTGGCAGCATCTAAAATACAAATTGATAAAGATATGATGGTGAATTATGAGCGATATGCAGGTTCACTGGGAAAATAAGTTCTCCTTTCGGGATGAAAGACAATTTTATGCCATTGTAAACAAACTATAAATGCTATGGGCTTTACGAATTTTTGTCATCTTGTTAGCATTGGCTGCGTGATAGTTGTAGGACAAAAAACATCGGCTTAAAATATATTTAAAGAACGAGTGAACTGTCGAAGAGAAGCACGGTGTAAGGTATCGCATGTCTATTGTAGTGTGCCCAGGGACCCCACCATTTTCTCTTTCGTCTGGCGCGGAAAAAAAGCGTGGGTATATGGAAGGCAAATAAAGGGAATGGTGTTTTAGTTTGTTATAGACGTCATGTCAAATATAGCATTTAACGACTGGGTGTTGTAAAACCAAAAACGTAAGTTCATATGGTAGTCAATCGTAACAACGAAATTGTCGCATGGAGCAATTATTAATTGATTTTCAGGTGCAGACGTGTAAACTTGCTTCAGGCGAGGACAATACGAGTGACTAAGTACCGATGGGTTTCAGTTTTCCATCTGCTTTTTCAAGTCATTTTCGACCAATATCGTAGCGCGGTAAGCCAAATTTATGCAATTCCAGATTACCGCTGCAGCAAGGAAGTGAAAATTGATCTATTAAACATAACTTTTTAAAGGCTTTAACAAAAGTGAAAGCCTACGAAGCAGTTTAAGGTAACAATACCTGTCAGTGTCATCAACAGGAGTACCTGATCCGCCATATCCGCACCAACATCCATAATCGTAATAATCCCATGGACTCCGACTTGTGGCGCACCAGATCATTAATCCAAACTGATACAGGTTCCGCGCTTCAGAGGCCAAATTTTAAATAGGTTTAAAATAGTTGGCAATGCATTGACTCAATTTAAATATATTTACGTCTAAAATTATTAACTCTTTCTCGATTTCTTGAATTTTCTCCCCGTTTGGCCTCTGCTATCATTTGTTATTAGTGACTTTAATCTGTTAGAGTTAGGAAGTAGGTCCTTTTTTTCTCTTTTGATTGATAAAAAATGTATCGAAAAACATTTTCTGGTTGGAAAGCTAGCCGATTGGTTGGTATAAGGGATTCGATTAGGACTGATTTTCAATATTAATTTTTGGATGACATTCTTCGAGCCACTGTTCCCACTGAAGGTCAGTGGAAGTCCTGGGGTGCCCATCATAATTTTTTCTAAAATCTGTTCATTATAAAAGACGTAGTCCTTGTACCTGTTCGTATTTTTATTGAATACGAGTATGTATAGTCAAGGTTTCTTGAAAAGAAATTAAAAATGCACAAAATTTCATGTAAGAGAATAGACTTCATAACTCCACTTTGACAAATGTTTAAGTTTTAGAGAGAGCCTCTCAAAGGACAGATTCCTAAAGTTATTTTCATCAGTCCTGCAGTTTTCGTGAGAGGGAAGGCTTCCTATGGCGTACTGTTACTTTATAATTTGTCTTGAAAGAGGATACACAGGTTTAATTTCCGTGCTAACACATTTGTATTAATGCAGCTGCGCTTAGAACGTTTACCTACGTTTATGTCATTAATGAACTTACTTTGTTTCCTCTCGAGAGATGGTTTGTCGATTCTCTCCTAGAGGCAAGATAACCACCAAAGTGTAAATACCTACCGCCAACAACTGAACTTTGGTACTCTAATAGACTTTGGTTGTTCGACTTAGGATGTGATAATTTGATTTTGTCAACTGAGTTGATAATAAATTGGCCACCGTAAAGAGTTTCTAACGTTTCGAGCGCTAGCTTTCTGTCAGAGCGACTTATTATGTGGACTATTTGAAGATATAGAAATTACATGTACCACCAGGAAACTTTGCTATCCTCCTAACCTGAAAAACCCTTGGCATTGGGTACCCTTAGCTTTGGTAGGGGGTCTTGGTTGTACGAAATGAGCTTTTTGCTAGAGTAGGAGCGATTATAATGTGAAACATCTCGAAGCTTAAGAGAGTGAGTTTTAAACGATTTTTACGGCTTAGTACCGTATGAAATTGAGTGATATAAAGGAACCAAGCACTCATTTTTCGAACCTTGACTCACCTACCTTGAATAGAGACGGCAGGGACAGGACACATACAACACTGGAAACGATAAGAAAAATTGCAGGTGCGGCCAGTGACTTCATTTTTTCAAAAAAGTGAATTCAGTAGTTTTAAGTCAAGCAACAAAGATACAAGGAGACAAAACCTGACGAAACCTGAGACTTGGAAACGGCGGAAGACTAATGATTTAACATCGAAACTGGAAAGCAATCATTTTAAACCTCAAGAATATTTGGGCAACTATCACAACGGTTTGTTTAGATTTTACTAAGTTGGCCAATCATAATTTTTACTGAAATTGCATGGTTGTCGCCGAGTGTGAATGAATTAGCATGTTGTAAGCGTAATGTATCTGTTTGGAAGTCAATTTAGAATTCCTATTGGTTGCAAATAACGGATAACTTAATGGATGAGCCGAATATCAATAAACTTAACAGCTTTTTTTACCGCGGTATGTATCAATTGACATCATCAACAGCAAATCGATACAATCAATTAATTTTTTTCAAGCTATCGAGCCAGAATTAATGTTTAGAGTACATTGACTCAATCTTCATATCCTTTCGTGCAGAGGTCGTTCTTTGGGTCTTTATTTCAAAAAACACTTTTTTTTTCTTTTTTAAGAATGTCTAATTATTAGAGCGGACGCTGAAAGTTCTTTCTTTTTAATGCGATTGAAGCTTGGAAACGTTCTCAATATGTCCTTCAAGTTGTGCGGTTTAGTATTTCAATTTGACAATTACGTTCAAACCTAAAAGTCCCAGGGTGACTTTTAAGTAGTTTGGCTTAATTCCGGAAATCAATCAAGGTCCAAAAAATATTCACCTTGAATATCCTCGTCCTCTTCCAATTTTCAATAGTACTGTACCAGAAAATTCCTTTGAAAGCAAGTGATTAGTGGTAATCTACACAAGGCTTTCTGTCCCTTTAAAAACAAATCGTTTGTTGTGTAGTTCCCAGGCCCCTGTAAGTATCGCACCGATCTAGTTTCAATACCTCATTGTTATTGGCGCTCTAAAAGGGATGTCGACCGTTATGAAAGACTCCACGACAAAAGTTGCATTATTTAGCGACAAGAAACCTGAACCAACTAGAGGTATCTCTTCAATTAACAGGTGGCAAGTTACACTTAGTTTTTCAACAATTACCCTCGCTATTTTCAGTTGGGTGTCCAGATTCTTTTGAAAGATAACCTGATCTTCGTACATCAGTGGTCGAGTTACTACAAGAGATGATCTCAGTATAAAAGCGGGCTTTCGTTCTACGAGCTTTATTCTGCTGTGGATAATACAGTGCTGGTATCTGGATCAATAGTAGTGTTCGCAAGATACGTATAAACAATGCAAATTGAATCTTAAAGGCAAGAATAACTTGGTGAGTAGGGACATCACTACACATCTTAATCTGGGATGGGGTATAAGTACGAAGTGTGATACAAATCGGTTAAATGTAAGCGTGCAGGACATACAAAGGAACACCGTCAAGGTATTAAGAAACTCAGATTAAAATGGATGTTAGGGTTCAGTTGATGATTGTTTTAATAGAAAACAATGGTAACTGTATCTCTGAAGAACATGAAGTTGGGACTGTGGGAATCGAGAGCCTGGAAGTCCTAGCCACCATCCAGATACATGTATGGACTCTAAGGGTCACAAGCCTCCAGCGCCGGCCACACATTCACAGACACCCAATCATAAAGAAGGCAACCTTACTTCCTTACTCCGCTGTGAGGTTGTGTTGTAGTGGTGTTGAAGTTTTTACCCTTCTTCTTGGCCAGATCAAGTGGAGGGAAGGTGCTGCTGAAAAAAGGAAAGGTGAGGACTCAAGGTCTTAGTGAAAGTCACTTCTTCTTCAGTCACAAGAGAGAGCAAACGATTCTTACAAGTTGAACTTTCGTTGTACTCTAAACAAACTCTGGGATAATTTGTTTCCTTGGGTAAAATTTCCACACAGCACTATGCTATTGTAAAACAGATCTGCTTTCCCAATGGCACTGTATTGTTTTTGTCATTGTTTTCTCAATCCAAGAACTGAATGCAAAATGTAGTATGGGGCTGTGCATAAATTTTACCATTCCTTGTACTGTTTGGTTTTGGCAGGTGTTTTTCTCTCCACTTGGAGCTCTTGGGGTCACATGCATGGAACACACATTAGCTCTTAGATTTGGGTTGTAGCTATGGAAATGCTCACTGATAGTTTCTTCAAATAATAATAAGAGGAATTTAATAATAAGAAGCAGGCAGCTGTTTAGTCAATACACATCTTGACAAACACTACATGTGAGTACTATTTACAACCTTACATAATTTATTCTTCACCCTTCTACCAAGAGACATGAAAAGGACTTGGTGGAACCTTTAGCTGCCCAATTTCAATCTCTACATGTCTATAAGGTCACATAATTACATTTTGACTTTTCAAATCAATAGCTCTCATTAAGATCAAATTAGTGTAGCCCTGAATGATAAAGACACATAAGTCTGTGCACACATTAATAGTGTATATACAAGTTTATGACCTGCATCTGAGTGTATAAAATGTGTCTCTGCATCATAACACAGACAAAACAATGACAAAGTGTCCTCTTAGCTCTGTAGTACCTTCCATTAGACACTGTCTACATGCAATATTTAGCAAACAAACCATTAAGTTACAATTTATACAATTCATACCCTAGAATACACTGAATCCTAGTTACTACCATGTAAAATTCAGGAGGATATTCAAATTTATGTATTTAATTATATATTCATAATAATATATTATGATGCCTAACAAAAGACATGGAAAGAGAGTAACAAAACATTCAGCTTACTAATTCAAGTCCCTGAGTGTCCTCTTAGTCTTGGTCTCATTATTAAATTTTGAATTGACAACTCCACTGCTTCCTTTGACTCTATAATAGTGTAAACCAGCCAGTTGCTGGCAATACATGATCAACTAGACTTTGACTGGCCTACATGACACAGATATTGGCTCTATAAGTGGACAATAGAGTTAAAATAAAATGTGGCATTTAGTCCTTAAAAGAACCTCCTTGAAATAATGATAACCAGAATTTTCTGGTGCCATGAAGGAGACTGAAACTCACAGCTAACTAGTCCAAACTGACTTGCAATGTATAATTGTATTTGCTTCAACTAATTCCCTGGATTGTTAGTTCAAGCCTGTCTTGCTCTGTAATCCTTAAGGGAAGGATGATGTGACTTTGTTTTCCATTAAATGGTTCTACTGGAAAAGGAAAAATTTGCTGATACAATTAGAAAATAATCAGCTTCAGTGAATTTAAAGTCATATCACTGCACCTCAATACACAGCTTAATATGTTACAGTGGAGCAAAGGTACATGTATTTCAAAATTCCTCAATTAACCTTTTAACTCCCAGATCAAATTTGTAATTCTTCTTAATGTCAACAATACAACACTTATGTTAGTGTCGAGAATTTATTATTGGATCAACTAATTATCCCCAAATTGATATTTTTCTTTATTCTCATCACTTATCTAGTCGATATTGTACTGAAATTGTATCAGAGAAATTCTGTCTTGGTCACTCACGGGAGTTAAAGGGTTAAACCAACCTGTCTACTCAACAGTGTTTGATAGTTCTTGATTTGTACAAGCATTAACTGACAAATGTTCATGATTCATGTTTGAAGGATCTGAATCCTGTGGTTTAGACTGATGCTGCTTCTGTCTTGACTCATCCTTGGGATTCTGCCCACCAGTCATGCCTGTAAGGCTGCCACAGAGTTGTGGTGAAAAGGGAAAACCAGGGAAATAAGGGAAATGAGGATACCCCATTCTCATTTGGTTGAATGCACCAAGATATCCATTTGGTACTGGGTTCAAACGTCCATTTGTATCAGGAAATGGAGGCAAAGGAATGCTCACATGGAGAACTACAGGGATGAAGTGGGTGCCAGATGGATGTAGAGCATAGGTAGGTAGAGTGTAGGGGTTAGGTATGTAAGGGGTCCTAGGTGAAATGGGAGTGGCTTGAATCAGGCCATCAAGACCATGACTTGGCCATTTCCAGTTCAAACCTACACCACAAGGTACATAACCACCAGCATCACAGTTTGCCTTGTCATAATTGTTCCCACTTTCACTTTTGAAATTGTTTGGGATTGATTCTTTTTCTTTTGATGACACACTGCTGTTGCCTCTGGAGTTTGCTGAATTGCTTCCATTTTCATCCCAAGTACAGTTTGCATCCATGGTAACTTTCCTTTTCTCTTTGTTTGAGCTGCTACTCACTGTGCCTAATGAAAACCTGCTTCCACGACCATCACTACATGAATTCTTATCGGAATCTCGATGTGTCCGTTTAGAAGCAGGCTCTCCACTGGAGGATTTGTCTTGGCTGCTAGGATTTTCACTGTTCTCATGGGTTCTTTTGCACTGCCACAAATCAAGAACTGCCTTTGAATACTTGTCTTTATGGCTATCATCAGAGCCAACCAAGTCTACTTGCTTACACAAAACCTGCAGCTCAATCTGCAAGTGGCGCATAAGTCTTTGAAAACAAGGCTGCTCAATGTCCATAGCTTCCACATTGGTAAGACAACGAAACACCTCCTTGACACAATCGCTGAAACCCTTGAAGTACTTGGAATTTATGTCTACCTGTGCGGTAGATGGTTGGCTCTCTTGTGGTTCAGTAGCATTTTGGTTTTCTAAAAGAAATATTTATAGACCAATTGATAGGTTTAGAGCTGTAAATATCATTGGTATCATACTTGAACAAAGTTGACAAGTATTTCTTTTCATCAAAAAAAACAAACATAATGCTATATTTAGAGAAAAACCATTTACATTTGCCATTATTTCTCCTACCCACCAAGATATCATTTATATAAAAAACATTTAGATGGACCCAAGAGTGTCTAAGTATAAATGCATCATGGAGCTAATCAGGAGAATCATCTTTAGAATTCAAAGTTTTTGTCTTGTACTGACCATTTATGGCTGCAAAAGTTGACTCACCTTTTGCCTCTAAACTCTCAGTCTCACAGTCTGCCTTTACATCTTCAGTAAGGTCTTGAAGTGTTTTTATGTAACTTATGGTCTTTTCCAGAATTTCAGCTTTCTCCAGCTTGAAAGTAATGTGCATAAGGGATAAAAATCACACAAGAATCAAAGCTGTGTGTTGTTTACACATCATCAATGTATTTCAATAACTTTAAGATGCCTTAATGAAAAATTACTTTGGCATGGCCTTTATGATGGTGCTAGTGTCATACTTTACTGGTATCATGCTTAAAAATCAAGAGAATGGCCTGACCATCTAATATTGGAGTATTGAAAGACCATAGTCCAATGTAGTTCCAACCCTATTACAGGGTTAAAAATTTCAGACTAAATCCACTTAGGAAATGTACAATATCAAAATGGTGATTAAAGCGCAGCAGTGACTTTCCTGATGTATCAGTTTGAGTGTAACCCGTTGACCTGTCCCTTAGGATCAGCACCAGAGTACGATAAACAGCTTACTGTAGTAGTATGATCAGAAGTCGTTCGCAAGGTACCTGGTACACATAGATCGCCACTGATGGCTACTTCACAAATAATGATATTTAAAACTAAAGCTAAGACGACTGAATTAAAAATATTTTGATACATGGATAGCTGATTAGCACCATAAACCTAGCGGTACACGCATGTTAGTATAAATAAACAAGAATGAATAAATACAGTTTAAAATGGCAACTAAAAAAGTTAAAATACCTGTTTTGAGACGGACGAGGATGGCAACAACTGCGCAATTTCTGAAATACTGATATTCATTCGGTCCCTTCGTCTTTTTTCAGCAAGTCTATGAGAATATTCCATCTGAGGGACAACAAAAACAGAACATTTTGCTCTAAATTTTCTTTTTCAATGGGGAATGTTTTAATTCGAAAGTACGAATTGTTTCAAAGGATAGAAGGACTAGTTACAGAAGGATCACCAACATTTAAATAAAATAAATCATAGGCTCAGTATCCGAGGATATTACATTGAACATGTTTTGACAAGATGTTGATGTTGAAATATTTCGATACGTCTACAAAAATAACACAACCGTTATATTAAAGAAACAATTCACCTGTCTTATGTAGAACACACAAAAGCTTCATTCAGTTTGGTGCCAACAATTTAATGAAGTGTCCACCGTTTGCGGTACATGTATAGGAAACTACTCTAGCGCCGTGGTTACGCGTAAAGTGTGCGACAAACCGAACATGTAGTGGGTCGTAAGCACAATATCAAGGCATAATTCTGATATAATCTCGAGAATTTGACACAAACACCTTTACTAATTCTTATAATATCGAAAATCCACTCGAAAGAAAAAAATAAATACCTACTTTTTGTCCCTTTAATTTGGTTGTGCATGGAGACACGGATGAAGTTCGACATATTCTTTCGCCCTCGATCTCTGTAGTCGTTGATTCCGCCATAATGTTCACATGCCGCTCACAATAAAAGTGTTCTATCAGGAATTCTTACCGTTAAATTCTTTTAGCTACCTATTGCAAGATGGAAAAATTACCAGAGAGAACACAAGGCAAAGGCGCCTACCTCCAACTATGGATTTCACTGACGAATATTTCCGCGTGAAGAAGTCTGAGAGCGGCACGTGCCAACCAGTATTATATAACACAAAGCATGCACGTGCAGGTGTGACATAACCGAAAAAATTTCTCTGAGAGCCTAGTTCCAAACATTTACACAAAAATAGCTCGCTTGCAGTTCCACGAAATGTCTTAGGCATCTTAAAACTTTACTAGTAGAAAAATAATACTTGCTCTGATGTAAAGTGAAAATTTGGAGGGCGATAGTCAACATCCGTTTCCGGTTAGCGTGACTGAGGAGGGTGACTGAGAACGCTCCGTTGCATAACGACCAGAATAATACTAAGCTTTACCGCTGTCTTTTCTACGGCTTGTTCTCTCTGAAGGGCGAACATCTTAAAGAGTTAAGACACTGAAAAAATCTCCAATAGAGAAAGAAAGAAGAGTAGCCACTATTTCATTTATATTTGGAAGATTTTCTTGCATATTTCTCTTTTTCCGAAACACGCTCCGAATGCGACCTTTGATGGTTGACCCGATTTATTTTATCCCGTTGCATCACAAGCAGCCCAAGTTCACGTCTCGAGAAAAAGCAAATGATTAATTCATGAAAGCGTCACGCGTTGTGTGACTCGGTATTCTGCCGTGTTAAGCTTGTTTTATCATCACCGTTATTCCTTCGTCCTATGACAGGAATAACAGTGTGCGTAAGTTCTATTGATTTTACGTGTATAATGTTCATATTTCGAAATATTTATCGTTGTAAAGCGACCATATTTCGTTCCCCGTACTATTCCTTACAGCGTGTTTGATTTTGTAACTTTACAAAGAGTCACACAACGCGTGACGCTTTCATGAATTAATCGTTTGCTATTTCTCGAGAAGTGAGCTTATGTCGCTGGGGAAGACGGACGTGATACTACTTGTCATGGTCTTCTACAGGAATGTGCCGTCCGACTGGGGATACTTTTTTTCTGGATTTGACTCTAGACTAGTATATGGAAGGGAAAAGGTTAGGGATCATGTTTACTTTAGGTAATCGCGACCGATATAGCGGTCGATATATCGGTCGAGGGTCAGTCGATACTCGACCGATATATCGGTCGACAGTCAGTTGACAGATTAGCTTAATTAAAAGAGTTGAGTTGTTTTAAAAGAGCAGAACAACCGGATTATGACTTTCATTCAGAACTGCAAGCAGAACATCCCTGTGTACCGTGAATTTTGCTGAGTATCCACCGATCCACAGCGGTTTTTAATCGCAGACATTTTCCACAAATCGAAGCAGCTACTGGTTGAGCTCCATAAAAGATAAATGGGGACGTCATTTCAGACGAAAAAGGGGGGGGGGGTTAACAACGGCGGTTCCAGACCTTGAGCTGAGTAGGGAGGGGCGGGTCCGGTTTTTTGTCACTTGCCCTGCCGGCTTTTCTTCCTTCTGCGACTCTATTGCCAAAAGGTCTGGATAGAAGCAGATGTGGAACGAATTAATAAAATGAACGATGCTTTTTAAAAACATGTTTCGACAGTTCTTCTGTCATCTTCAGTTCTGAATAATACAAAGTACAAAGTTGCATTTTAAGTGTGTAACAAAATACTGATTGGACAAAACAAACAATCGCAACAGAACAATGCATGCATTTGCAAGGAAAGTTTTGAATTAATATAATAAAGTTGATGATTAAGTGTAGGTTACTCCCATTGAATGTGAATAGCTTCTTTGATTTCAAGTTGAAAAGTTGCGGAAGCTTGATCTAAGATGTTAAAACACTCGTCAGAACAAAGAGTGCGACATTGTGGAGAATTATCTAGATGTCTGAAAATGTGAGAGGTCCTATCACTGACCAAGTGCGTACATGAGCACCTGAGTAACGCACTGACTTCTTACAATTTGACATTTATGGGTGCATAACGTTCAGAGCACGTGGCAGATAAAGTTCAAGGTGCTTTTTGGCACGCATTGTTTATGTTGCGAAATGTAGACCATTCGTGCTCCGATCGTTTCCTGATGGTGTCAATAAATTTCAAGGCTTTTTAAAGATAAAAATCTCGAAGAAAACACCAAATACAGTCTAAAGCAAGAAAGACGAATCAAAGCTAACTCTCAGCCGCGTCAAAGCAAAAAAAACATAACAGCTCCCAAGGGAGGATAACTTCATTCTTGATAATCCTAACGGAACTGTGCCTAAGATGGATCAATATTAGTTGCCTTTAAAATAACTACAGAAACGGAAAAGGAAAAAAAAACGGTCTGGACCAAAAGTCCTATTGACCACTAGCCATTTTTTGACTAATCTTTTGGACCCTTTTTCAGACCATTCTCTAAATCTAATTTTATCGATTATAAGTGCTTGGAAGGGGTGGTTAAGAACATTTTTCAAATAAAGTTGGAGTAGGTGGAAACGAATACTTTTGTATCAGTGCAATAAATGCTCCTGTTTGATGGAAATTGTACTGGTGCCTACACAATCTTAAGAGCTTTTTTTTTTTCGACCCTTTTTTGTTTTGAAAGGACGTTTGCATCTATATTTAGCATGCAAATTGCAAAACAGGCCTCGTAACGTTGATAAGATTGCTAGTGGAAGATATCGAACATTATCAGATAAGATAAGACTCTCTAAGGTTTTCTTTTTTAATTCATTGAATAATCACTTGATGTCTCGGGCATTGCATTTTTAACATTTTTCTTGTGGATGATCTTTGTAAGCATCATTGAACGTAGCACTCTTGAAACACTGGACAGCCTCACTGTCACACTCACACAAAGCGTTCCGACACTTGCCGTAAAACCAGTAGTAACTAGCAGGCTCTGATGAGAGAGAGCAGCATAGTTCAACGATCAGTAATGTCTTATCCCTTCACCTCGACAACCAAATTTTCGCATCAAACCACGAGTCGATGTACGAGTAAATCTGATTTATGTTGTTATTACACAACAATATGAACAAATAATGATTTTCAAGGGGGCAGTGACGGTGTCCGTAATATTTTTGTGAACTTGTGATTCGCCACTTACAGTTCAAGTTTTGAATTATCTTCGCTTGTTTTTCCCAAAAATAGTGACTTTAGCATGACATGAAACCAATTTGATTGATTAGGTTTTGTACATCTAGCTGTGAATCTATCAATTACAACCCATTTATTTTGCTTTACTAGTTTTGCTAAGCACAGGTTGCTAAAGAAAAATCTTAGCAAACCGTGCTTTCGAGAGGCCGGTTTTGAGCTGCAGTAAGGTAATAGCTAAGTTGACGCAGAATGAAGACGATTCATTACCAGTCATTGATGAAAGGAGTTTGTTCCCTTTTCGTGTTCTTAGCCTAGTCGGTTCTTCGAGGTACGACCGGGGCTAAAACCCTAGCCCAGCCTATTAGCTGCGTTTAAGGTAATAGGAACTGAAGTGTTTCGTAGGGTTAAATGTCCTAATATTCCAGCAACACGTTATCTTCTGTCCAGGTACACCCTTGAACTGGACAAACTAATCTTGAGGCTTGCCTCTGTTTGGTTTAAAGAGGAAGTCGTCTTAAAATCTAAATTACTTCTGCACATGGTCAGTGCTATCTTCAACCATACCAACTTGTATTGAACTTTTTGCTGTACAGTTAAAAACGTAACATCTTACCGCATCCAAGACAACCTCTCCTACTGTAGGGCATGACATAAATTGCCACATCGAACGGGCAACTGCCTGAGTCCTGCACTGCATTGTAGCAGGCATCGTGTATTTGGCAACACCTGGCGACAAAGCAAGACTGTTAACTCTTTGACTCGTGTGAATAACTGCTGCATCAAACATTAACGTCGTGAGAGCAGAAATGACAATAGAGGAAATAATCACGAACTTCTGACTTTTCCTTTGAAACGAAACAGTTAAAACTTCTTTTTTCCATAGGATATTAGGAACCGAATATTCAAAGCAAGGACAAGCTGTCCCGGTTCATAGGCAAACGTCAGCCATGTAGCCGAGATATAGAATTATTCAAGAAATATGGCAAGTTTTACTTCAGTTACTGAGTTAAGCGTACATCTTGGAAAATTTCTTGCCTGTTTAACGGAGTTCACGGTCGCAAACCTGGTGCAGGCTGCCTTCTCATTAAACAGAATCGGAAATAATACTTACAAAGGAAAGTTTGCTTCCCTGGTGTTATCAAAGCTTCAAACAGTTGCCTAAATAGTTTTTGATACCCAGGCCCGCTTTGAAATAATTTGATTACTTTGACTTTGTCTTTAATTTGATCATGATGGTCTCTTCTTTCTGATCCTGTCTTAAAGTTTTAGCCCGCAAATGCAGCATCGTATGATCGGCCAGGCACCGACAAGAGGCATAATTTGCAAATTGCGTTGTGTGTTGAGGCAATCGATTTTTTCATTTTACCACTTACCTGTCTACATCATCAACTGGTGTTCCCTCTCCGCCGAGTCCGCAGTAGCATCCGTAACCATTGTAGTCGAGGGGGTTTCTATTGACTCCGCACAATATCATCAGACCGAATCCCAAAATACTTCTAGAGTTGGGGGATGTTATGGGGGAATCAGCACTTTCTACTCAAAAAAGAAAGAGATTGCCCTTTAACAAGTAATCATGATCTAGCAGGAAATAGAGAAAGATCTTACCTTCTCGGGTCGGAAATCGAAGCTATCATTTCTTTTAAGTACTGTCTACATAAATCTTGCTAAATGAAATCAAGGCATATCTTTCCTCATCCTCTGCTGTCGTTAAAACGAGAAGTTGAACCTTACTAAGGACGCATTTAAGATTTGTGGAAAACCATGTGATTCAAAGGTTTGGTGCAATTGCTCATCTAAATGCTTTTAGCTGATGGCACAGTTAGTGACTAGGGCATATTTTATTGCTCTAGATTTAACAGGGGGAAGAAAGAAGAAATATGTTGTTGCGACTGTATCTTGGAAAAGTTGGTCGGCAATGTCTACACATGACAAATTACAATGATATTATATTTATGATAGGTATAAAACCTTTAAGTGCCAAGATCTCTTCTTTGTCCTGTTGAAAATAAAGAAGTCAGTACATCAGTAGGGGAATAATTACCGTTAGTTACTCTTCAAGCTCAGTGAAATGCTGTTTAAATGGTTATCTTACCCTTTACTCCGTCTAAAGCAGGAGAGTCTTTTCACTCTCATGTGCAAATAGTGTTGGGGTAGGAGCCGAAGTAGTATCATTCTGAATAACAGCTCCATTAGTAAAGCCGGAGACACGAACTCTGGCTGATTACGCACCCATCTAGTCTTGAAATTCACGTTACAAACCGTGCACAAGGACCGTTTGATACAGCTTCAAATTACAAATACTATTGAACTAGTCTCAAGACCCTGATTAAAAAACAAACGTAGCTTTTTGATAGGCATTGCTCCTAACACCATTTAGGTTTCCAGTCTTTTCTTAGCGCTCAGTGTTCAGTTTCACCTAAACGCCTCTTATTCCTTGAGGAATCAAATATCGATATCGATGTAGGAAGAATACTAATCAAAACCTTTCACTTCCTATAGTAAGTAAGTAAGTAAAGACTTTATTTTATGAGGGTTAGCACGAAATAACCGGAGCTAATAAACGTGTGGCCCTCCTATAATTATGGTGCTTTAATACTTATGTAAAGGTTCCCTACGAAGTAAGAACGCTTTTTCAAGAAAATACTTCATTCAATGTTTTTTCTCATACTTAGACATAAGTTCTTCGACTTGCAAAAAATACTTCTTTTTTTACCATTAAAAGTGTGCCGTACCTGAACGAGAGGACTTGCAGCCATTGTCATTTGAAAAATGGCGAAGCAGTGAAGAAAGAAAACTAATCGCTTCATTTTCTAACTCTTTTTCTGTGGAATCGCGAGAACGCTTGTTTGATTTTTAAAATCTAGGACACTTTTTCACTAAATTCGCGTTACTTTTATATGTTATTCTTTTTACGAATGCGTGATCTGGGATGGAAATTCAAATTTTCAGGTGGTTGATTTCTATGGAAAAACAAACAAGAAACACCGTGCCTTTACTTGAGGAGGCCGTATTTTAGAGGGGACTTTCCGCCAAAATTAAATACTTTAGAAGTTTAAGTGGCCTGAAAATTGTTTGCTAGCTTTTAGATTCAATTTTTCGTCTTCTCAACGTGAACGCGCACACAGCTCTCTTCGTTTCCTCACATAGTCCCATATGAAAACAACATAAAGTTCCTTCTTAACCTTACTACAAAAGTGAATCAAACATCTTAACGTGGTAATAACAGTTTCAAACCCATAACACACATTTTTTAAATGAAATTACGAAGCAGATTAAAGATGTTTTAGCGTAAGACACATAAAAGAAAGCACAGAGGGTGAAAAACAGTAGATTTGGTTCAGTTAACTTTGAAAAACGTTACATGTTTTGTTTGTAATGTTATGATTTATTCACTTTTTTAATGGCAATAATAATGGTGCTCTTTTACAGCAAACATAATCATATTTTTGTTGATAAGGAACTCAAGTGTCTTTTACTTTCAGCCACGTATTTCCACTGATGACTTCTCATTGGCACTTTGTAATGAGTATTTGATGAGTAAAATATACTGAAACACAAATGTTTCCTTTAAGTTCTTACAATTTTGCCATCCATTATTTGGGACCCTCAAGGTGTTCGCACGGAATTATCACGAATATTCATGACTGCTAGTCGTATACTTAAATGAAATCTACTTCTCGTTGGTGGTTCACATTATTCAGATCCTTATTGATTAAAGGCTGGCCGGTCAGCTACGATTTTCAACTGTTTCTTTTATCAAGCTACTGAATATAACCCTCTCAATAAAATTTTTCAATCCTATCAGTTGAAAATGCGCCCTTTGGGGTAAAGAGACCGGTCCTAGCTTCGCCACAAATGAAGCCGAAGCATCATTTTTTAAAAATTTGTTTTTTTATCATTACAAATATCTCTATTGAGATTTGCTTCATGGTTTACCGCTTCATTAAGGTAAAGCGGATCGATGAACTTTCCTTGAAACATTTCAAGGCTATTTTCGATAGAAAAAGAGGCTGAAAGAGTGAGTCCTCAACTTTTTTCTCCTTATAATACTATACTAGAGTTATGCAAACGACAAGAAATCCGATTATCGCGAACGTCACGGGTTATCGACAATTTCTGCACGAAATTTGAATTCTCCAGCTGTCATTTCGCTCGCGTTATGGACGATGAAGGGTATAAGTTATCTGCTCTCTTAAGGTCACTTAGACTTGTAATCTTCAAACTCTTGTAGAGTTTATCAATCTACGCAGTGATAGCTTCATTATTTGTTATTTCAATATCACGTCAATGAATCAGCTGGAGCAGATGATCGTTTCACACCCCAGATATTTTGTTAACCCTTAAGGCTGTGACAGTGTCAGGTGATTAAAACACGCGATACAGATTACTAAATCAAATAAGATATTAGAGAAATAAACAGAGGTGCTCAACTTAGCCATATTTCACTAGAAGAAACTCTGGTATCAAAAAGGAGAAGGTGGGAACAGCCAACACAATGCAGGGTATAATCTTGCTAACGATGGTAGTTTTATCTTCTACGTTCTCTCTCCCATCTCGCAAGGTAGGTAGTTAAAAGGGATGTGGTTTTTACGGTCCACTGTTGTAACGACTTACGGATTTCAATTTTTTCGCCTAACGACTGAATTTTTGGGCCGTTTTACGGCTAACGGTTGACCTCATTCAGACCCTAAGTTATTGCAAAGGTAATTTCGTATATTTTCGAAAATTATCTCCGATTATAACCCCGCTACAAAGCGAGCTCGCAAGAATAGAGCAACATAAGAAGAAACGAAACACCCAAAAGAAATAAGAGTAAAAGGATGCATCGATATGACTGATTTAAAGAACTGTACGTTGCAAAGTTAACACTAAATCTTTCACTTGACGCGAACTTTAACAAAGTTTCTTTAAAGAAAGTGAAGGTTTGTGCATTCTGTAAAATAAAGAGAGCTCTTTTCTATAGATATAGTTCCTTTTATAGGGAAAACTCAGGAGTTAATTTATCTAGATATGCGTGGATTTGTGGAGACCACGTCTTTAGGTCGTGTCTTATTTTTCGGGTTATTACAGGATGAACCACAACAAGACTTCGAGCAGAAAATAATTAGTTCAGGTGAGGTAAAAGTAATGTATGGCTTGTGCAAGTTATGATAAAGCTTCTTCTTCACTCCCTACAATCTCCCTTTTAGCAAAGGCTAAGTTCTTGCGCGAGATTCCATACTCTCTTATTGGCGAATTTTGTCCCTTATAATTTCAAACTGAAATTAAACCAGAAGGCTTTGGGTTGATGAATCGCGGGCTGAGATTTTTAAAACCCAACTAACACATGTAATTACACTCCGATCCGAATGATTGACGTGTACATGTGAAAAAGTCTTACTTTTAAATTCTCTTTAGTGAGACATTTAGCTGTTTAATTTAGGGACTTGAATAACCGAGGAAGGCCTCTTAAATTGATCAATCTGTGGCATGGTTTTTGGGAAACAAAAAGAACTTTTGTGGCCATTCGGATAAGTAGGAAGGGGGAATGGATGTTTTTTTTTTCTGTATATGTTAAGAGGGAGCCATATTCTCATGTCTAATGTAGCTCTATGAGGTCGAGTGCGTGTTCCCATAACCTGATTTCCCCGCTTCCCTAAAAAAATTAAGTTATAACAACTTAGCTCTGATTCTTCCTCGCACATTGAATTTTGTCATTTACAGAAGACTTTACCCGTACGCAGAGGAACCTTGTGCAGTTTCACAACATGATTAAGTGTACCACGTCACGAAGTTCTTTGTATTACGTCGACTATGGCTGTTATTGCGGTTATGGAGGAACAGGAAATCCATTAGATGCTACTGATAGGTAGGCGCAGTCATATCAAACACCAGTTCATCTGTAAAGGATCACTTGTTTATGTACTGCAGAAGACACCTTCTTACCCACATGAGACTTCATCCCGAGCCACAGCTCTGAGATAAATTTTTGCCACTGCAGCATCCCCGCTTTCTTGTTCTAAAGCGAAATAGATGGGCGTTCCTTTATTTCCCTTCTAGGAAGGAAACGGATTTGATTATAGCAAAGTGCTTGTGATAAGGTAGAGTTCCCCTTAAGTAGGAAATCTTGGAAAATTTCTTTAGAAAGCCATCAGCACCATTTCTGGTTTCAAGAACCACAACAATCTGATAGAGGTAGTAAATGACGGTAGTTATAAAATTCTCCAATTTCAGATGCTGTCAAGTTCATGATGAATGTTACGGTCGTATAATGAAAGATCCAGACTTGTGCACGTTCTCTTCGTCTGTTTATTGGAAAATATACAGTAGAGATGACACCTGTACTGGTTGTGGTAAGTCCAGATAAATTCAGCACTTTTTTATTTACTTATGAGTCTTTCTAACTCTTGGGAACTTTCGTTTATTTCATTGCGGTACCCGATAGCAGTTCACTTGATAGATGTCACTGGGCAAAAATTGTGCGAATTTTGTTTAAAAGATGGGAATTGAAGCAATACCAATATTTTGTACCTTTGTAATTTTGCGCAATCAAATTGAAAGAATCAGTGTAATAAAATGCACACTGGTTTTCTATTTTCCTATCTAATTTGAAATTATAGGAATGCTATATCGCTGATACGCATTTGTAAACTATACAAAGATGTCCCGATGATCAGTCTTCTTCTCAACGTACTCTTTACTTGAAAAAAAAGCAGAATGTTTGTAATTTTATTATCTTTTATTTGTTCGAAGATTTAAATAGACACAACAATTAAAACTAATATTGCTATTACTAACACGTATGGTTCTTATTTGACGAAACTCATGCAGTTGATGAAGAGGGTTCATGTGAGCGAGCCATTTGTGAATGTGACGGAGCAGCAGCCAGGTGTTTTGCCGAGTCGGAATGGAATGAAGAGCATTATAACTATCCATCCGAACACTGCTGACGCACAGAATTGAAAATACACCAGCAACAACAGTTAAGAATCGGGAGAAAGAGAGAGAAAAAGGAACAAACTTCTTATGATTTAGCTTGACATATTACACACAAAATTGTATGAGAGCCTGTAATGACAATTAAAGTCGAGGGAAAACACAAAACTGAGTCTGACTTAACTCTAATTTTGTATGTAAAAGGGATGTTAAGATCAGATTCTAGTAAGACGTACATTGTACAAGGAAAAAGTACAGCTTCTCCCGACTCGTATTTAGTCGAAGGTCAGGCAGAGGATGTTATTCCTCATATTATTACCAAATATCAGAATAAAGTGAAGTTCATGAAGAGCATTTCCTTTACTATTCACCGTAATGTTACCGTGGATTAGCAATCTGGAGCCCATGGAACTGCACAATCCTCTTTGATTGACAAGAATGTTATGAGGCACAAAAGCTCAAATCAGTACACAAAGAAGTACCTTTTTTCTCAGTTAATTTAGTCCCCAATACACAACAAATAAGACGGTAGCGTACACCAAATAAGTTTATCTGGGGAAGCCTGCCGAGAACCAACCCGAGGCATACATAGCCCGAGGCATGCGTACATACATACATTCGCAACTGATATACCATATACAATCCTGATATACAGTCAATTCCTTACACATTCAAAAATAGGTATACATTACTAACATGCAAACTTCACCAAGTCGGGATTAACAGAGATGGGCAACCGCCTACAAGGACATTACTACGGTTATGTACAATCTTGATACACAGTCAACTCCTTACATATTCAAAAATAGGTATACATTACTAACATGCAAACTTCACCAAGTCGGGATTAACAGAGATGGGCAACCACCTACAAGGACATTACTACGGTTATATACAATCCTGATATGCAGTCAACTCCTTACACATTCAAAAATAGGTATACATTACTAACATGCAAACTTAACCAAGTCGGGATTAACAGAAATGAGTAACCGCTTACATGGACATTACTACGGTTATACGGAGGCCAGAAAAAACCTGCCAGAAAAAACCCCTTTGGGGAAAAAACATGACAGGAAATCTTGGTAAGAACCATGCCCCAAACTCAGAGCAGTTGGCAGCCCGTACTACGAGGCTTCACAGTTAAAGAAAATATGTTGTCAATGCCTCGTCGATATTCAACGCCACAGAATTTCGAACGTTTTCACCGTTACGCTCAACGACGATTTCATATTTCAAACTCAGGATTTGCGTCTTCACGATGACAACATCACAAACGTTTCTTATTTAGCTACATCCTGTAGCCGCGTCGGTGGTATAGTGGTGAGCATAGCTGCCTTCCAAGCAGTTGACCCGGGTTCGATTCCCGGCCGACGCAATGAGGCTAATTCAACTGTTCTTAAAATGCTTCATGAACGGCTAACTAATCTATTTTTACTGGTTTATTATTTCTATTGGTTGTTCCTTATGATCTAATGAAGGACAGAAGTTTTGATGACATCACCTTAAAATTTGTTTTTTCATCTCTTAAAATAAGTACATTCCATTTCAGCGCGTTGCTGATCAATACACTACTTGTTCACAGAAGACGTCAAAATATGGTGGAATATTCTGACACACTTGGCTACCCTTTGTGTGCCAGTTTTTCTTCCAATCACATTTTGTCGTTATCTCCGTTGATCTATTCCTGAACAGGCGCACGGCAACATGGAATCTGCTTACTGTGTGAATTCAATTGTGGCATCAATAACAAAGAAATGAAAAATGAGACAGAGAAGCTGAGTTTTAATTTCGTTAGGAAATGAAAAAGACTACGTCAAGTGATTGGAAACCTTAATCGGTAACCTTGCATTAGAAGCTGGCGTTTTTCAAAATTGTCGAATTTGTTTCATTTCATAGGACCAAAAAGAAAACTCCTGGCTCCTGTTACTGCAGTTGAACCTCGGTAATTCGAATTGCCAAGGGAAATTGAAATACTTCGAGTTATCAGGGTTTCGAGTTATAGGGGTTTTAAACAAAAAGACCACAAACACTTGATTAAAGAGGTTTTGTGTTTATACATGTTTTATTTTAAGATCTCTAGCATAAAAGCGACAAAACAAAAGCATGAAAACTACGAGTAAACTGATGAGATTAAATGTAATCTTCGGTGCAAGATGTTATGGCTCATTGGTCCCCAAAAAGTGAAAATCTACTTCGAATTATCGAGGCTAAAATTACAAAGAAAAGTACCTAAAGGGAAGTAAAAAATCGCTTCGAGTTAACGGGGTTTCGAGCTATAGAGGTTAAAATTATAGTAAATGTATGGGGCAAATCAAAGGGACATCATTTTTGCTTGGAGTTTGTGGGGAATTCGAGTTACCGAGGGTTCGAGTGATCGGGGTTCAACTGTATATGAATTCCTTTTATAAGAACATATGCAGCTTCCAGGTTTTACCGTCCACTCCATTCTGTTCAACTCTGTTGTTGCAATTGCTGGTTAAAATGTAAAAGGACAAGGTCCCACCGAGACTTGAACTCGGATCGCTGGATTCAGAGTCCAGAGTGCTAACCATTACACCATGGGACCTATCAGACAGTATTAGTTGGAGCTAAGAGAGAGAATTATAAGGTGAATTCAAATGAAAATTTTCTAACTTCGATTCTGACTTTAACTTCAGAAAAGAAGCAGAAACGGAATAAGAAAAATATCAAGTCAAGCTAAATGTTGTCTTAATATGGCACAGAACTGAACAAAGTTTTTTAATGATCAAGGGTTTAAGTTCTGTAGCTGTTATTCTGGCTCGTCGGTCGTTGCAGCTTAAGTGCAGATCATTTACTCCTGACGTTTCCTCTGTTTTGAAATTCTACATTTCATTCTGAAGATCAGATTCTAGTAAGACGTAAATTGTACAAGGGAAAAGTACAGCTTCGCTCGAATCGTATTTAATCGAAGGAGAGAGAGGTTTATACTCCGTCTCTAGATTGATTTTGCATTCACACAATAAACAGACTCACCTTGTTTCTTTTTAGTGACGGCAAAACGGGGCTCTTAACAAAATTTGGTGCGAGGACTACTCAGTCAAGGAGCTAAATACTTCCCTTTGGCTATAGCAGAGAAGTATTCATATCATAACTAAAATAACAGAATAAAGTGAAGTCCATGAAGAGCATGTCCTTTACTATTCCCCGTAATGTTACCTTGGATTAGGAATTCTTGAGCCCAGGGAACTGCACAGGCGTCTTTGGTTGACATGAATGTTATGAGGCACAAAAAAACTCAAACTTTACACAAAGAAGTGTCATTTTTTTTTTCAGTTATTCTGAAACTAAAGATAAGTCCTTGTACTGTTAGCCCAAAACACTGTATCGATTTTCCGTTGTTTCTTCAAATAGGGTGTCCAATAGAGAATTACTCAAGCGTCGGTGGTATAGTGGTGAGCATAGCTGCCTTCCAAGCAGTTGACCCGGGTTCGATTCCCGGCCGACGCAGTTATCATAGTTTTTTCCTTAATACAAACATCTGTGAACAATTTTTATTTAACTTTGGTTTGCCATTGTTATGTTATTTTCCTCAATGAGATGTTCTATCATTTCAGGAATCATACCGGCTGACCAAGAGTTGTTATATTTTGATTTTTCCATTTTGATTTTTCCATTTTGATTCGCTTTCAATGCCTCGTCGATATTCAACACCACTGAATTTCGAACGTTTTTTACCACGCGAGATCTGGGTGCGAACATGACGGAGCTTTAAAAATGCCAACATGCAAATCAAACATGGCAGCCCGATATGATCGCGCGATTGTTATCTGAAAAGGTGTGTTAAAACAGTTTAACAAGATGCAGTTTTTATGTGATGGAATCTAGGGTTTTTTCAGCAACAGCACCCGTAATATTCATAGGACTTCTACGCCTGATAAAGAGGTCAACCGGAAAGAAAAAACCGTAAGAAGATTGCCAAAAGGCGAGAGATTCGAAAGTTTACGCACGTTGAGATATAGATCTTGATTAAGTTCTTTCCATTACATGATGTTTTGCGATAAAGAAAATAGGGATCTTTCGAGCATGATTTATCGCGTTTCCTTCGGTGGAATTTCCTAAGATTTGCTGGACTGTTAAACATATTTGTGCCCTTCTTAGTGCCTGTTGATAGAAAAAATTCGTAAGACCAAATTTGAGATAGAGGAAGAAAACACAAAATCGTACATAGCGAGGATACTGCCTTTGCAATCCCCTATTTTTTCGGCTTTAAATGATCGGCAGGACAAATGTTAAAAATTGTGAAAATTTTGAGAGATTTCACTGAAGCAAATTGAAGAAAATCAAAGGAAAAGCCAAATTATCGCTGGCGAGCGCCTCCTTTCGTGGAGCCTTAGCTTAATAACGAAAATCATCTTGATAATATTTACAACAGCAAACAATAGTCCGAACCTTGCTCATCACCTTTTTATGGCTTTTAGTGACCTTGAAAAGCGAAAGCAAAAATTCTTTAGCAAAACATGGAGCCTCCTTAAATGTCTTAAGAATATACATGATTTAGATATTTTTGACTTTGTATCATTTCGCTCTTGTAACGAGCCCCTGAGAAATTTTGATTATTAAACACTCGATGTCCCCTTTAAGTCGAATAGAAACTTTGAAGAATTCATTTTTTACTCGGATTTATCGCCCATTTTTATGATAAGTTCAGTGCCAATTTTTTATCGTAATTATCTTATTCCTGTTATTAGTTTAGATTAATTTTTCTATCTTTTGTAAATAGTCGTAGACACTGACTTTTTTAACTAAGTAAATATTTAAGGCGGCTTATTTTAAAGAATCTTGTATTCTGTTTTACATTGTCCCCAAATTGATCGAATTGACTTGATCAATGAAATAATTTGGAATTTGTATTAAAGTTCAAGTTAAATCTGTTACTAAACAGGCGCACGGTAACATGGAGTCTACTTTCTTTGTGTATTCAATTGTGGCATCAATAACAAATAAATAAAGAAATAGAAAATGAAACAAAGTAGTTTTCTCTAAGCTTTTATATCTTAAGGAAATGAAAAAGACTGCGTTGAATGACTGGAAACCTTATTCGATACCCTGGCATTATAGAAGCTGACGTTTTCAAAATTGTCGAATTCGTTTCATTTCATTGGAACAAAAAGAAAATTCCTGACTTCTCCTACTGTACGAAATCCTTTTATGAGAACATATGCAGCTGCCAGGTTTTACCGTCCACTCTACTTTGTTCAACTCTGTTATTGCTGATTAAGATGTAAAAGGATAAGGTCCCACCGAGATTTGAACTCGGATCGCTGGATTCAGAGTCCAGAGTGCTAACCATTACACCATGGAACCTATCAGACAAAATAAGTTGTACCCAGGAGAGAGAAATATAAAGTGAATGCAAATGAAAATTTTCTCGCTTCCGATTCGGACTATAACTTAGAAAAGAAACAGAAACGGAATAAAAAAAAAAAAAACGACATAAAGTCAAGTTAATGTTGTGTCAATATGGCACAGAAACAAAGTTTTCTCAATGATTAAATGTTTAAGTTCTGTAGCTGTTAAAGTTATTCTGGTTCGTCGGTCATTGCAGCTCAAGTGCGTATCATTTACTCCTGCGTCTCCTCTCTTTTACGATTCTTACATTTGTTCAGCTATTCAAACGATTCTACATTTCATTCTGAAGAGGTTTCAGTTCTTCCTTGCTCGATGAACGGAAATTTTTTTATCATTAATTGCAGGACATTTTTACCATCGTCTGTTTCCCGTTCTTTACTTTTAGACAGCGAACTCGATTTGCTCCATAGTAACACAAAGGAAAACTCTACCGGGTTTACTCCTCTTTCCCTGAGTGCGCATTTGTGGAGATTAATTTGGGCATTTTCGAAAGCAATTTCGCGCTTTAAGTTGGGATCTAGCTAAAGCAAACACAATTTGTGTTTGTTCAGGATAAAAAAACTCAAATTGCTTCAAATTGGATCTGAGTTAGTATGAATGAAAAGCAGGCTTTTTTTTTACATTTTTAAAGGCACATTAATCATATTACACCACAAAGCGTTTCTCTTGTCTGAAAACAGCCCGTGCCTCGCCTTAGGGTCCTGTGATTTTTACAGTTGTTAATTTCTCATTAAAGTGCAGCTGCAACAAACGAAGTTTCATCCACATTCTTGTCATATATCAAAGCTGGGTTAAATGTTTGATCCTTTAAGTAAATTTCTTGGCAGCCTGAGCAAGCAGCGCACCCAAAAGACGTTTTAAAGAAGTAAATTCAGCTCTTATCCTGACCAACTGACGTCAAAACTTATATCGATAAACTTTTTTGATTGGCTAACGATGAAATCTTACAGGAGAATATCGTTTAAGTATTTGATTCGTACAAAAATAAAGTCGCCGAAATTTCGGATACCAAGCATAGCTTTTGAAGGGCTTTAGCTTTGAGCACTAACAGTATCGACCCCTTCTCGAGAAACAGGACAGAAATGAGGTCAATTCTTATTATGATCGCTTTCATTGCAGTTTTTGAAGGTGTTATGTCACTCCCAAATCAGGTAGTTATTCAGGCACCTTTTTTTAAGTAACGGGAAATACGAATATTTTAAACGCAGGGTTCTTGGAGATTTCCATTGAGCAAGAGGAAACCTTAAATATTGGCCTGGTAGGACTGGAAAAGTACCAAAAAGGTAAAAATATGCGGGGATGGTAAAGAATGGCTCAGATTGTGAAGCGCGAACTTGCAAAACTTCGGCTACTTTGAGTCCACAAACCTCAAAGAGGCTTGATACTAACTGGCAAATTTTCTTCCTACCCTTTTGGAAAATCTACTTCGGATCTTTGGCACGAATAACACCGTATGATCAAAAAGCCATTTTCAGTAAAAACCGACGATTTTAAGATATTTTTTTCTCCACATGTTACACAAGAATGAAAAAACAGAGTGATCTAACTCGTTTTTGAAACAGGGAGTTTAAGGAACGACGACGGCGGCGCCGTGGACAAAGTTGGTTAAAAAATTAACTTGAACGCGATACTCTAAAGTCATTTAGCTTGTTCCCCACCGTTAAAAGTATCTCAAAACTGAACATGTAACACAGCGTTAAATTAAAAATAGAAATGTAAAAAATTAGCCGTCGCCGTTCACGTTCTCCAGACAACGCGAAGTTTGGTCATTTCACGTTGTTGTTTTGCAGAGGACGCAGAGAAATTTACAAAGATTTATAACGTACGTGGAAAGCAATTGCTCTGCTTATGAAACCTTTGTTAAGTGACGTTCCCTTTGCTGTCGTAGTTTTCTTAAACTCCCTAATGAAGTTAATAAGACGGAATAACTTTGAGCTTGATTCGAGAATTCTGGTTAACTATGCCTGGGGACATTTCTTGATCTTCTACACTTGTTTATTATGCAGTCGTCTTGTATGCTCGTCCGCTTGTTCATTATAAGTCGTCTGATTCCAAAGCGTATTTAAGGAAAATTGAGCCCGGTTCAGATGCCGAAGTTTTCTTAAACAGAGATTAATTTGAATTTGGACCCAAACTAAAACTAGAAAAGCAAGCATATTGATTCAGACACTGAACTTAATAGAGAAGCTCTCATATCAATCAATCTTAAAAGATTGTGGCTTGTGTCTTTCCTGTCTCGCATTTAAATGAATGAAATCTGCGACAAGGCCTGAACAAATTTTCAGCTACATCACTTTATCCTCAATACATTTATCTCAATTTTCATCGCAATAAATTTCATCTAAACATACAACGATCATTTTCATACTTGGAAGATTAAGCTGTTGATGACTAGTTCTCTAAAATCATCCCTGTTCTGAATATTTTCTTTTCTTTTGTTTTGCAGAATTCCGCGGATGATGGTTCTCAACATCGGATACACGGTATCAATTAAAAAACTATACGATTATCTTACTCGATGCATGGTCAAGTAATTTCGGTGTTGAATATAACCATATGATAAAAATGTAACATTTCAACAAATCTGTATGCTTAATTCGAAATTCATAATGCGTAGATACAGTATGTGGGACTTTTTGTATTATTCATATAATGAAGTGCTCATGTATTGCACTTGCTCAGTGCGACAAACTTATCACATCCATTACAGATGATCACAATCATGCCAGGTCTCGTAGAAACTTAATTCAGTTCTACAAGATGATTGATTGCGCGACCTCTAACGACCCGTTAAAGTACAATCATTACGGATGTTATTGTGGACTTGGAGGGGAGGGGACCCCAGTGGATGGTCTTGATAGGTAAGGACCCTAAAATGCTCGTATACTGTAGGAGGAGAGTACATTTATTATTTTTTTACAACGGAGCGATATTGAATTGTGATCCTTGGTTTGATTTTGCATCTTAGCCATTGAGCGACCGACTGTGGAACTATGCCGGTTACTTCAAGCGGTCGAACTACCTATAAGAGTAAGAGCTTGCTTGGTCTTTACTCCGTCGTCTCCTCTTCCTCCTCCGAATCATTCATATCGATTCCACCTCAGTTCTTCACCTTCCCATCCCCTTTTCCGCCCTCGTTTTATCTCATCACTACCATCTACAATGTTTTATATCGAGAGAAGAGCACGATTCACTCGTGAATAATAACCACGATTGAAGAGTCACGCTGAAACTGTTTAACTTATTTCAGGTGTTGTCAAACACATGATGCATGTTACAGGCGGATAAACCGTGACAAGCTGTGTACTTTTCCCTGGAACATCTACACAAAAGTTTACAAGAGAGAAGGATGCGCTGAATGTGGTATGAGGAACTTTTAAAAGGAGTTTTACGATGGTCATGTTAAATAATTAACCAGATTGTTTAATGAATGTATTCCAGCGACTTGATTATGAGTGTAACTGTCACAGTATTTATTCTAAATCTTTGCGCCAATGCTTCTCCCTTTTTATATTTTGAATAAGAGTGTAGTATAAATTGGGACGCGGACGAATTCTACCACTTAAAATTATTTCTGTCTGTTCGTAGTAAAAATTTAATGTACCCTGTGAATGAGGGAAAACCAAACTTCACAGCTTAGACATCGTAACACTTTTACTTCAAATGACATTTCATAAGGATACGCCTGATTCTGGTGTAGACGAAAGCATTGTACTTATTTTGGTTCTTTTTTTGTGTGTGGATCTTGCAGCCCCTTCAAATGACAAGTGCCAGCTTGCTATCTGTCGGTGTGACAGTGACGCAGTGAAGTGCTTTGCAAGAAATAAGATTGATCCTCAGTATGAAAATTATCCACAGAGCAAATGTAACTAAGAGACGACGTTAAACTCAACAAGAAAGTATCAAGTTAAGAAATAAAAATCTTCCATAGAATCCTCATTCCTAACCACATTCCATTTTCCCTGTGAACCCAGTTTTCGGCGACCTGAGGAAGATTCTGGAATTAACCTGATTTATTGTTCTTTGATCTATTAGTTTTTTTGTTGAGGGTGACCTTCTTCTGTTTAATAAAAATCGTGGAGAAATACAAACGAAGTCTAACTTTTTATGTGAGAGGGACTTGACATCAGATTCTTGTATGACGAACAGTGTACAAGGGAAAAGTGCAACCTTTCCCGACTCATAATGCATTTAGTCGAAAAAGAGGCAGAAGATGGCAATCCCTGCTTAGAGTGATATTACATTAACACGACCAAAACTACTCCCCTTCCTCTCAGTGACCTTAAAACGGGGCTCTTGACAAAGTTTGGTGCAGAGACTCCCCCAACAGAGACGCCAAACACTTCCTTTTTACGTACCACTTCTGTAAAAAGAACCCTGGATATTCCCCAGTTATTTTCATTTTTACCATTTGCATGCAATGCAGTGCTTATACTACCTGCAAAACAATGTTTGCTTTTTTTTTTTTAAAGTAAATTTGCGGAGCTACCAAATCATAATTTCATAAATTTAATATCGTTATTACCAACCGTTACTCGTGCTATTTTTAGTTGCTTACTTATACCCATGAATTCATATTATCTCTAAATTGCAGAGAAAAGTGAGTCTACACTAACCACTGTAGTATTTCCTTGGATTAGGAATCTGGATCCCAGGGAAACCCAGAATCGTCTTTGCTTTGAAATTGATGAAGTACAATAAATCAAAACGTTTATACCAAGAAGTGCCCTTTTTCTCAATTACTCTTTCTTTCCGTATAGTGGTGAGCATAGCTGCCTCACAACCAACTAACCCAGGCTCGATTCCCGGTCGACGCAGTCATTTTGTCCTTATAGCATGAATTTCTAGGTAATATTTGGTTCTCCAGGTATATAGCGCTTGCCACTGTAAAATGTAACACGAGTTGTGCAACGCCTATGTTCATCCTTGGATGAATGAACATGAAACAGGCTGCTTTTAGAATGTTCTTTCCCTTATGCTGATGCTGTGAAAGCAATATCAAAGAATTCTATATCCTACCGGCTGATCAACACTTATTACATTTGGATTTTCCTCTTTCGATTCGTTTCAATACCTCCTCGATTTTTAACGCCACTTTATTTTGAACGTTTTCACCGCTCCATTGGAGTTCCGTCCATTCCATTTCATAGTTTAACTTCGGCCTTTGGATCTTCATTGCAGGTGTTTGTTTATTTACCTGCTACGTAAACTGGTACGTGGACAAAGTTGATGGTCATCTATTGTGAGGATTTATGAACAGCGTCGGTGGTATAGTGGTGAGCATAGCTGCCTTCCAAGCAGTTGACCCGGGTTCGATTCCCGGCCGACGCACTTTTTCTTTCAATACTTAATGAGCGGAAAACAGGTATCGCTATTATAAATACATTTTTAACTTCCAGTGTTTCTCTCTCCTTATTTTTTATACAGTGATCTTCATCTGCTCCACAACAAACAAAGAAAATCTCGGCCTTCTGCAGAAAAATATAAAATTCGGATCGCTTCGATTTGGATCCGAGAGAGTATGGCCAAGACTGTAGAAGCCTTCTGCATTTTTTAAACATTGCCGAAAAATGCATGTTACACCACAAGGCGTTTGTGATGCCTGCAAACCCACGCCTTGTTTTCGTGCTGTGAGAAATTCGTGGAAACACTTTATATTATATGATTTTACAGCTGCTCATTTGTTGTAAAAAACTCTCTCTTATTCATATTCTTGTCATATATAAAAGTTGACCTAAATTATTGCTCACATTAGGCTATTTCTTCGCAGCTTGAGCAAGGAGTACACCCAAAAGACGATTCAATTCTTATCCTGACTAAATATCGTCTACAGTTGTTTGTAAACGTTTTTGATTGGCTAACAATGAAAGCTGTTCATAAAATATCGTTTAAATAGTCGATTCATTCAGTGACAGAGTTATTTCACTCTAGAATACCAAACAATAGCTTTAAGCGGCTCCAGCAGTGTTTACTGACAATATCGGCCCTTTCTTCAGTGACAGGACAAAAATGAGGTCACTTCTTGCAATAACGACCTTTGTTACTGTCGTGTCACTCTCGATTCAGGTAGATGTCAACGCAACTTTAAAACAAACGAAAGCTACCAATATTCTAAGTATTTTTAAGCGGGGATTATGGAAATTTTCCATTGAATAGGAGGAAAACCTCGAAATATTAGTTGGATAATCTTAAGAGGTTCCATCAAGGTAAAATTATTCGGTCAAGAATGACGGATATTACCTCATATTGCGAAGGGCAAACTTACAAAACCTAAGCCGATATTGAATTCACAAACCTGAAAGAAGCTCCTTTTCTTTTCCGGTAAACTGGTAGATTCTCTACCGATCTTTTCCGAAAATCTACGAGGGACAATTGGCATAAATGCCATCTTAAGAGCAAATTTGTGTTAGTGATGGTGCCATTTCCAGCAATGACAAGCAATACAAGAATGAAGAAAAGTTTGAAGCAGTTCGTTGTTGAAACACTATCATGAAGGCAATAAGACAGATAACATTAATATTGATTCGAGAATTATCCTTATTAGGACTCCCTCACCTTTACTCGATGCAGCCGTCGTGTAAGTCTGATTTTCATGAAAACAGAACTCGCTCTCTATGAAACTGTCCATGAAATTATCCACAAAGCAAGTGCAACTATGAAAGAAATATAAACTCCCCAAGAGTGTATCAGGTTAAGAAATGAATCTTCCATAGAGGCCTCATTCCTTAGCACATACCATTTTTTTATAACCCCAGTTTTCGGCGATCTAAGGACAATTCGGGAATTAAGCACTGAATTACTCTCTTTTAATTTTTTTCGACAAGGGTGACCTTCAATACACGTCTGTTCATTCAGTACCAAAACACTAACTTTATTGAAGGTCTGTGTAACATTTATTGTTACATTTCAAACGAGAGATATATTGTAGGGGCCAAATGATTATGATTGTCCTCGCTCACAAAGGGATAGTCAAACTGATTGCGTTTTGTAAGAAAAAGTAACCTCAAAACTTCGATTACGAAAGCTTCTAGCTTGAATATCCCTTAGGAACCTAGCCAAAGCTTACCTGTGACGTAACAGAATTGGGCTCACAACATGGCTGTTTTGTAGTAGTTTACTTTCTGGTGTTTTCTGTTTTGTAATTCTATTTGAGAAGTCATGCGTGCACTGCAAGGTTTCTGATTTGTTCTCAAAGTGACGGCAACCGAAGGAAATGATGAGGGAATAATACCTACTTGGTGGATTCAGTTTCTTAACTTGCTGCTCTCCTGGGAGCTCACGGTGTTGGTAGAGATGATTTTTGTCGTCGCTTGTTATCACTTCAGTAGGATAAAGAATGCTATTAATTGTTAGTTGTATTACTGCACGAAACTGAATACAAGGGGATCTGAAATACATCTCAGTTACTTTACCCTACAAAATAACTATGTTTGGAGCGCATGTTTCCTGGTGCCTTCTTGTTAATGAAGCTCTTGTTCTTCTCACCGGTTCTTCATTCTGCCTCAGCACTGTTGTTCATTTTAAGTGGGTGCTTTCACTGGTTTCTCACGACCTCTCGAGACTTTCGTGACTCGGTAATAATTATGAAATTAGGAGAACATCTATTGTCTTCCTGCAACAAACGTTTTTTTCTGTCAAGTCATAAATGCAATAGACCAGCTTTCACGGGTTTTATGTCGTCCTTCACCCACTTGGGGTATTGAAAGAACAATCTCAAATACTTGTAAATCAAGAGTCGTGTGGCGAGTGACCACTTTTTTAAAATATTATTATTTTCTCCAAAATTCCGGGTGAGTTTATGGCGCTCAAAAACTGCAAGATTGTGGTATATTTACCTAGAAAAAGTACTTTATCACCAATACCCAGGCTTACAATGGCAGGTGATCACCTGAGTGCGGAACTCCGAGTCAAAACAAACACTCTTGGTGTTCAAGTTGCAATTCATTTTGTGATGAATTATTGAGTCTATAAAAGGTAAAATTTCCTTTTTGGTGATGGTTATTGAAAATTTTTGCCCCTTCCAGAATTAGATTTATTGTGATCCAAAAAATCGCATTTTAATGGAAGAATAATCATATTATGGTTAAATTTAGACTATCCCAACAATATCGTATTCATTTACTCCTCCTGCGTGGCGTCACTTCGCTTGAACAGATGCTGAAAATCTCCTTATTGAGGCTTTTAGCTGTTTGCTTGGCAAATGTTTGAAGTCTAAAACTGTTAGTTTACGACACTTTCTCAGATAAAAGTGAAGTGAACTCACCGACCATTGGTTGACAGGGACTATAACAAAACACAGCAATCATTGCGATAAAAAAAACTCACAATTTAAATTCTTCTGGAAATGTGTTTGGCTCTCTTCCAGCGGTCTTCTATCTCAGAAATTATGATGAGGATGGGATAAAAATAGAACCAAAATACTTTTCATCAAAATGAAGCCAATGAAAGCTTCATTCGGCTCTTTCTGGCGACCGAAGACGACACGAGAACCAGAAAGAGGGACATAAAGTCATTTTTCTTTGATAGCACCGACGACTGGTGACAGGGCCCTCAGGAGATTTGGATAAAAAAAGAACAGATTCAGTCAATAAGCCAATTTTGAAGCATTTCTTAAAAATACAGAGTTCTTCAATTAATTTCATTCTACCGTAGACGAACGACCTTGAAATTCCCCTTCTTTCTGAGTTACTTAATTCAATTGACTAACTTCCGACAGAACGTAATCAAAAAAAGAAAGTTATGTTTGCTTGGAGGCAATCCCTTTTGTAATCATTTGGTGCAATTAAAAGACAGTGCCAACACCTTTGAGGCATTGGAACACTATCATGCAGGGATTAGATGAGAGTAGTTTGGGAAGTCAGCACATTTTTAACGAAAACAAAGATTTATGCTTTACCATTCGGTTCCAAGCCACAAACCGCCCTCGTCCACCGGTCTGGAAGACATTGAAATTTATTACATTTCGAAGTGCATGCATTTTATAGCTCACTTAATGGAAGTAATTATGTTATTGCATCAGCAAATCTACGAAACAGGAGAAAATATAACTCTTCATTGTCTTGAACGCGACATAAATACATGGGCGTGAAACCAACGTGACTTGGCTCTTTTATTTTCTCCTGAAAAGGTAAGCTGTTTGCACTAACCAAATGAACAAAAACACAGCTGCAAAATGCTCTGCAATAGTGATTCATATCTCTCGACCGTGTCCTTGACTTTGAGAATTCCTCTTCGAATAAAACGGAAAAAAGTTGTCGAGATTTAAAGGTTCCAAAAACCTCAATGTAGATAACAAGTCCTGTTTTCTTCCCTTAACCAGCTGCAGATAACATTATTCTTAAATCTTTTGAGCAACGCGATTTACATATTCAATTTTTTTAAACAAATTTAGAAATTCCATTTGCTTCTTTGGGACAATCAAAATCTTATATTAGAAAAAAAGAATAAACGAGGCAACTGTTAACTCTAACTTTCCATCACAGTAAATCCTGCCTAAAGCCCGTGCATATATTTCCAAGAAAAATCGTGTTTCATTGGTTACTGTAAGGCTTACGTGCGCAGCGCGCTAAGAGAAACTTATCTACAATATTGGATAATGCTCTTTCAAAATAACTCCGTTTTTGCCGCTGGTGGTAGGGAAAAGATGAAAACTTAATACAACTCTGCCGGTGAGTCTGGCCGGTGAGCCGGTTGAATACTATTTCCTCGCCTTCCTTGTTCGCGACGGTTTTTTGCTTTCATGTGCGGAGCCCAGCTGATGTAAATTTTATATCCTTTTCAGGTGATAAATCTTTGCATGAAACAAGTTGTTGATTAACGTGTTAGAAGTAATCAAGACTTGAGTTTGAGAAGGTCTTCGTGGGTAGCATATGAAAATGGTCTCTGCAGAGGTAAAGATACCTTTAAGCATTTTGGCAGTCCTTGTTATTTTCACTAATGGCGTAGTTTGCTTTCTGGTGTGTATCAACAAAAATTTAAGGACATACACCAATGGATTTATCGTTTCATTGGCGGTGTCTGATATCTTGGTAGGGGTCACACTATTTCTTCAGTACGCCCTATCAGTAAAAGAAGCAGTGACCCTAAATATCTTGTACACCACAGCTTTGGTTGGAAGTGTGGCAAATTTGAGCGCTGTAACTTTCGACCGATACGTCGCTTGTATGAGGCCCTTCAATTACGCGAACACTATCGTCAAGTCTTTTTTCCCAATCGTGGCATTTTGTTGGATCATGGCTGTAGTCTGCGCAGTTCTTCCACTCTCTTGGACTGACAGCGATGTAGCAGGCTTGGCTCTGAGAATTTATCAGATTTGTATTCTTCTTCTGGGTATTGCGATACCTTATGTCTGCATCTTTATCAGCTACGTGCGAATTTCCCGCCAAGTTCGTAAAATTGTAACGAGAGAGAGACAACTGGTCAATTCCGTAAAGGCATGTCCCAGAGCAGATTTAAGAGCAAGGAGGGTGTCCTCGGAGGCAAAGGTTACTAAAGTGTTCGTTGTAATAGCCGTAATGTTTGTTTTGAGCTGGTTGCCAATTATATGGACTACTTTGGTCTACGCACTCGGGAAGCCGCAGCTATTGCCCAAGCACGTTGCCCTACTCTCGCCATTCACGCTAGCCTTTGGCTCTATTGTAAATCCTTTACTGTATTCATTCATGAAGCCAGACTTTAAGTCTGTATTTAGGAAACTTTTTCATTTGAACAAAGTGCCGCAGCGGTCGCGGAGGGAACAGCATCTTTCACGGAATAACACGAGTGAATTTCCTGCCCCAAGCGCTGTAACAACTCCTTCCACATTAAACTTGCAGTCAGTGGCGCTAATAAATATTTCACAGATCTCTAGTTAATGCATGGGAAAAGCCTCACAAGATCTCAACAAAATAAAAGATAATGCAAGGGTGTCTCGTTTATTGACCGAATTGTAAAACAAAGAACAGCTGGTAAGGTTAATAGGACGAAGTCTCGAATTTTGAATTAGCACTGAAAAAATGATTTAAAAAAAAAGAAAAAAAGAAAAAAAAAAGAAATTCAGTTCCTCTTACACTAATATCAAAACGAATAAAGATTAAGTTTTACTTAATAGAATTTACTGACCTTTATCTCAAATATAGAAAGGCAGATGCCTGGTTGATGTATTTAATTATCAGCGAGATATTAAAATACAGCTTAAGTGCGCTTTTAAAGTAAGGTTTTGAAATGTGGTGGGTGTTTTATCAAGGTAGCTGTCTTTCACCATAATGAATGTACACTCAACGAGATCTGCATAAAAACGAGAATGTAATTTTTCGATGAACGGGTCAATACCTGTCTTTCAAACTATCCTTTTCAGTTGCTACTGTATGCACAAGATAGAAAGCTTATCACGTAATTCAGATTTTAATTATGCTGACCGTATAAACAAGAGGAAATAAAATCTTATATTGTTAAAAATGCGTCAAAATTCGAATCATTGCTTAGAAATGACAAATGCCAACATGACGAAGTAGAATCTGTTTAGAAAGTGCAGCTGTATACATTTGGATTGCACCGAAAAAGCAAACACAACATTGTCAAAAGCTGTCAAGAACTTTACGATCCTGAAATAAAAAAAATCAATTACTTGAATTGAAAAATATGACAATCTTGAAACCTACGCACGGTGGAAAAGACGTTGTGAATTGTGTTACGACACGTTACATGAGGCAAACACGAAAAGTGATAAAGATGTTCAAACAAAACGATTAAAAATAGAAAAATCAATAAAGAGATATTTACATCGATCTACATCCAAATTTAACATGACTTATGTCGCTTAAGGCGTTTTCTTTAGGTAAACAGAACTAAAATTGTATTTCGTCTTGGCGAGGGAGAAAGCTTTAAATTATAAAGCCTGTAATGGCCTTAAATTCATTAAGTAAGATGATTTATTATCTATGAGTTGCCCTCAAAAGCAATTCCTTCTCATATCTATAACACTTGATAACGAATAAGGCGCGATCGTCTTCCGCTCTGTCCCAGATCGCTTTCAATTTTGTGGCGTTTAAAAACTTGTCGTCAAATCGGTGTACAAAAAACTGCAATAGAGTTCGCCTTTCGTACAAGTTTCCTGCCATGGCGTATGTCTTGAAGGCTTGAATATCTTCTGCGCGGGTTCAGTTCATCCACGTTCGGTATAGAATTTGAAACATCAGTGGAATCGATATTTCCGTGCCGGTTTGATGTTCACATATGTCTTCTTCATTTCCTCAGACTCCTCTTGCTTCACCAAAGAAAATCGTTCACCCTTTGTGCTAACGACTTGATTGTCTCGATATCGAACCAGTTTCTTTTCATCCTGTCACAATACCGACAAAAAAAAAGGCTGAAAAAGCTATCGATGTGATTCAATGGCCCTTTGTTACTTAGACACGTCAACATCGCTACAAAAAATTAAAGGTTATCCGTTTAATCTTCCCAGAGATATCAGATTTTCTAACTCATTGACGACTAGTCTACACTAATGCCCCCATGTCCTGGCTCGCTAACGAGGTTTCTGTGAATCGTAGATTACTATTTTTATTTGTCTTAACCTCGTGACGGAAGTTTAAACCTTTCTTTAATCGAAAATCGAGGTTTTCATTAACCTAAACGATTTCTTTTGGACAGAAAAAAACATAATAAGTGTATATTCACTCACTCAAGAGTCCCGTTTGTTTTCACCCGTCGAAATTCGTTGAATTTAAAAAACAAAAGCGATTGATTAGTTTTGACCTGTAATTAAGACAGACTGAAACTAGAGAGAAAAAAAGGGCAACATTCTTCTCACCCGTTTGCACGAAATATTAATTTTACCCCTAATGACGTGTACATGTCTGTCTTAATTATTATATACATCTGGCTCTGAATCTATCTGAGTACCTTAGATGTGTTTTCATTTCGTGATTGATCTTTTATCTAGACACGGTTTTTCTTGGTTATTTATAAGACACAAACGAAGCTTAACAGGCTTGGCGATAGGAAAGTCTACTGGGTGAATCTTTCACTCGAAATGTCATTTTTTATTTTCATTTTCATTTCTTCCAAATGCGATTTATGCACCACCATATCAAGGAGAATACTGACGTATGATTGGATAATTTGGTTTTATCAATTGTAATGATAATGTAAAGCTGGCTTTAGTCATTCGTCATTCGCCATTCGCCATTCGCTCTCAGCACCACAATTTCTCGTGAAACTCAGAGACCGCTCATTCATTATGAACAGGGGGAAAGGAAAAGAAGGGGGGAGGGGGAAGGAAAGAAGGGAGAAGGGGGAAAGGAAAAGAAGGGGGGAGGGGTCAATGCTTTTTCAGACTGGCTAAAAGGGGGGGGGGGGCTAAACTTTTTATAAAGAAGATTAGGGAGGGTCAGCAGTTTGAGGTACATTTTAAGAGTGGTCCATTGCCCAAGCTGAAGGTGGGTTTCATGCAAAGTAACCATCTGATGGTTGTATGTGACATGAATTTTAATTAAACTAGGTATATAAGAGGAGATGTGAGGTGAGGGAGGGGAGGGGCGGGGGTCATCATAATTTTGAATAAAGAAGGGGGTAATTTGCTACTTACATGACCAAGAGGGATCTGTCCAACAGATTTTTCCCTCCCTCCCTTCCTCCTTCTACATAAATAATGACCAGTCCCTTACTCCGTTTACCCTTGTGATTGGTTGGTTTAGAGGGCTGTGATTGATGCACAACTTCGATGTCAGTGGACTTCAGGCTCCTAATTATTACATCAAATAATGTTGTCTGGGTTTCAAAGAGTCTTGTTGTACCTGTTTGTGAAGTATAGGTTGATATGTTTTCTCATCTTGGCTAACTTCAACATACCCATATCTGCATAAAAACAAAGAAAAGCTCTAAACTAGTTGAAACTAAAAGTTTTAATTACAACAGTAGTGAATAATCCAGATTTTCTAAATTGAATCATTAAAAATAATGCACTTATATGGTGCATCTTGGGGAGGGTTCAATGATCAGAGAATGGTATTAGCCTCATGAAGTTTTAAAACAGCTCTCAATCCTTGTCATCCCCACATGAGCCTTGCCTTATCCAAAAAGGAAACATAAATGCAAAAGCAACACTCCATTTACAAGTAAATTCTAACAAGAATTGAACAGAGGGGAGTGGGGGGGGGGAGGAGGGGAGGGGGTGGTGGGGAAGCCATCTGAAAAAATTTGAACATACTTTTCCATAATTTGTTCCTTAAGACCCTGCTGTTCATCCTGATGTAGTTGTTCCTTCTTTGCAGTTGGAAGATGTGTCTACAAAAGGTAAACTGCATCAAATTTTTCATCTGTTCATGGTATATTCATTTGGTTCTTTTGCGTAAGGAAGACTATGGTTCATCACACCACAAGAGTATGTTGCATGTGAACCTTATTTATAAATGACTGGACACTTTAACAGTTAGTCAAATCCATAGCCACATGAGTTTTACATGTTTATGATATATACTGTATGTGTATGTGGAATGTTTTCAACATTCTTGTATTTGTAAAAGTACAACGCTAGGCAACACAGTAGTTTACTAGTTTGGTATTTTAAAAAGTGACATTCACTTTTAATCAAAAGAGTGAGGAGCATTGTGTGACATCCTTGAGCAAAAAAAGAAATGTTACTCAGCAGTAATGACAAGCTATTAGGCCGTCCCAGCAAAATGCTGTTAGGAGATCTTGGATGGACTAGCATTTCATAGATGGGGTAGCAGTACCCCTGTTTACTGTGCACCAGCTGGAATGAGGTTTGACATGTAGGGTTTTCTATCGTACAGAGCTTACATTTACTAGTTACATGTATCTCAGCAAAAAGAAGAGATATTCTTTGCTACTCTAGTAAAGCAAAATTGGTTTGTCAGATTTCATCGCAGTACATTTACAAGTATGTTGCACAGTCACCTAACGATGAAATTCTCATAAAGATCAAGATTGAATCTATCTACCTGTAACTGATAAATTTGCTGAACCACTGGAGTAAGAAGTAACAAACTAGAGAGAATCAAAACTATAAACTACTTTCTATGGGAGCCATTTCCATTGCAATGCATATAAAATATTCATATTCTGTATTGAGTGCTGACTCATTTGTGACCTGTAAAATCAAATTAGAGAAACCAACAAACAAAAAGGTCACCTTTGGAGAAACATGGTCTACAGTTTGATGAACATTCTCCTTCCATTCTTCATCAATGTTTTCTTTCTTTACTAGCATCAGTTGGACAGCAGACTCAACATCACCATTTGCCACCATCAGACAGTTTTGTATTTCTAAAGAGCACGCCTCTGGAAAAACCTCTGTTAGCATCAAAATTTCTTCCCTGAAGCTGTTAATCAGAGTAAGATTTACCTTTGTGATAAAGGCTGATTATATACCCTGAAAGCTCACCCTCATCTAGAACTCAAGTACAGAAATATGAAAATGACTGTTATTTTAAATCCAATTTTGCAACAGTATGAGTCCTGCAAGTCTCTGAGTTCTGAATTTTTTTAGCAACCATTAAGCAACAAAGAATATAACCAGGACTCCTTTTAAATTTTAATCCAGTTCTGCCTTTTGTGTACAGTAACATCTCAGATGCATTCCCCTTTGGGTTTTTCAAATAAGATTAAATTAAGTGAGTTACTTGACTGTATCAAGTTATTTTCTACATGAAAACAACTAGAAAGCATTGTATGTAAAATTTCATCAGGAGAATTTAACCTGTGTCATAGTAATTAGGTCACAATACATGTATTTGCTACATGGTGTAAAATTACAGGAATCTAATAAAACAATTTTATCAGAAAATTTTATTTACCTTGCATTGCCTACACTTTCTTTGAGTTTGATATAGTGCTCAGCTTTGGTGTCCTGATTGCAATTACTCTTTGACAAGGGTGAGAGCTTGCCTGTCTCAAGTGCAAAACTGTTCGTACCCTGTTCACAGGAACTAAACTGTCTAAGTGAAGTTATTATTTGATGATCTTTAGCAATATCACCACTTTGAACACTCTTTGGCTCTAAACTGGCCACTGATCTGCTGCATTTGTCTTCTCTCATCACAGTGTAAGCATCTTAAAGAAGGTTGAAAAGAGTTTGTCACACAACAACCAAAGCTGTGCTTAGTTGACCTTCAGGGACTAACCTTTTTTGTATAAATTCACTCTTACCATGTTCAAACATTAGCAAGGCACAGTGTGGGTTTCAACTCAGCCTTTGCAATCACACATAAATATCAACAAAAGCAGTTGCCTTCAGCAAAATTAAACCATGTATTACCCATGCCCTAACCCGTATCACCAAAAGTTGAATGCTAAGGATTTAGTGGTCAGAGGCCTTGACTCAAAACACAGGTACACAGTCAATCAAGTATTAGAAGACCTTGATTTACCTGAGAAACTACATGTATTCCTTGCAGTTCTACTCTTGACTAGCTTGTCTGCTAAGTCAAGCATCCAACTTTGAACAGCATCCCTACATGCATAGGATTAAAAGCTTATCAATAAATCATCTACCAGCATGTTTTCTGTTTTCAATTTGCTGACAACCGACAGAAAGTTAAAGTCCATTGTCTTAGAGAATCCTACACTTAATTTCCTATCAGTTGTCATCCTAATTCTCAATAAAACCTTTTTTAGGTTAAATGGATATATTTGACAAAAGGATGTCTCAATTCATAATGAAATGAACATGTATCCAGTCACAACCACCATAAAGGTCTGCTGATCCTGTATCTAGCACTAAATTTAATCTGAGAGATAACCAACCAAACAAACTGCTAGATGAGCAAGGTTATTTCATCTGTTACTGAGATTTGTAACTAATTCAAAGAGTAACATTTAAAATTAACCAGAAAAAATTGGTCAATCAGGTTCTAATTTCAGTACTTGTGAGTCAAGATAACAACTAGGCACCTATTGACTTCATCAAACTCTGGGATATAAGCAGTCATTATTTCAGAGAAGTCATCCACATCAAACTCATCATCTTCACCAAGTTGCTCCAAGACATTAACAATATAACCAAGAACAATGTCATCTACAGAACTAGTAAAAACAAAAAGAAAATTTAGAAAAGACAACAAACGAGAGGCATACTGAAATTCAATTCCCCAAGCATACCTCATATTCCCATTGTGCATTTTGATAACATGTGCATATAAATTTACTGGGCCTGTAGAGCAAATTTTTGGATGGGGAAGGGGAAGGGGAGGGCTGGAGACCAATATCTTAGCTTCAACCAATAAGGGGAGGGGGCATACTTAGCAGAGCAAAACAGTGGGAAGGGAGGATAAAGCCGTCCCCCACCTCTCCCTTTGCATGGTCCCTAGAGGGAATTTTGCTTTGCATGTCATTTAAAATACTGTGATAACAATGTTCTTAAGCAGTTGGTTCATGCGTCAGCTCTGCATTGATTAAGATGTGAGGCACTTGGAAAGTTTTTGAAGCACTCATGAAGGTAAAATTATTGCTCTAGCTTGGGTCTAAAATTTTCCAGAATGCTTCATATCTTGATCAGCAAAAATTGTTGCACGAACCAATTCATAATATTGACAGAATTCTGAATAAAGTGGCTTCTTAGATAGGCGAGGAAACTGAAACTTTTGAAGCTTATGCATATCTGCACCACAACTTCAAGTCTGCCTTAAGATTTGGGATTCAGGTCATGTCAAACAGTGAAGAGTTCATTTACTTAAGACTTATCTGGCATAAATATTAAATCGTATGTATACTACAACTCACTGTATTATACCTTAAGGTTTCAGCTGGTACTTTCTGCTTTAAAAACTGAATCAGTTCTTCTCTGATAGTTTCCTCCATGATTCTTTAGATTAAAGTGCGGCGTAATATTGAAGATAATAAAATTATTATATTCATTAGACTGAAGACAAAAACACAAAAACAACTATCACAAAAGTGCAAATGATCTGCAAAATTTGATAAAAATAAACTTACTGTATGTTGTTTGTTTTTGTGTTCAGTTACACTAATGGGCCACTAGGTGAGAAATGTATCGCGCCCAAAATTTGGCAAGAATATTGCTGATTTACAGGGAGATTTCTGTGTCACAGCACCAAGAAACGACGTTGACGGTTCAAAACAACAGATCCCGCCAAGGCAAACTTGTTTGTATTATGTTGTATATGCTACATGTAGTGTCCTATCGTATCACAGCAGATGGTAATGAGACTCGGTCTGTTCTTTAGACAGAAAAAGTTTGCATACATGACATATTCTTTGGGAATTGAATCCGCTGACTAGAAAATTCACGCACTATTGTGCACGTAAACCTTCCTCCAAGTCTTTTTGGGAGGCGACGAGCCGAGAAAGGAAAATAGTCCGAAATGTGAGTGATCAGCGGTGCAACAACTATAATGGTTCAAATAAAGATAGATCATTTGTAGTTGCAAATCATTTTGTAACGCCGAAGTGTTGCCAAGTTATACTTCGCTGATTAAAAAGTTAAGACATTTTCCAAAAGTTTTGACAGTAACAATTTTTTTACTGTTATATTAACCAACGAAGGCATCGGGAAAGGCATCGGTGACACCGGGAAAAGCATCAAGAAGAACGTTATTTACGTTTTGTAACTTTTTGAGTGACGGAAATGAAGTACCTTGACTTCCAGTTGTTCAAGGCGTTAATCACAATTGGTTCCCTATTCTCTTGAATTTTGCAATTTCGACAGTTTTTGCTGGAAAAATGAAAAGCTAAGCAACTCTATCGAACTCTACAAAAATGCAATTCTCGACACGGTCGGGACATGAACCTTCTGCTTTCGGACTCAAGTGGGACAAGAGGAGTAGGAATGTTGCTAGGTACGCAAGGCGTACAAAGTGAAAGAGTTTTGAGTAAATGTACATTTATGACAATGTAAGCATATATCTATTCTGTTCAATTTCCTGCCCCGTCCACACCCCGCCAATTGACCATTGTGCAATCTCTGCTTTAACCAAGTCCTCCTTTGTCACAATTTTGGCATCGAACATCGACAAGAGCTTTTCACCAACCCTCTGCATTTTACACCTTATTGCTTTTCACTGCAATACTCTTTACAACAGTAGGCACATGCAGAAAACATGCAAAACTTCCTTTTACAGCCACAAAACATCATTCTCCGTCACTAAACCTCATTAACCATGCTGAACTGACACATCTTTAATCGTTACTAGACAACGCTCACTGTCATTGCACATCAGTAAGCGACTTTATACTCCACTCATCGTCGCCTGGAATAAGATTTACATCATTCTCCGTCACGACAGATCATTCATTGCCCTTGGACGTCTTCTCAGTCTTTCACGGTCCTTAACGTGCGGATCACAAACAGCTCCGCACTGCTTATATCTTTTGAATAAAGAATGCCTTTTTGTAGCTCTTAGTTACTTAAACATATCGATAAGAATTTAAGAGGAGATGGACTGTTACTTCCCGAGTAAGCTGCCAGACTTCAAACCAAGATTCCTAAAGACATCTTCCCCACCCAAACTAGGATTGGGCACTCCTTGGAGTCTTCAAATATGGTAATGGCACATAGATTCCTCAATTTTCTAATAGAGAAGATACAAATCTATCGTTTCTGAGGCGCATTTCTTCATTTGCAGTTCAGAATTGCTGAGGCGTGGACCACTGGTTATGGCGAGTTACTGTCGTCGACGAAAGTTGGGACTTGATACATGATAGTGAGTGATAAATCAGTCTTTGCTTGCTTTGTCAGAATATTCATGTCTTAGTACATATAAGTATGTGGCTCAAAAAACTGACGCAACAAGCAGATGTCACTCGGGTTAGATTCTATATAGGATTAACTGAGGAATACAAATATTCTTCATTATGATCCATTATGTCCACTACAATAAATCTTCGTTTCAAATTTAATTCAAGATGAAAGAGGGGTTAGTGGTTGTTACAGAAGAAAGGATTTCTTTTTTCGTTCATTAAGTCGTATCAGGGAACACCCCAAAGAAAACATTCCACGCTGCATACAGTTAGTTATTGGTTAAAAATTTTTCACGCGCATTGCAAAATTTTTGACATATTTTTTTGAGATATTTGTTTAAAGTTATGCTTGGAACGTTCATTTTTATTTTGTCCGTGCCCCCAGCCCAGCTTTGGTAACTTATCAATGTCGTCAATGTCAAAGATGTTTCACAGAGCATAAAATCTCTTTATCTCTGACGAAGAGAGAGGCCACCGTATCCTGATCACACTCCCGTCCCTCACAAGTAATATAGAATAAAAAAGGCATTCTTGATGTTCTTTGATAGTGCAAGCTTTGAATCAAAGAATTGATTTTAAATATGATCTGTCCAAATTTTCGAAAGTACATCGCGCCAATATTATGGAGGTGGTGTTTATCCAAGGTCACGCAATATGGCTCATTGCGAATTCAACGTCGTCAAATAAGTAATCGGGGATGAAGCCAACGCCACGTTTTTTTAGGGCAAATAACAATTTCTTTTTTGAGCTACAAAAAAGCATTGGTCGACGAATCACACAACAGAATCTATCAGCCTCAAATCGGAAGTCTACTGCAAAATCTGTCTCGCTTTCAATAGAAGTTTGTTTGTTTATCCAGGCGTTTAGGCGCGGTTGTGAGGGCTATTGAGTAGTTGAGGTCATATTACAACTACTTTCGCTTTCCAAGAACTCAGCGCATCTCGAGGAAGTTTGCGAACAGTGAGACTTCACCGAAAGGTTGGTTTCGTGAATTCCCTTTTTTCAATAGGCTTTAATAGGCTAATTTTTTGTCAGTTGTTGCTGTGAGGGGATTTTCATTCCTTTTTTAAGTTGAGCATTGGTGTAATTTTAAAATAGCTAGTTAGCCAACTCTTGTGTTCCTTAGAGTTGGAACTTCAATCGGCAATGTTAAGCGGTTAGGGCATGTTTACATGTGTGTATAGTCTGAGGCTCTAAATCAGCCACGACACGCCTGTATATGGTAGGAGTCTTTTAAAACTCAGATTATCTTCAGTTTGCTATCACGTTTGCTATCACGTTTGCCATCAGGATCGGCTCTTTTAATTCAGTATTCATAACTGTTCTTCTCGAAGCTTTAAAATTCACAGCGCTGAAAATAATTCTGTTTCTCTTAGATTAGGGTGCTGCATCTCTATGTTGAAAACCTTCAAAGGAAGTGTTTTGCTGCCAGTAACTGTGTAGTGACACTGGAATGTCTCCAAACCATCGCACGCGCTTTGAACAAACCTCGTAGAATCTTGACAACGAAATCCTATGATCTGATATAAGCTTGGCTGAACAGGCTGAGCTGTGCCCAATTTTGAAGGCAGACAGCCCCAGTTCTTAACGAAACTTTCTTTTCGGTTTTGAGTTTGGAAGTATTTTGAGAACTCAGGATATATGTGGATATCTCGGGATTTGAACCCATGAGGTTTGTTCAAAGGGTTAGTGAAGACGTGGAGACATTACAGTGTTCCTACGCGGTTACCGGTAGCAAATCATCACCTTTGGAGGTTTTCATCATAAAAATGCTGAATTTTTTCAGGCCTTACTATCACTACTGCCTAAGTAGTGTTCATTACTGCGAAGATCGTTTTCATTTTCAAACAATAACAGTGTTGCATGAACCGATGAAAGTAGAGTTATTACCTAGGTTTGTTATGCTTTTCATCAACATATACAGGCACAGTTGTGCCTCGAGATGTAACGTAACCCTACCCTTTCCCCTGTCACAGCCAGCATGCTCTTAATTTCATTTATTCTCTTCATAGAATTTTCTCCATCAGACCAGGTAGCCATGGCAGACAACACGGTTTCCATGATTGTGCTTGTTTTCGTGGTCAGTTGTTCCGTGTGTTTGCTGAATGGTAAGAACCTTGTATTTATGATCATCTTGTCTTGTAATGACATTCTAGCTGCTGAGCGGGAAATTCCTGATCTGCTTGTATGTAATTCTAAGGGATTTATAGTCATTTACTTCTCACTATTCCAGGAGAAGGAAAACGCCACGAGGATGCAGTACCTATCAACAGGTTTGTCGTGTGTATTTTAACATCTTAAAAATGCTTGCGGTGTACGTTGTGCGTGTTAGAATGCTAAGATGTTTTACACACAACTGTATGCGATCACAGTGATCACTAAGGGTCCTGTGACTTTCGGTCATGCTAAATTGCAGGCTGCAAAGCGTGCAGACCGCGCTTTGTTCGCTGGAGAATTTGGACTACTACAGCTCGCGAGACACTGACAAACTATTTCGATAGGTATCCAATTTCACTAGTATTATGCGGTTTTTTTCAGCCTGAGAAAAAAAAATTATGTTTTCTCTCTTATAAAATTTTATTTACACCTAGGCGGACGTTAAATGAAAGTTAAAAAACTTTTCTGGGAACTGGTTTTTAACCGAATGATAATTGGTAATACACAATAAACGAGCGCCATTTGGAATGCCGCTTGCGTGCCTTGTTTCATGCGTTTCTTCTGACGGAAAAATTTCCGCACAGCCCCATACTTAATTATGCATGTACATCTTACTGGTGATACACTGAATAATAAAGCCCCATATATGGATGTATAATGATGTATGGGGCTATGCGGAAATTTTGCCCTAAACGCTTCCATTGCAGCTCGTAAGAGAAGAAAAAACCTTCGATCACTTTCTGGAGAAACATTCTGCAAGTGTGGGAGAGCCACTGATGTGTGTCAAATGCAAACTTCAAATACTGTAGACAACTTTAATCTGAGAAAGGCGTTTTGCTTTGTTTCTTGATTAAATAATACACTTACGAACTCAAGAAAAGCTATAGAGGAGTGAAATTAGAATTTGTTGTATATTTTCCATCTGATGGGAAGTTATCGCAGCCGACGTCGACCTTTCAACCGTACCAAATTACTCCGTCTGACGCCAAGCTCTAAACAGCGATAAATGCAAACCAACAGTGACACATTTCGTTCTATGTTTTCGATTTTTGGTAAAATGAAAAACATACCGATGAAACCCCAGTGCCGTCTGCCGGGTACCTGCGTATCACAAGTAATTAGTAGGACAGTGTGCAAGTGAGGCCAAATCCAGGTTTCGATTTTCTGTTTATGTTTATAACGACACTGTCGAAAGTATAAGCCTGCGCTGTATGACCCCCTGCAGTATTTCTCTACAAACATGAAAGCGAGGCAACCGAGAAAACAAACCGACTAATTGGTTTGCTCTTCGTAGGTCTCTGCTTTCTTCTTCTCGTGGTGCAAAGCTTGGTTGAAAATAGTGTAGAATTGCTTTCCTTCTGGAACGCTCAAAGTACTTACGAACACACACGCTATTCGTGGTAGGCCCACACTAAAAGATGTCGAGCGTTAGTTTCCAAACGGGTTGTTCTGCGAACCAAAAAAATGCCATAACACTACCAAAATTACTTTAAACAATGCTAAACAAACTTAAAGCAATGCCAAAGACAATGTCAAAAACAACGCCAAAGATACTCAAATGAACTCAAAACTACTCGAGCACGCTCGAACAAAGGAACAAATACCGACTGTTTTATGAGAAGGGACTTCACTGAGGATTACTCTGAGGAGACATTGAACGCGTTAGCAGAATTAAGACGCCTTGGACTTATATCAGTGACAGTAAGGATTAGTTTCTTATTGTATGGTTATTTGCCAATTTTGGTATATATCGTAAAGACCTGTGTATAAACACCACCTTTTAGCTTAAGTTTTGGGCCTAAAATTGTGGGTGCAGCTTGTACATGAGACCATTGCTTTCACAGGGAGTAAACTGGCTTGTCTAGACTTCTCTTGTTAACCCTTTAACTCCCATGTGTGACCAAGACAGAATTTCTCCTTACAATATCATTACAATATCAACCAGATAAGTGATGAGAATAAAGAAAAATATCAATTTGGGGATAATTAGTTGATCCAATACTAAATTCTCTGAATTAACATCATACGAATTGTATGATTGATAGTAAGGAGGATTACAAATTTGATCTGGGAGTCAAAGGGTTAAATGACTGCATGGTTACCATGCAAATGTTTTGCATTGTTCTCCTGCACTTTATTTTTGTTCAAATTCCATCGTTTTCATTTGAGCTGTGAGCTTTAACAATGAAGACAACTGTTGTAAGTCAAAGGGAAGCTTTTAAAAGGTATTTCCAGAGTTGATTAACTTCTTAATGTCTCTTCAAATACAAAACATTAGATTTTGTCAAGTTTATTGTGAATGTCTGCGAACAAACAACCAACTTTTTTTACGAGAGTGCCTTTTTGGTGTCTTCTATTTTTTTTCCAAAATCATGCTTGAAAGTTGGAGGGGTAGCTTATACACAAGTTTTTACAGCAGTTTTGCAGATAGATAATATGTTTCAAACTTTCCATTTCTATCTGATAACAAAGGCCACATTTGCATCCTGCAAGCTTGATTTCTGGGAAATATGCTAATGCACACTGCTCAAAGCTCTTGCCAAATGGAGTCTCTTGGACTTCTTTATTGTTGTTTAAGTAATTGTTTGCATTTCAAAGGTCCTTATGCAAAGTTACTCTTTCTGTGTCACACATAAGTATCCTGAGCAAATGCTTGTAGGCATCTAGTTTTCATTTCACACACACTGTGCATGCATTGAGATTAGGTTACTCAAAATAACAATAAAAAATTTTGTACTGTGTTGTCCAAAAATTGGAAACAGTTCTAATATTATCTAAAGAGTAATCATGTAAAATCACAGTTTTAAAAAAAGAAAAAAAAAACTGCACTGTCTGCATCATCTGCAGTCTACATTTTATCATGACCGTGTAACTTTCACCTTCTCCTCAAACTGTCACCCTGATGCAAAATTGAGTTAATGCTACTGTGTCCAGCTTTGTGATTTTGGAGTGGGAAACTTCAGAGAAACAAAGACATACTTTTCTTATTTGAATTGGATATTTGTGTGTTGTGTGTGTTTGACCATTAACTGAAGCATACTGCCAAGCCAGCTTGTACTTGCTTTTTCATCCTATTAGTCGTGTTACTATCTAAACTGAATTCACTTTGTTATGGTCATATTTGCTTCAGGGCTAGGCGTTCTGTTCCAATCAAGTATGACATCTACACTCTGGACTACTTTATCGAGCTTGTGGAGAAGATTGAAAGAAACACCATTACAAGTGGAGATTCTATAAACAAGGTTGTTAACTATGTTCGTCTCCTCGGTTACAACACTGATCTGTGGAACATAGTGTGTGGCAAAGCAGATCCACTACCAGACCCTATTTTGAACTCAGAAGAGAGACGTGTCCTGAAGAACATGGTTGTAAACAGTTACAGCGATCAATCCAGCAGGCGAGAGGGTGTGGTGTTAACATCAGACCGGGAAACCATTTCCATGGGTCGAGTCTTACTAGGCATTTGTGCAGGGCTGAATCGCGATAAAAGCCTCTCACTCAGAGCATGGACCTCAGGAGCTCCACTGCGTGTTGATAATTTGTTTACAGCAACAATTGCATACAGCCTTGGACGAAGCGCACTGTATAAAGCAAATGGTGACACTTCAGATTTGTTTGGTCCATCTGGATCATGGAGCCCAAAAACTGAATGCCCTGCTTCATACTCCTTAACTAACACAGCTTCTAAGGCTACTGATGCTGAATTACTGGGAGATGTTGATGGGTTCCTCCTAGGGCATGGAATCCCCCAATGGAAGAAGAAAGGTGTTAGGCTTGGTCAGTTGCTGAGAATGTACTACGGATCAGGTATCTGGAAATTAGAGTTAACAGTGCTAAGAGCAGAATGGGTATACATGCAAAATCTGCTTGCTGTTACTAGTTATTTGCTGCTGACTGCAAAGAGAAATCATTTGAGAGAACTTATTTGATAGCTGAGTCCACTGATCCATATTCTGGTTCTTGTAAGTTTATAGATGGTATTGCTTCTGAATGGCAGAAAACTAGACTTAGTGCTCGACTGATGTTGAGTGTCCAGTTTTTTCCACTCCATGATACCCTCTGTTCTTATTATGTTTGTTTGATGACATATCTCCAGTTCCTTAGTGCTATAAAGCTTAGACAGAAAGATTCTTGTAGAGGAATGATGATTAAAAATTGGACAGGCAGACACATACAAATAATAGATAGCCAGACAAATTCACACTAGTAGTCTGAGGAAATCACACAGACTCAAAAATGTTTTGCAGAACTTATCTTCACACGATACAATTTTTATTGCATTATTTCTGTAGCAGCAAATTTGAGTTGCCAAGGCAAGAATGGGGACAGGAGTCTACAGACCTTACCCTTAATTATGTCCAGGAGTTAAACAATGAATCTGCCAGACTTGTGGCTTTGAACAGGAGTCACCATATGCTAATCTTACAGTCTTGTTAACTTGATACATTCTCTGCACATGGTGTACCAATTTGCAGTTATTGAATTCTTCCAATTAATTTCTTCTGAAAACAGGCATCCTTTATGATACTTCGTATGCAAGGTGCCGGAGAAACTCTAAATTTTCAAGTATCGTCAATAAAGATAATCTTCTGAGTGAGATAAACGGATTTGCCTCCGCCTACTATGACAGAAACTCAGCTCAGCTTACAAGGGTAAATCAAGGCAGAATCCTCTCTCTGTCCAAGGACATAAATGAAAAATTCTTCCCCCACCTGGGTGAGTATCTGTCTTTGTATTTGTTACCAGCTTCATTGGAAACGTCCTTGAAAAGACTACTTTTGTGTGATTTTTTTTCCAATTTTTTATTTCTGATTGCTTTGGTAATTCTGCTCCCTAAAGAGTAACTACGTGTTTTTAGCTGTATTATAGGCCATACAGTGCTGAAAGTAAAAAAACAAAGAGGTTGCTAATAATGAATTTGTCTGCTCTGCAGGTAATATTGCAGGAAATTCCAAGTGCAGTATTGACAAAGACAGCGAAGGTCAGAACTTACAAGTTTGTTTATGAGTGTATTCTCATTGCTTTCGCATAAACTCGTATTACATGCGTCAACTCTTCTGTATTTTTTTACTTCCAGATTGTGAAATTCCAGCTAATGTTGTATTTGTCATGGACGAGTCAGGAAGTGTTGGTTTTGACAACCATTTGAAGGAGAAGGAATTCATCGGGTTAGTGGTAATAATAACACCGCTTATGTAATGCTGCTTTACGGCGCTACTGCGGTATAACAACAAAGCAAAAAGAAACCTCCAAACTTTGTGCACGTGGATGGGTATATTAACATGAATCTTCTTTCTTGCTTGCTAAATGAAATGCATTCATGAATTTGGTAGATGTAGTGAGGCAAATTTGTTTGAGCATTCAATTATTTTTTTACGCCTTGTACGTCGTTTTCTCAGAGTAATACTCCAAGACCACTCCCACATGGTGTCACGAGTTGAATGCATATTGTCAGTAAAAGCAAAACAAGCGAATCGTTTTGTTTGTATTACCATTATTTAATCATCTAAGTGCTATCATTAGAATCATTATTATCATCACCTTCAACCTACAATCACTGTTAGTCATTTTCAGTTCACAATGATGATATTTTGAAATCTTTTTAAGTACCTACTGTGCTAAAATCTAAGACTGTTCGTCGGTATTAGGTAGATTTTAGCAATGGAAAGGAATTGAAAGGCGTGACTGGTATTGTGATTTTTGTGGAAAACTTTCGACTGTAGAAAGCTTATTATTTTTCAGAGAGATCATTAAAACATTTGACATTTCTCCACTTCAAACTCGCGTGGCTATTGTTGAGTATTCCAATACAGCCAGTGTAGCAGTAGCTTTAGACAACTATGGCTCCAAAACGCGACTGATGTGCGCAGTAGATGACATCTCGTATTCTGGTATGTTTTTCTTTGATTTTAAATCTAACTTCATTTGCATCAACATACATCACTTAAAATTCTCTTATGATACTTAACTTACAAAATATTATTTACCAAAAATTAATAAAACATGATGTGAAGTGAATTCTTGTAATTTCGTGGAAAAGGTTGTGGTTATTCATCGTGGTGAATAACAATAAAAAGCTAAGTTTTTCGTTTGTCTCACAATGTAGTCACGTGTGATCTACATCACACGTGACTACATCGTGAGACAAACGAAAAACTTAGCTTTTTATTGAATTCTTGTAATTTTGTTGATACATACAGTTTCACAAGGTCTTAGAGTTCCAAAAGGCTCGAGTTCTTGAAAACAGCTTCTTCACGGTTTAAATATTGTAGAGTGTCATAAAAAAAATGTCATTTTGAATGAGTGTCAGTTGTGTCCCATCCTCCTAAGCCATTATAAATCTTAATTTGGGTTTATCAACTGATATTATCAGGTAAATCAGCCTTCGTAAAGAGTTTCTTAAGCTGACGTTTCGAACGTCAGCACTTCGTTATTTGCTGTGATTAAGGGCTAACGCTCGAAAAGTCAGCTTTAGAAACTTTTTACGGTGGCTGATTCACTTTATCAACTCAGTTTGTTGAACCAAATTATATTGTAATACCCCATACAGACGCAGCACCATAGAAAGAGGTTACCCAGCAACGCTACGTCTTCTTGACCCTTAATTTAGCTATATCTATGTGCCTGTAACTTACCAAAGAGTTGAGCAATCCCCAATAGCGAATTGTTCGATTGCAATTAGCATATCAAGATTGTTCTTCACCCTTGAACATTTTTGTTTCCAACCAGACGAATTTTGATTTACACAAGTATAACGTTGTAGATTTTTCGGTCTGAATGGCTGCGAGCTTTAGGTAAATCAACTCCGTAGAATTTGAACTATGTTTCGGAGATCATGCACAAAGCATCTCGAAACTCCAATGAATCTATTACATAATGTGCTGACCATCTAAAGGGATTTTAAATGGCAAAAATAAAATTTCCTTGTTTTCAAAGCAATAGCTTATCACATCATTAAACCTGTTGATGGCATTATATTCTCTTGTCCATTCCACAGATTAAGTTTAAAACAAGCTAAATTTTACGAAGATCTAAGAGGGCTCTCAAATCAAAAACAAATTTTCTTCCGTAGGCGGCTCCACGCGGACTGCAATGGCTCTAGAGACTGTTCACTACAATGTGTTACGACCCGCTTTGGACAATCCAGTGAGCGACACAGAAACAGTACAGGTACGACCTCAGTACCTATCACGAATGGATTATTCAACATACAACTTTGCAGAGATCAAATAATCTATGAATGGTGGTGAAGGTGGGTGGGGGGGGGGGGAGGAGGCATAGATAGGATTGAGGGGCCTATCATCAGTCATCATATATCAATCTATAAGCTAAGCCAACTTTTCTGTGTGACATAGATCGTCATTGTACTCACAGACGGCAGATCTGGCAATCGTTACGCCTTGGAGAACGCGGCGAAGGATTTGAAGAAAGACATAAAGGGTAATGTTCACTTATATTTAGCAAACAGATAAAACATTTTTGGCGCCCTTGAGAACCGAACGAAGTTTACTTATCATTTGATTTTATCAGTAATCTATGAGCAGAAGGACTTGTGCTGCTTAATAGGCAGACAGTTATGTTGAGGCCTAGGGGATATAACGCTTTGTTCAAGAATGCCAAGTGTTGCAACGAAAACGAGTAAAGATGCGCAAGAACAAAGTTTCTTCACTCCCAGGGACTGAAAATGGTCGCTGGCTGACTCTCTTATCGGCCAACAGAATTAACAACTCGCACTTCTAAAGCTAAGTGTGTATTGTAACATTGGGAAAAGGTTGATCATTGACTAAGATTAAACAACTTCCTTCCGCCCAATTAAATGGCATAGTTTTGTACACAAATTTTCTTGCATGGCTGTATGTAGAAATAAAGTTATACAAACTTCTTTGGTAAATCATAGGCTTCAGAAGTAGCCCATGCCTTGTCTGTGTATAGTAAATTTCGCTCTGAAACTTAAACATTTCAGACCTAACAATGATTTCTGTTGGGGTCGCAAATTACGATCTTTTCGAGCTGCGTTTGATTGCCACTGACGAGAAGCACCATGTTTTCACTGCTGAAAACTTCGACAAACTTCCTGAGTTGGTCACGTCGCTGAGAACAAGGGCTTGTAATGGTGAGTTTCGAATTCTGTGATTGACATGTAACTTTACCCTATAATACCCATACATTATCCACCTAACCGGTAACGAGAATTCTCAAACTTATTAGGTAGAGGTTGTTATCTTGTTCCAATACTAAATTCTCGTTACAGGGAAATGTGTAGCAGATAGAAGGGAGAATTAACAATCAGTTCATTGATGTTAAAGGGTTAACTTAACCCGTTGCTGCGTCCTGATAATTTAATTTCGTAGAGTATGTAGCCTTAGAATTATGGATTTAACATGACATTTAATTAAAAAATAGTTTAGGCTTTTCCTTCTCGCGAGCAGGGAGTTTCTAATTTGACCTTTGTGAAGATATGCTGCCGAATCATCAGGCCTCAAATATATCTTTGACCCAAGCATGAAGAAGAGTCCTGGATAGTGCAATTGAAAATGTCCTTATATCATCCGCTATAGACTCCTCACAAAGTTGAAATTTGCTCTTTAAGCGTGAAGATCATATTCGGTAATTAATATTGACATGGTAACTCCTGAACGAGCGAAAGGAGCTTTTTCACGTTTACAAATCTTAAACATTTACTAAAGTAATTAAAAGGCTGATCATTTCCACTCCGAGTTGATTTTCTCCAACCCAACTAATCCTCCTTCATTTCTCCATTTTGGGATTTATGTCACATTTCTGTATCACTTAACCAATGTTCTGTGGTTTTCCGTCACACTGAGAAACTATCCTGTCCTGAATTGCTTTGTGGACATATCAATATCTTCTCTTTGCAGCACCTATTAACATGGGCTTGAACTTCACTGAGTCAAAAGACTCCACAGAAGTCGTAGCGTTCGTTTCTCCAAATAAGGCACGATTCTTTACTTTGCCGGCGGAGCTTTTTTTCGGGGTCGAAGAAATTTATATTGACGTAAGTATGTTTCTAGTTTTTTCGTTTTCTGACAATACGTCGCTGAGTCATAATAATCCATTTTTTTAAACCTGAGTTCTTACTACTAGAGGAGATGTCGAGCGTATGCGTCGATCATTTCGAAGCATCAACTTCCCCCCTTCCCCTCTTCCCCGGGCAACTCTCCATGGATGTAAACTTTTGAAGATTAGTTCGTTCAATCCCACACCCCCTCCCCTGGGGCTAAACCTGTGTTCCAGTGCTCCACCTAAGTTATGGACTTGATCGTCAATTTTTTCGGAAAAGGCAAACTTAGTGACCGTGACATTATTTTAGAACTTTTGTTGTGAGTCATCTGCTCGCGAAAGTAAACTGTTTACCTGTAAACACCTCCATATTAAAAAATAAACCACTTGTATTCCGCTCGAAAGACTTGCAAGTTCCAATTCAAATCCCCCACCCCATCCCACCCCACCCCACCCCACCCAGGCAAGGTTCCGTACCGACACCAGGGCTCAGACGACAAAATCAAATGCCCGTGGGTTGCCCAGTGGGGAAATGTGGAACCTTCAAATTGATCGACACGTTACAAGACTTTGGTATTTGCTGCAGGTTGTACCACAGTATGGCACTGTGACTGTGTATGCATCAAGGATAACAGATACTCCGGGTCCAGACAATTACACTCTCAAAATTGGACCGGCAGGTAACCTTTTTAATCTCACATTACAGGGTGTGAAAGACGCCAATGCGACTAAATTTTTCACTTTGGCACACCAAATCCTGAAAATTAGTTGCCAAATTGGCTACTAGAATGTTTCATCATAACCTTACCAAGAGATAAAGTGAATTTAAAAGATTTGCAAAGATAAATCCGCGGCAAACTTCCTCGTTCAGTTTGTTTCCAAAACGAAGCATGTGCATCTCGATCGATAACTAGACGCCATCATGGATTTAGGTGAGCTTGAACGTTGTATATCATCCATCCTAGTGTCCACTTTGTAGCACATTAAAGATCTTTACCCTAACTTAATTTTGGAGAGTCTATTTAGAACGCTGAGTACCGCTTTCATACATTTTTATCTTTGATTCTGAGTGCCTTTTCCAAAGAAATATCATTTTGGATCAATAATGAGCAAGCATGGTGACTTGAGTTGAATCTGATCTTCATGTTGATGACGCTCACTTCAAAAGCTTTTCGCCACGAAACGCCTATCTAGAAATAGTTTTGCATTTAGCTATGTTTTGCTTTTTTAAGGAGAAGGAGAAGAGATGCAGCTGCAGTTTACAAACCTTTGTGCCGGTAGGAACATTCACCGATCGGTTACTTGTAACTGTTGATGACGATCAAATTCATGATCTTTAACTTGGCCAGGAACCCTTTCAAATACAAAAATGTTTCTTTAAGAAGCCAATTTACGTAGAGTACCGTTTATTATTCTAGAAACATGTCTGTCCCGATGACTTTGTCAAAACAAAACCTCCTGTTTTGCAGAGTGATAAACCAAGAAAATCTAATCAGCAAAACAACGGCCACTGCCCTCCAACCTTATACTTTTCTGAGCAAGCCACGGGCTTATGTGCTGAATTTCCGATGTGTTGGGGGAAACCAATACCTCCACTAATATGATCATTAACCGTGTACATGAACTTAAAGTTCATTTGCGTTTACCTCGAATTTCAGGTTACAATTCCTCTGAAACTTGTCCTCCAATCAACATCGGAATATACGGAGAATCGTCTTCACTTTCCTGCTCAGGTTTTCAAAATTTTCAAATGAGTTTTGCATTTGCTTAATCCGCAAGTTACAGCAAGGGCGTAACTAGGGAAGGAGGGTCTAGGGTTGCTCGTGACCCCACTTTGTAAACCTTTTTCGTCACATTGAGAAAAACTCAGCGTGGAGGTCGACAAGACAGCCTGTTGAGTACCCTCTGTTTGACATAGTGTAAGACCCCTCCCCAACCCTAACCCTAACACTCCCTTGAAAGATCCTGGCTACGCCCCTGTACAGTGGCAGTCGTCGAGTAGTTAGCGCTCTAAACCGAGGCAAGTGACAAAAAATCCAGTGAGTAACAGGGTGGAGCGCTTGAACCGGAGTGGGGGGGGGGGGGGGGGGGGGGGGGAGACAACCGGAGATGCCCCAGCCGCTGGGCTACATTTTCTCCATACCAGAGACCAGGCTAGGTCGTTGGTCAAGACTTATTTGAATGGTTTCGCCCGGGAGAAATTGCAATTCCGCTAGTAGTTTTTTGTTCCAGATGCTAGAATAAGCCTCAACATCAATGGCACATTATTTTGACCGCCTAAACCTTTGAGTAGGACCTGTGTTGTTGCCTTTTTTGCGAGATCAATCGTCTCCTTTACATTTTTTACCTAGAGCGAGACTGCAATCTCCCAAATCAAATCAAATTCAAGATAAGAAGAGGTAAGTTCTTGTGTTTTTTTTTTGGGGAGGGGGGGAGGTACTGTTTTAGCCACCCAAGATTGTAAAATTCTGGGGAAATGTTGCAGCTCAAGTTGGTTCTCTAAATATCGTGAAACATGCCAACAAACATGCTTGAATAGGGCACAGAAATACCAGGGGGTCACAGCTACCCCTAATCCCTCAGCCCCCAATGTTGGAGTGTTCTATCCAGTAAATTCGGTGTGCATACAAGTCGACGGTTTTTTTTTTCTATTGAAAACTATCAAAGAAGTATGAAATACCCACAATTGTCCCATTTGCAGTTATAAGAGCAAACTTTACCATTGCCATAAACTGTAATCTTAGGTCAGACAATGAATAATGAGTTTGCCATTTTCGTTTTTTTTTTTGACAAGTAACGGAATTTTTTTCTTTGCAACAGGAACACCTAAAAAAAACAGAGGAGGCATCACGACTACAGACCTGTTTTTCCGTCATTTTCTTCTCACAGCTTCGATCTTGGTTTTGAATCTTTTGTAACTGATCGTTCGATCACGATTGCTGGCTAAAAAATCCTTCTCTCACAAGTGATATGATAAATCAATAGTTAGTAGGCTGGATAGTCTGAATAAGCTTTAGGTCATCTTGGCTGGAGATTACGTAGAATGGTGCTAAGATCTGCTACGTAGAATGGTGTTAAGTAGTTTTTAACTTTTACACTTAGTTCACGCCCCTACTGGAAACCAGCATGTTTAAATAAAGTTGATCTTGATCACTTGATCCAATGTTTTTGTGTCTATTTTAGCATAGGTGTATGAACGGGGGGGGGAGGCTGGGGGGCTGCAGCCTCCCAAATTTTGGGCAGGGGGAGAAATTTGGGCTAAGTCAGTTTTTACGAAAGTTTTCAATTTTTTTATTCTATTTTCTAATAAGCATTCATTGATTTCTACTCCATGGAATCAAACGAAGGAAAGGCACTGTATACACTGGTGAAGTCTGCTACCACTGAAATCACTTTTGACCACAAGAACAGGGTTGTTAAAGCATTCGATGGGGCAGCTGATTGAAACGTTGTACATAAGGACTCTCTTCAAGAGTGGAAGGGTGCTTTCCGCTCGGTATCTACGTCCACTGTCACGGACATGTGCTCAACTTTGCCCTATAGGATACTATGACACAGAATGAACCATGGAGTTTATCTTTGTACTGTGTGTGTAGAAAGTAATCCTGAGCAGCACTGAGGACCGATTATTTACAGAAGATCTAACCCAAACCGCGGTTTAACGCAAGTAGTGGGCCTTAAGTATTCTATATAAGAGGCCGGTTGCTTCAAATAATATCCTTCCACTGCCATCTGATGGCCTTCTTAGGGCTACTTTTCTAAAAGCAACTTTAGCAAAAACTTACTTTTCCCAAACTGATCTCTCTTGCTGCCCAAAAAATTTAAGATGCCTAAAAATTTGATACGGCCGGAGCCCCCCCCGTCCAACTCATTGCCTATCCGAATGGGACCTCCAACATCAAGAAAAGCCTTTCAGAGCCAAAACACTGCCATTCACGACAACAATTTTGGGCATAGAAAAACCGATGAAAAAATATGAAAATTAGCTCTTTTAATCTTCCTTTTCATTTCCAACGGGTCTTACTTCTTCCTCAAATACAAGACTTTGCATGAATAGTACCATGCTGGTTTTAGAAAAATTGTTTGTGATTGTGACACACCCTCTTTTTGACGTGTGAAAGGCTGACCTCATCTCCGCTTTGCAAGACAAGGACTCGATGCGACAATCATATTGTGTTATGAAGCTGTGAGCTCATCGCCTCTGGAGGCTAAGGATAACCATGGGCATCAGCTATAAAGTTTTGATATAACTCGAAAAAAAAGATATTATTTGGTTAAAATAGTCTTCTAACTACTATACTTACGAGTTATATTCTTAAACTTTTGAAAACTAAAAGAGAGAGGCTGTAAATCGAGTACCGAAAGTTAGCTCGAAGTTAGGCGAAGAGATGCCAGATCTATTAGCAATAATAACATTAGGACCATCACCTTCTAGCAATCCTACCAATCTATACCCAAGTTATGGAAGGTCTCTGAAGCCATAATCAATACTAAGATTTAGACCATCAGCTGAAAACTATTTCATCACGCCAAGGGCAAGATTCAGCAGAACTTTGAGTCCACGGTCAATAACAAGATTTGGACGACGCTGAAAAAGGCTTCTCTCACAAACAGTATAATAAAATAATACCTAAGAGGCAGTTTATATTCTCTTGTACCTAGTAACAATGTCTGATCATAAATAGATAGCTTGATTACGCTATTTTACTGTGCCTCCTATGCTTTACCTTCAGGTTAGTTTACATGTTTAAACTGCAAGAGGTTATAAGCTGATTGTAATCTCTTGCAGTACCCGCAGCTTAAATGTTTTATAGACTTATATTGCGCAATTATCAATATAAGAATTTTCAATTGCGAATATACAGATGTTAAAAATGTAAAAAATCTATTTTAAGTCTTCGTTATTTAGCCTCATTTAATCTATTTTGAACACTACAGCTTTATCTCCACGTTTGCTGTCTGTTATTACTAACTTACACCTGGGACGTGTAATTATATCGAAACAATGTCACCTACTTCACGACCGACAGTAAGGTTTTCGCCTGTTGGGGGAAACGTGAAGGAAAATATTAATATAATCCACAACTTTGATCAGTATCGCAAAAGAACAAAGCTATCCAAAGAAAATTCCTGAAGCTTGGCAAAACAAAAAAAAAAACCACCCAACGAACAGGATTCTTGTGCTTATTCGGTATTCAGCTAATACTTCAGTTGAATGTATTTTTAAAATGAAAAAGCACTGAAAGAGAAAGAGAAGCAGTCATCAAGATTCACCACCGACATCACTCCCTCTTCCATGGGAAGGCCTCTCAGCCTTCCCGAAAGAGATCTCCAACATCAAGAAAACCCATTCAGATCTAGAAGACTGCCATCAGGGAGACAAAAACTACGATCATGAAAAAACTGATGAGTAAATCAGCTCTTTCATTGTTCCTGCCCCTCTCAAACGGATCGTAGTTTTTTTCTCAAACACAAGGCTTTGCATGTATAAGACCATGCTGATTTGAGAAAAGTTGTCTTCTATTGAGACAAATCCTTAGCTCTTGTTGACGTATAGAGGGCTGTCCTTATCACCCGCTTTTTTTGAAAAGTAAAGGATAGGCTTTAAGCTGACAACCGAAATTTCGCTCTTTAAGAGACTTTGTTCACCAAAATACATCCTTTTATTTGTTTTAATATGTAACTGTACTGTGTTTGCCCCTCTTACCAAATTCTATTAGCATGTTTTCTTGTGTCTTGTAACCGCCAACAAGGACAAAATCGAAAACTGATCTAAGAGACTCAAAGAAAATTCTTGAAGTTTGCCTAAAACAAAAAAACCGACCCGATCAAAAGAGTCCTTGTGGCTATTACTCAGCTAATACTTTAGTTAAATGCATCTGGATAAAAAAACGCACTGAACATGAAAGAGAAGCAGTCATCAAGATTCACCCCCGATATCATTCCTTTTTCCTTGGGAAGGCCTCTCAGCCTTTCCGTAAGAGACCTCCAACATCGAGAGAAGCCTTTCGGACTCAGAAGACTGCCATTATGGAGACAGAAATAATAATGATAAATAAACTGATGAGTTATATGAGACTCAAACCCAAGGCTTTGCATGAATAGAACCGTGCTGATTTGAGAAAAGTACTTTTCGAATGAGACAGCACCTTCTTTTTGACACGTATTTAGGTTGTCATTATCTCAGGACTCGTTAATAATATTGTGTTGAGAAATTGGAAATTTATCACTTCTGCAGCCTACATGTAAACATGTGCATTAGCTAGAAAGTTTTGATATTTACATGAAAAAGGAGTCATTTGGTTGAAGCAGTATTCGTTTTTAAAGAATCTTTCGGCTTATATGCTTGAGCTTTTAAATACCTATGGAGAGGCTGCAAACTAGGAACCGAAATTTCGCCCTCTAAAAACCTGGTGAACCAAAGGAATCCGTTTTTTATCGTATTTGCTTATCTATTTTCATCTGCGATGTTTTCGTCGCGCAGATGTTCAATCTTTAGTATAGGGATCGTCCTCGCCTTCACGCTTACTAATGTTTATTAATAGTTCTCCGTCGTTAGTGTATTGCCCTTTTCACGATTTTATCCCTGATAATAACCAAACTTTCGGCTTACGTTCTCAAGCTTATAAAAACTAAACAAAAGGCTGCAAACTGAGAACCGAAATTTTGCTCTTTTACGAAGCTGTGTCAACCATGGTGAATTCTTTTATCATTTGTGATGTTTTCGTTGCACAGATGGATGCTCATGGTTGTTCCTTTGCACTGACAGTTCCAACCTGGTCATCTCTTTTCACAGTTGTAGAGTTTTCTATAAAAGATATAAATAAGGCTCTCTAATAGTCCTACAATTAGTCTGACCCTCGCCATTTGGGTAAAATATATCATCATAAATCAGCTACTCAAACCATTCTTATAAAGTACAGCTCAAGAGGCTTCGACCACATAACTCCTTGCAAGAATTTTTGCTAAATCAGAAAAACCACTATGAAAATAGTTGTTGTGCCTATTTACCAACTAATACTTCTGTGGAAATTATCACTAACGATACATGGACTGAAAAAGGACGAGCCGAAGATATCACATGGAATACCTCAAGAGAGTAAACGTTCTCTCCAGCCACAGTCAATGACTAGATGTGGACGATCAACTGATAGCAATCCCCCCACAACTCCATGGACAAGACAAGGGAAGTCTTTAAGACCACAGTCAGTAACAAGATTTGGACGATCAGCTGACACCAAACCAATTCGTGGAGGTAACAATTATATCAGTTCAATAATACCACAGTCAATAGCAAGATTTGGGGGGTTCGCAGAGAAAAATCCTATCCGTCAATGGAAAAGACATGGAAGGTCTATAAGACCACACTCAGTAACAAAACTTGGACGATCAGCTGACACCAAACCTATTCATGGAGGTGACAGTTATACCAGGTCAATAATACCTCAGTCAATAACAAGATTTGGAAGGTCCGCAGATAAAAATCCTATCAGTCAATGGACAAGAGATGGAGGGTCTTTCAGATCACAATCAACAAAAAGATTTGGACTATCAGCTGGCACCAAAATTATTCATGGAGAAACCAAATATATCAGGTCTATAAGACCACAGTCCATAACAAGATTTGGACGATCAGCTGGCACCAAACCTATTCATGGAGGGAACAAATATAACAGGTCTATAAGTCCACAGTCAATAGCAAGATTTGGACGATCAGCCGGCGCCAAACCTATTTATGGAGGGAACAAATATATCAGGTCCATAAGACAACAGTCAATAACAAGATTTCGAAGGTCTGCAGATAAAAATCCTACCAGTCAATGGACAAGAGATAGAGGGTCTATCAGATCAAAGTCAACAGAAGGATTTGGACTATCAGCTGGCACCAAAACTATTCATGGAGGGAACAAATATATCAGGTCTATAAGACCACAGTCAATAACAAGATTTGGACGATCCGCTGGCACCAAACCTATCTATGGAGAGAACAAATATATCAGGTCTATAAGACCACAGTCAATAACGGGATTTGGACTATTAGCTGGCAACAAACCTATTAATGGAGGGAACAAATATATCAGGTCTATAAGACCACAGTCAAAAACGAGATTTAGAGGATCAGCTGACACCAAACCTATTCATGGAGGGAACAAATATATCAGGTCTATAAGACAAAAGTCAATAAAAAGATTTGGACTATCAGCTGGCACCAAACCTACTCATATATGGAACAAATATATCAGGTCTATAAGACCACAGTCAATAACAAGATTTGGACGATCAGTTGGTACCAAACCTACGCATGGAGGGAAAAAATATATCAGGTCTATAAGACCACAGTCAATAACAAGATTTGGACGATCAGCTGACACCAAACCTATTTATGGAGGGAACAAATATATCAGGTCAATAAGACCACGCTCAATAACAAGATTTGGAAGGTCTGCAGATAAAAATCCTATCAGTCAAAGGACAAGAAATGGAGGGTCTATAAGATCACAGTTAACAAAAAGATTTGGACTATCAACTGGCACTAAACCTATTCATGGAGGGAACAAATATATCAGGTCTATAAGACCACAGTCAATAACGAGATTTGGACGATCAGCTGACACCAAACCTATTCATGGAGGGAACAAATATATCAGGTCTATAAGACCGCAGTCAATAACGAGATTTGGACGATCAGCTGACACCAAACCTATTCATGGAGGGAACAAATATATCAGGTCTATAAGACAAAAATCAATAAAAAGGTTTGGACTATCTGCTGGAACCAAACCTACTAATATATGGAACAAATATATCAGGTCTACAAGACCACAGTCAATAACAAGATTTGGACTATCAGCTGACACCAAAGCTATTTATGGAGTGAACAAATATATATGGTCTATAACACCACAGTCAATGACGAGATTTGGACGATCAGCTGACACCAAACCTATTCATGGAGGGAACAAATATATCAGGTTTATAAGACCAAAGTCAATAACGAGATTTGGACTATCAGCTGACACCAAAGCTATTTATGGAGTGAACAAATATATCAGGTCTATAACACCACAGTCAATAACAAGATTTGGACAATCTGCTGGCACCAAACCTATTCATGGAGGGAACAAATATATCAGGTCTATAACACCACAGTCAACGACAAGATTTGGACGATCAGCTGACACCAAACCTATTTATGGAGGGAACAAATATATCAGGTCTATAAGACCACAGTCAATATCAAGATTTGGAAGGTCTGCAGATAAAAATCCTATCAGTCAAAGGACAAGAGATGGACGGTTTATCAGATCGCAGTCAACAAAAAGATTTGGACTATCAACTGGCACTAAACCTATTCATGGAGGGAACAAATATATCAGGTCTATAAGACCACACTCAACGACGAGATTTGGACGATCAGCTGACACCAAACCTATTCATGGAGAGAACAAATATATCAGGTCTATAAGACCACAGTCAATAACGAGATTTGGACTATCAGTTGACACCAAAGCTATTTATGGAGTGAACAAATATATCAGGTCTATAACACCACAGTCAATAACGAGATTTGGACGATCAGCTGACACCAAACCTATTCATGGAGGTAACAAATACATCAGGTCTATAACACCACAGTCAATAACAAGATTTGGACGATCAGCTGACACCAAACCTATTTATGGAGGGAACAAATATATCAGGTCTATAAGACCACAGTCAATAACAAGATTTGGAAGGTCCGCAGATAAAAATCCTATCAGTCAAAGGACAAGAGATGGAGGGTCTATAAGATCAGAGTCAACAAAAAGATTTGGACTATCGACTGGCACTAAATTTATTCATGGAGGGAACAAATATATCAGGTCTATAAGACCACAGTCAATAAGAAGATTTGGACAATCTGCTGGCACCAAACCTATTCATGGAGGGAACAAATATATCAGGTCTATAACACCACAGTCAATAACGAGATTTGGACGATCAGCTGACACCAAACCTAGTCATGGAGGGAACAAATATATCAGGTCTATAAGACCACAGTCAATAACGAAATTTGGACGATCAGCTGACACCAAACCTATTCATGGAGGGAACAAATATATCAGGTCTATAAGACCACAGTCAATAACGAGATTTGGACGATCAGCTGACACCAAACCTTTTCATGGAGGGAACAAATATATCAGGTATATAACACAAAAATCAATAAAAAGATTTGGGCTATCAGCTGGCATCAAACCTACTAATATATGGAACAAATATATCAGGTCTATAGGACCACAGTCAATAACAAGATTTGGACGATCAGTTGGCACCAAACCTATTCATGGAGGGAACAAATATATCAGGTCTATAAGACCACAGTCAATAACGAGATTTGGACGATCAGCTGACACCAAACCTATTCATGGAGGGAACAAATATATCAGGTCTATAAGACCACAGTCAATAACGAGATTTGGACGATCAGCTGACACCAAACCTATTCATGGAGGGAACAAATATATCAGGTCTATAACACCACAGTCAATAACGAGATTTGGACGATCAGCTGACACCAAACCTATTTATGGAGGGAACAAATATATCAGGTCTATAAGACCACAGTCAATAACAAGACTTGCAAGGTCCGCATATAAAAATCCTATGAGTCAAAGGACAAGAGATGGAGGGTCTTTTAGATCACAGTCAACAAAAAGATTTGGACTATCAACTGGCACTAAACCTATTCATGGAGGGAACAAATATATCAGGTCTATAAGACCACAGTCAATAACGAGATTTGGACGATCAGCTGGCACCAAACCTATTCATGGAGGGAACAAATATATCAGGTCTATAAGACCACAGTCAATAACGAGATTTGGACGATCAGCTGACACCAAACCTATTCATGGAGGCAACAAATATATCAGGTCTATAAGACCACAGTCAATAACGAGATTTGGACTATCAGCTGACACCAAAGCTGTTTACGGAGTGAACAAATATATCAGGTCTATAGCACCACAGTCAATAACGAGATTTGGACGATCAGCTGACACCAAACCTATTTATGGAGGGAACAAATATATCAGGTCTATAAGACCACAGTCAATAACGAGATTTGGACGATCAGCTGACACCAAACCTATTCATGGAGGGAACAAATATATCAGGTCTATAACACCACAGTCAATAACAAGATTTGGACGATCAGCTGACACCAAACCTATTTATGGAGGGAACAAATATATCAGGTCTATAAGACCACAGTCAATAACAAGATTTGGAAGGTCCGCAGATAAAAATCCTATCAGTCAAAGGACAAGAGATGGAGGGTCTATTAGATCACAGTCAAAAAAAAGATTTGGACCATCAGCTGGCACCAAAACTATTCATGGAGGGAACAAATATATCAGGTCTATAAGACCACAGTCAATAACAAGATTTGGACGATCCGCTGGCACCAAACCTATTCATGGAGGGAACAAATATATCAGGTCTATAAGACCACAGTCAATAACAAGATTTGGACGATCAGCTGGCACCAAACCTATTCATGGAGGGAACAAATATATCAGGTCTATAAAACAAAAATCAATAAGAAGATTTGGACTATCAGCTGGCACCAAACCTACACATAGATGGAACAAATATATCAGGTCTATAAGACCACAGTCAATAAGAAGATTTGGACGATCAGCTGACACCAAACCTATTCATGGAGGGAACAAATATATCAGGTCTATAAAACAAAAATCAATAAAAAGATTTGGACTATCAGCTGGCACCAAACCTACGCATGGAGGGAACAAATATATCAGGTCTATAAGACCACAGTCAATAAGAAGATTTGGACGATCAGCTGGCACCAAACCTATTCATGGAGGGAACAAATATATCAGGTCTATAATACCACAGTCAATAACGAGATTTGGACGATCAGCTGACACCAAACCTAGTCATGGAGGGAACAAATATATCAGGTCTATAACACCACAGTCAATAACAAGATTTGGACTATCAGCTGACACCAAACCTATTCATGGAGGGAACAAATATATCAGGTCTATAAGACCACAGTCAATAACAAGATTTGGACGATCAGCTGATAAAAATCCTATCAGTCAAAGGACAAGAGATGGAGGGTCTATTAGATCACAGTCAAAGAAAGATTTGTACCATCAGCTGGCGCCAAAATTATTCATGGAGGGAACAAATATATCAGGTCTATAAGACCACAGTTAATAACAAGATTTGGACGATCTGCTGACACCAAACCTATTCATGGAGGGAACAAATATATCAGGTCTATAAAACAAAAATCAATAAAAGGATTTGGACTATCAGCAGGCACCAAACCTACACATAGATAAAACAAATGTATCAGGTCTATAAGACCACAGTCAATAAGAAGATTTGGACGATCAGCTGGCACCAAACCTATTCATGGAGGAAACAAATATATCAGGTCTATAAGACCACAGTCAATAACGAGATTTGGACGATCAGCTGACACCAAACCTATTCATGGAGGGAACAAATATATCAGGTCTATAAGACCACAGTCAATAACAAGATTTGGACTATCAGCTGGCACCAAACCTATTCATGGATGGAACAAATATATGAGGTCTATAAGTCAATAACGAGTCGATATAAGACTATTCATGGAGGGAACAAATATAGCTGGCACCAAACCTACTCATATATGGAACAAATATATCAGGTCTATAAGACCACAGTCAATAACAAGATTTGGACGATCCGCTGACACCAAACCTATTTATGGAGGGAACAAACATATCAGGTCTTTAAGACCACAGTCAATAACAAGATTTGGAAGGTTCGCAGATAAAAATCCTATCAGTCAATGGACAAGAGATGGAGGGTCTATCAGATCACAGTCAACAGAAAGATTTGGACTATCAACTGGCACTAAACCTATTCATGGAGGGAACAAGTATATCAGGTCTATAAGACCACAGTCAATAACGAGATTTGGACGATCAGCTGGCACCAAACCTATTCCTGGAGGGAACAAATATATCAGGTCTATAAGACCACAGTCAATAACGAGATTTGGACTATCAGCTGACACCAAACGTATTTATGGAGGGAACAAATATATTGGGTCTAAAAGACAAAAATCAGTGAAAAGATTTGGACTATCAGCTGGCACCAAACCTACACATGGAGGGAACAAATATATCAGGTCTATAAGACTACAGTCAATACCAAGATCTGGACGATCAGCTGGCACCAAACCTATTCATGGAGGGAGCAAATATATCAGGTCTATAACACCACAGTCAATAATAAGATTTGGGCGATCAGCTGACACCAAACCTATTCATGGAGGGAACAAATATCAGGTCTATAAGACCACAGTCAATAACAAGATTTGGAAGATCAGCTAATTTTATTAAATTATCAAATCAAGTGGAGAAACATTTTAGGAATTGTATATATTTTAACATTTTAATATTTTTTTTGTAGCCATTTACGGTTATCATTAGTTAAACGCAAGACCCTACCAGCTATGCTGAATATTTTATCGTAGTTAAATAAAGTTATTCGTTCATTCAAGTGATCAGGAGCGTATAATGCTAGTTTCTCTTGAAGACACTCTCCTACTTTAGGTGTAAATTTGAAAAAACAAACAATAAAATAGGCACACGAAAAAAGAAAGGTTATGTTCGGGTCATCAAGCCACGCTGAGAAATAATTTGACAGGTGTAAACTGGGTGTACAAAATGAAATAGTTGCGTGATAATCACGTGATGTTTGAAAGCTAGAGAATAAAAAAATCCAAGTGCGCGCTACATCTTCACCCATTCTTAATAAAATGAAAGGGCAAAAGTCGTGAATTGATAAAGTAACAACAACTTTGCGTTTACTTCTAAGAAATTTTCAGTTGTTTTTCTCCAAAGATTTGAGAAGAACGTCAATAATTCTTTTCTTTTCTTTTCTTTTTTTTGATAAACAAGTTGCTAGAGAACCCAAAATCCCAGAGGAGGATTGCGCCATAAATCAATCACTTAAATCTCAGTAACCTCCTTCTTAATTCACCGCTCATTTTTTCTTGGGTTGATGAACGAAAATAGATGAAAGAATAGGTTTTTCTAATGCATATATTCTGACCACAATAGCTGGGAAGGTCAAGGCAACTGCGCAGTTCCTCAGCATTAGTATACTTCAGTACATTTTCTGACCACAATAGCTGTCAGAAGGAAAATGCGATTGCGCAATTACTCGGCATTATTAATGACTTTGGCTAAATGCTGGAATTCCATACGCTTCCTGATGACTCACTTAGAGTCATTTTAGATCAGGCTAGACTAGAGAGTGTGGTAAGGGCTCACTTCACGCGGGAGCAGTGGAACTAACAGGCGGTAACACGACCATGTGCACGTGAGTTCCTGACTTCCGAACTTCCGACGTATATGCACTGCACGCAGTTTAAAATGCTTTTGTACACACATGGTCTGATCGAACTCTTCCATCTCTGAAGAATGAAGGAACGGTGAAACCTAAAACAGAGCGGAAATTCAATTTGAGAAACAAATCGATTTTTCACACTTTAATCTTATTCGAACATTAGAAGATTGCTTGAAGTGATGATAAAATACAGTTCCAAGCCAAATGATCACCTAAGCCAGTAATTGAATCAGCTTGTCTGTCGTCGCGTCCTAAGCAAAGCTCTGTTTTGATCAAATACTTCATTAGTAAACAATCGGCCTTTTTCCATTACTCGACCGAATCACGTACATCTAGAAAGACTACTCTGTAAACTCATTAAACACACTTCATACTGATTTTGATGCAAATTACCACAAGTCAACAACTTCCTTATTCTTTCGTTCTGTTATTTTGCGTTTTTTTTTTTGCGAGATTTTCTCAAGAGGTCCTAACATACTCGGATTTCAATAAATATTTGATCAATTATAATTCTATAAATAATTTATTCATTATCATACCATAGATATAGCCTAAAAAAGGTCGAGTATGAAATGGCCTTTTGAGCTTATTCAAACTGGTAAGGAAACTACGCAACCTGAAAACACATTCATGACTATGATATCCCCTGAGCCATTAATCAATGGAAAAACAAAAACATTACTACCTATTGTACCCATCATGTCATTTCTACCTACCCCTGTCCCGAACTGGGGGAGGGGGGGGGAATTCCTCTTACGGGAGAGAAGTAGCCCCGAATTTTAAACATTACCACTTGGTGAAAGACTACTTACTACATACTAAATACTAAATACTAAATACAACATCAACAGAAGACTGTCGAGTGCCGAAAGACTGCTTGAAAAACTACATTGATAAAGATAACGATAAAATGACAAAAATAATCTATCAAAGTGAGTTTCTTGTTACATTGAAAGGAGTCAAACTCATCGTGACCTTAGTACAGCTCTCTCAATAAATGGGACTCTTTTCGTTAAAGAGAAGTTGTTTTTCGATTGACACGACACTCTCTTGCTGATTGCTTCCACGACTGAAAAATTCAACATTACACTAATGTTTTCTGATATCTAAGAACGAATGGCAGATTCACTGTTCACCCTCAGTAAACTCAAGAAAAATACGAAGTTCATCGCATGTTATCCTGCACCAGGAAAATGCCAATGAATAGCCTGTTTTCTTGAAAGTTTTTTTTCTTGAAAGAAAAGCGCTATAATATATCGTGTTTGCCTGAATTCGTTAGTCTACTCTTATCACCTCTCTGCTAGGTAATAACGCGAAAAGGTATTGACACTGTGAGGGAAACTTGTGTGCTTATTGCCTTTGCGGGCTAAAGGATTGACATGCAAATCAGTTGCAATTATGTGTTTTCTACAGGAAAAAAGCATTCTTTGCTTGAAAAAATTCCTGATATGTGAACCTTCGTTTCTCAGTCTTCAGCCGTTCGAAACTAAGCTTTCGCTATCTTTTTTAGCGCTGAACGATAGCCTCAAAACTGGGAACCCACATTTTGCTAATGTTAACGAATATACGTGTATTTAAATGAATGTGTCTAAACCTTGTTTCCTCCTCCATTTTCAATTATAATGTTTAATATAGTCGCAAGATTTTCAAGCTTTTTGACGCTGAGAGAGATCGTTTTTGCCTTCACACTAGACAAAATTCACCAAGAGTTCTTCGACTGCGTAATCGTGTGTAATGCCTTTTGTTGCGTATACATTTATAAATTAATCGACTTGACATGGAAGCAGAAAATTGACATCAATTTGTGCATCATTAAAAAAGAATGTAAACCAGGTTCTTTTACTAACTTTCCAACAATTAATGAGGTCTTCGTTATTTGGGTAAATACATCGAATGGAATACTTCACCAATGCAGCCACAGTTAGAAAAAAAGTCAATTGACAAAACATAGAAGGTTTATCTGACCACAGTAAATACCAAGGTATGGACGATCAGACGAAAATTTAAAAATCCAACTGGTAGGAGAAGCGTAGTTTATTCCCGCATCTACTTTTCATAACAGAGGTTGTAAACAGAGCGCTGATAGAAGCTCCTCATATCCCAGTGACGACCAATACAAAATCCGTGTATTAATTAATATAAGCCACTACACGTTACGTATCCTTTCAAAAAATATGCTAAGATGTTTTCTCCAAAAAAGAAAAAAATAAATAGGTAAATAACGACAATAAGTGATATCTATAGCCTCCATATGCGCGAAAATATGCACGGATAATTGACCGTACCGGAATTGAAGAAGTAGACGTAAAGTTTGAAATTTGAGAATATCACTTGCGGGCTTGCATAGCTGGGGCGTATTCGAACTCGTGATGTGTTTAGACCAAGCGTGCGCGAGCGCAAATATTTGATGGGTTCTAACGCGTGATTTCTTTGGTTTCATTTCCTCTATAAGTTTTTTTTTCTGAAAAAAAAAACAAAAAAAACAAAAAAACAATAAGTAGCCTGAGAGGTCAAATTCCTTGAGTCGGATTGTATTACTAATCAGTCACTTCCTTCGCAGTTTATGACTCGATTTCCGTTTGTTTTAGAATGTGGATGAAAGAAAACACTGAAACGGCGACCTCAATAGCTGTGAAGGTCAATGCAATAACGCAATTCTCTGGGATTAAGATATTTCAGTATATATTATCTGACCACAATAACTGCAAACGTCCGTGCGATTACGCAATTACTCGCCCTAGTAATTGACTTTGGCTAAATTTTGGCATAACTATGTTTTCAATGACTCAACCGGGGTCATTTCAGGTCAGGGTAGTCTACGAAGTATATAGGAAGTGTGCGTACAATTTTTTTTTAATATTCTGGAAGGCTCATTTCAAGGGGGATCAGTGAGACTAACAGGCCGCAGTATTGCGACCGTGCACGCGTGAGCCTCTTTCATATTGCATACACGCACTGCACTCTGATAGAAAAACGCTTCTACACACAAGCTCTGGCATCTTTGCAGACTAAAAGCCGAGTGAAACTTTACACAGAGCGGAAATTTAATTGCATACATAAAATAGAGTTTACGCACTCTATTTTTATCCGAACACGGGAAGCTTAGTTAAGTGATATCATAAATACCGTCTAGTGCTAACTGATTACCTAAGCCAATAATTGGATCAGCTGTCTGTCGTCGCGACCAGAGCTAAGTTATGCTCGATCCGAAACTTCACCAGTAAACAATCAGCCTTTTACCCATAACGCGACCAACTTACTTACATCGGCGAAGTACACGCTGTACACTCATTAGGCACTTTTCATACAGGTATTCAAAATTACATTGGTTAACAAATTCCTTATTATCCAGTTATTTTCTTTTCCTTCTTGCGAGTTATGAACGACCTTCTAACGTACTAGGATTTGATTACTTATTCGACAAACCAATTAAATATGCTTTACACATTAATATCTTTTAAACGATAAAAAAAGCCACGTGAACAATTTCAAAAATTGCTTTTTGAGCCTTTTTAAACTAGCAAGGACAATAGATAATTTAAAGAGACTTCATAGGCTTGGCTAACCAGAAAACGTTCCCCACCCCCTCCTCACCAAGGTTCATTAGACCTACTTTGGAAAAAATGCACATCATTTCTATTCAATAGAAATTTTAAATTCTTTTGAAAAAATTCATTGTTTACATTCTTGAATCTTGACCTTATTTAGGGAGAGCACGGCAAAAGAGGAAATGCAAAACGAGTCGAAAAGTAAATTGCAATTTTAGATTTGCATCTCACGGAGTAATGTGATCGTTCATATTTTGCATACATAGAATAATTCGCCAGTTCAGCTGATCTGCTGTTATCAGCTTAGAGTATTTGAAACATCTAATTATAGCTGCATATTTTATTCGAACTGAGAGATTTCCGTTTGCGATCAATGCTGTCTTTGGTGAGTTTTCTTTCCAAATACAGATGCGTTAAACTGTGTTATTTCAAAGCGTTTATTGCTCGAGGCTACGACACGCTATATTTAGATGATTTCACCTTGTGCTCAACCCATACTTAACATCAGAAAGGGCTGCCAGTGAACATTCTAGAGGGATATGCAACTCTAGCCCAAAAATTTTTCATCATAACAATAAATAAAGCAGCCTCTTCGCTAAATTCTTCGAAACTGCCGCAAAAATTTGCTGAACCAACTTTAAAAATCCTAAAAAGTAGAAATATGAACTAAAAACATTTTACACTCGGCAGAAATCCATTGAAAATAACAGGGACTGGGAGATTCTAAGAGTAAAGTCCAGTGAAAAACTACAGCTATACAAATTGACCTTAAGGTTTGTGATAACTTATCCAGCCGCTCGATCTTCCGTTTATAAATTTATCATGGGTTCTTCATCAGCATTTCCCACTTCTTTGTTTGTTTTTTTGTTTGAATTTTTATCTCGTTTGTTGGTGTATATCGTTTGAGGAAATGGTATTTATAATTCTGTTTATTTTCCTTTTTGCGGCTTATTAGTATGGTTAGAAACCTTAAATTAAAAAGATAGCGTGACTATTGCCATTTCACTGCATTTCATTGGATTTTGCGTAGGTAACTCAAAATATTAATGAAAACTATTTTTATTTTTTTATTGAAATAAAAGCTAAACGGCGGAGGGTTGACATTTAATTTTACCTCATCGTCTGATGTTGTTTCAAAACTGCAACCTCATTACGTAACCAAATACTTCTGAACTACAACATACAAATCATGTCTGGTATGCCATTTCTTAAACATGTAGCGGCAATCAACTGGAATAAAAGAATGACGTCCTTTTCATTTCTTCCTGAACATCACAATAAATAGTGATTTTCACGTACGATTTTTCCTTTTACGAACACTCAATTATGGCGCAGAATGAATGAATTAAGACCTCTTTTAAGGAACAACTAAGTTTGGAAATTAAGTTTTTCCCGAATATTCCGGAATCACAAATCCCACGAAGTGAAATCAGATCTATGAAGTACATTGATCCTTTGGTTTTGAGCGAGTGAAAACATATGGTTTGTCATCATTGATCTGTTCGCTGCACAAGAGGCTGATTATTATTCTGTTCTACTCCTTTCTTTGGGCGAGTTTCGCTTAACGAAACTCAAGATTGAATGAGTAGCCCGATTGAGTTGCGCCCTTCGTGTGTTTAAAATGAAATTTTATTCATTCATCAGGAATAATTGAGTTCCAAAAAGCCATCTTTCAGATAATTGATAAATTCCCGCTAATGCACTATTTATACCCTCAAAATCTAAACACTGCACAATTTAATCTCACTACGAGGTAAATTTCGAGCCAGATAGAACTGAACAATCAACCACACATTTCCTCATAATATTACTAAAAACAAATCAATTTATCGCCAAAATTTCTACTTTTTTCGCTTAAACATCTCCAGCTTGGTCAAATATAGCAAAACTGAACCTAATGGATTGCACCCTAAAGGCTCCGCTGTCTTGTGAAAAGGCAATATAAGCAGTACTGATTATATAATGAAATATCATGCATATAATAAAGACTAAGTGCAAATATAGAGGTTTTAAGAAGAGGCTAAGTAAAGCAGGCTAAGTGCAGAAACTGAACCAGTTTCCGGCGCTTGAAGGAAAATCTCCGTATCATTAACCTGAGATAAAAAGAACTATTAGCTACTGACTTCTTTAGCGTTCTTTAGCAAGCAGGAAGGAGGATGCTGTCAATCGTTTTCTTCTCCTCAAATACTACATTAACCTGAAAAAAACAAAACAAACAAACAAACAAACGAATGAAAAAAATAAAAATAAAATATCAAAATCTACCTAATCCAGAAGACATTTTAGGTCAAGCGTTTAGATGTACTGCTCATTTATCGACAATATCCGAGCGTCTTGACTTGTGAGCCTATCGTGATTTTTTGAGAGACTAAGAGGGTGGAGAAAAACGACTAAAATTTTTTTAACTACACCGGATGCCATTCAAACTCAGCATATATAGCGAGGCTATGATAAATCTAATGGCAACGCGACCATCTGTTTCTGAGTCAAGTTTGGTTCAATTGTCTTGTTAATCAGTCCTGTCAATTCACGACAAAGAGCCACCTGAACAAAAGGGTTAAATGTCATCCTTTTATCACTAGCAAAACCGAAATTTCAACGCGACGTATTTGAATTTGTTCAGTCCACTGAGTTCAATTAAAGATCGCTGAAGCGTATATCGATTGTCGTCAAGTTCTGCCGGTGGTGTAGTGAAACACTTTTTTGGGAGAGCAGCGGCCATCGATACTTGGCTTCAAGAAAATTCAATAACCTTTGTCTGGGATCTTAAGCCACTGGCACTTGGAGCATGTCACGATTTCCTGAGTCGAACTGCTCGTACCTCATCAAGTGGTCGTATAACTGAGCTAATTAGAAGCGCAAGGGAAATGGGGAGAACATCAGACCAGTTACAGTTTCTATCAGTGTCTTTGATTTAGAAAACCCCCGTCTTGAAAGTGGGGCAGCGGTTATGAACTCAGAGACAATGAACAAGTGCCTTTAGTTTCAAGGATAGTAAAACAGGTTCTCTTTGTGGTGTAGTCTGTCATAAAAAAAAATATAAAATTACCGAGGAAAAAAGAGAAGTCGATTCATTATGCAGAATAAATAATTGACAATGTTCGGGTTAGGGGCGTCTGCAGTTAAAAGCGAATAAACCAATATGGAAACACTTTTTCTTTGAGTTGAAATAAAGTTTTTTTGTTGTTTAGCACAGTATTATAGTCTCGAGTATGCCTAATCTTGATATAATGGGGTGTGTTTCACCTCAGCCAATCACAATTCAGAGTTTTCCTAAAATATGCGAGGAACGACGTGGTTTACTAATTATTTTTGTATCAACACAATTCAACCAAACAGTGTACAGAGAAACTTGCATTTGATCAGGTGCTAAATTTGTAACTTGTGGTTCCAAGAAGCCATTAATTGATCCTCTTTTCCAAAAATTATAAAGGAAAATACTTTGCGAGATTAAGTATGATTTGAAGACCTTTGCGTTAAAGAAAACATTCTTCGAATTCTATCCCCGTGTTTGGGCATCGAACCACGCGAGCTTCGAATTCTTCTTGAACAAACGCGTGACGAAAGGAAATGTCATTGACCCCCCTCTAGGAAGAAATTGCTCAAGTCTTTTGTGGGCGCGCCAGGCATAGTTGTGTCATTCCTCGCATTCTTTGTTAGCCTCCGTTTTCACTCAAGTAAAGGGCAACTTGCTAATTCCAGGTGATTTTTCGAAGGACGACGTTACTATCATTCCTCTTGTATTTTGAAGAATTCTGTGTGGTTAGGTACGTTTCACGAAACTTTGAATGGTTTTAAATCATCCGATAGATTTTCCCCCTTCGAATGTTCGATCGGCCTGTTGAATCGTTCGAATTTTTTTCATTTTTCCAGACTTGTGCTTCCGGAACGACTGATCAAGCCATCAGTTAGAAGTCTACTGGGTCAGAATAAACAGTATTTGGAGATTCCCTCCAGCTAAGATCAATTTTTTACTCAGTGTTTCCAACAAAACCGCCAAGATTTCGGACCACGAGGACCTCGAAATGACTAACTCGGCCGACGAGGGCAGCGCGACCAAAAGCCCCGTCGACATGGCCAATGATGCCGAAGGAGTATGGTCGCCAGATATCGAGCAGTCCTTTCAGGAGGCTCTGGCAATTTACCCTCCTTGTGGGCGGCGAAAAATTATTCTCTCTGATGAAGGCAAAATGTACGGTGAGTGGCGCATTCTTGTCTTCGAATTTGTTTAATTCGTCAAGCGTCGATTGTTTGAATATTGCTCAACCCGGAAACCTAAACTATGGTCACTAACGAAGTTGCTTGCTCCTTTCGCATAACTCACTTACTTTGAAACTATTTCTAAAATGAGAAACGGCTGGCTTGTTAAGAATAGAGAGAATGTTGACACTACATACCGCGCTTTCCACGAAGGCATGGAATGGGCAGTCGAGTTGTTTATATCAACTGAACAACGCGATCTCTTGTTGTAATAACTACATATTATTGGCATTCAGCACTCACAGTTTAACACCGATCTCTCGTGGCAGCTGTCCAGCTAGAGTTCATGAAAATGTTAGCATACTTGTAGGCTTCTTGGCGGTTTTCGCTGAGCAACTAAAAATTCAGCTCCAATGATAAGATGTCACGAACGCTAAGCGTACGCAGCTACGCGTGTTCAATTGTTTGAAATATGCTTGCTATGTAACTCGCAGTTTTACATTAACCCCTTACCACAGCGGTTGCATGATCAGTATAACTCATCAGTTTTGCTTAATTTGTGTTTTGGAAGACCAACTTGTCAATTTTGTGGGCGATTAAAAGAAGAAGATCATTTTGATCGCCTCAGTTATTTTGTCTCTCAGAACCGTTGAGATCTCAGGCATAGCATGTGTTTTACATTGCGTTTGTAACAAAGGATCACGAATTATTTTGTTGGAATGCATGTTTAGTTTATTGAGTTTAAAAGATGGCGAACATTAAATTTTAAAAAACTCAGCTTTTTTCTAACTTTTATGTGTTGTGGAACAAAGACCTCGTCATATTTGTATCTGATTAGTATGCCACATGGATAATATTAAGCAACTTGAATAGAATATAATGAAATGCTATGCTGAAAAAATACGCAACACTGAAACTTAATTTATGAAATGTGCTTTGGTAATGTCACCCACACTTTTCCTTTTCCTGTAATCTGTATTAAGTCCTTAATGCTTTGTTTCCTTCAAATTCAGTTCAAAATACAGATGAAGTTCATTATAATTTTGTATTTTCTTGGCAATATAGTCCTTTCCCCCAGCCACAGTTTAGGCAGTTTTAGTCCTTCATGGGTGATGAAGAAATTTTTGTTCATTGAAAAAATATACTTTTCCAATTTTAAAGACCAAGAGTTAAAAACAACTGATTTTGTTCTGTTATGTTGAATTTTGAACAAAATTCACACTTTACTTAATTATTATTTTCATAATTATTGTGCAATTCAAGGAAAGATAATGCCTCTTCAACAAAAGTGTGGGTGGTACAAGTACATGCATACTAAGATCTTACTCCGAAACTGTTTTGGCTGATAAACCAAGGTAGTAATTTAGAAAACACTGATAATATTAGGAATGGGTGCCAAGTCTCCTAATATACAGCTAACCCTAAAGACTTCTCAAATATTGATTTAAATTTAAGGCAGTGCGACCACACTAATTTTCCTTTTAATTAAGGATGAGCTAAAGAAACATTGATTGATAATGAGTCTTCCCTATATAATCTAAATTAAGCGCCTGTCTTCCTAAATTGTAGAATTCAAGTTAGAGCTCTTTTCTGTTTTTGAATGCAGGCCGTAATGAGTTGATTGCTCGATACATCAAGCTGAGAACTGGAAAAACAAGAACAAGGAAACAGGTAACTATTTTAAATCTAGGAGTTACAATCAAGATAGTGTTTTCGACTCTCAAAGTGGGGAATGAATCTATTAATAAGAATATTGACAAATTTCTTAAACTGAAGTTATATTTTTCTCTTTGACTTCAACTTGGCTGGTTCACATCAGTAATAGTAACTTTTCAAAACGTTTTTCTCCATCAGCCAGTTTTCCTTTTGCATGCACCTGTATCTAGTGATACTGTGAGAAATTCAGAAGAAGGGGTACCTCTTGCAGCTTGGTTGTTCCATTTTTTTTTGTGGTGCCAATTATGATATTCTTTTTTATGGAAAAAAAAAAATCAATGAAAGCTATGATCCCAAAAAAGAGGCTTTTTTTTTATCTAGCACCAGACAAAAGTTCTGATTGGTTCAGGAAGCAATATTTTCAAGCTGGGTGCTTACTGGGTGAAGTTGAGATTTTTCAAATTTTTTTCTTACATAGGTTTCCAGTCACATTCAAGTGTTAGCAAGGAAAAAGGCAAGGGAGATTCAAGGCAAACTTAAGGTTAGTTACACTGCTTATTTTTTTTTATTTGTGTTTGATAGGTTTCAAGTCACATTCAGGTGTTAGCGAGGAGAAAACCAAGAGAAGTGCATGCAAAAATTAAGGTTTGTACATAAGTGTATACTGTAGGTGTAAGATTATAACACTTAGAGTAACAATTACAAAGAATTACAAGTCAGCAATTACAGTTGTTGAAAACCAAAAGTTGCTTTCGAGCATCCTGTTATAAAGTAACAAAGGACCAGTTGACCTCAGCACCTGAAGTAGAATAGTACTGTTTGGTTGAAACCTTAGAATCAACATAAAGTGATTGATTCCAGAGATAAATGGTGTTATTGTATTATTAGCCATAATAGTATTTCACCATAGGAAATAACTTCAACCTTTCTAAGCTTTTGTATTTCATCTTATCGTTATTGTTTTCCTAATCTCAAACTTTTTTCAATGGTATTTCTAGCTTTCGGAGTTAATTCCAAGATTAATGATTTTTTTATCAATGTCAAATGTAGGACCAGGCTGCGCGAGACAAAGCTCTTCAGACTATGGCCTCAATGTCATCGGCACAAATTGTGTCAGCCTCTGTACTTCACAGTAAGGCTCTGGCGGCAGCTGGAATGCCTGCATTTAACAATGAAAGCCAAGGATACCAAGTATGTCCAGTACAATTATAATTAATAGATATCTCAAAACTTTTCACACTACATGTTTCTAAAACTTAACTCTTCAAATTGTATTGTTATCTGTTGCATGGTCTTTAAGGTCATCAGATAAACCAGCTTAAGTTGAAAATTTTGAATTACTATTTTTTTTCTCAGACTGACCCTTTCGGAAAAGCTAGGTCAAGATTTAGTATTTACGAACACTCTGATTAGAGTGCTCTTTGCTCTCTTAAATCAATTAAGGTTACCGGTATTTGGAAGATTGACAAATTTACTGGGAGTGTTTTCGGGGAACTGGAAGAGGTCTTTCTGAAATAACTTCATCTTTTAAATCTTAAAGTAGATTCTTGGGCCATTCCTTTTTCCGGTCAAAATACATGTTTTTTGTTTATTTTAGCAACAATACTGGCCATCTAGCGCAGGGCAGCCAGTGCCAGGCAGTTATAACAATGCCTCACAAGCTCCATATGGCAGTCCAGGAGTCCAAGCCAGTGTACCTGGTAGTGTTGTGTCCACAGCTTCAGTTGCAAGCCCCACTGGAGCTGTTGTCAGTACTCCTGAAGACATGGTAAGTTTCTGTACAACGATTTTAACAGGATGGACTGAGATTGAAGGATGTCCGTTGATTGTTGATTGCCAGGTTGAAGGTAAAACATGAAATTTTTTAAGAGCTGAGTGAGAGCAAGATGAAGGTTACATCCTTTACTATCAACCCTTTACATCCTCACAGCAGTATATGTGTTTTCCATACTTTTATCTGGACATTTCCTATGGTAGTTACAAAGGGAATTTGTTCAACAATCAGGAGCTTCTTGAGTTCATAGTCATTTCCTTTACTCTCATGAATTAAATGTTTGGTTCAGGGGTGATACTGTCCAGACAAGTTACATGCTTTTCACCCTGTAAGAGTAGGATAATTTTAGATTCTATTCTTTCATTTTACTTTCCCATTCCATCCAGTACATTAAGAGTGGGATTTGATTGTCTTTATTTTTTTTTATTTTTTTATTTTTTTTTTTTGCAGAGGAGTGTCACACACAGCAGAGGAACTGTATCCTCTACACCACCAACTTTTGCTGCACATGGCAGCTCAACATGGCCTCAGAGATCTGTTGAACAGCAGCTAGTAAGTGCACCTATTATTACTGCAGCAGTGTTGTCTAAAGGTCAATTTACACTTTTATTATAAGCAATGTTGGCCAATTACTATAAGTATATAATAAATGGTAGATATCCAAATAATAGTCTTAATATTCTTTGCTGTCCACCTCACACCTTCCACCTTTGCTGTCCACCTCACATCTAAACAGCAGTTTATCACAGTGTTGATGGCTAGCTTGGTAAATATTCATCACCAAACACCTCCACTTTGGTGAATAGTTATTAACTATTACTATTTGGATTTGACTTTCTAGGTCTTTCACATCATTTTTATAGTTTGATATTCAAAAGTTACATGTTATGAAAACCCTTAATAACTAAACATCATTATGCACGTTTTCCATACTGTTCTCTATACATTCCAACTGGCACTGACCAGGTGAACTCATTCAACAGTCAGGAACTGCTTGAGTTGTGGATCATTTCCTTTATTTTCATGTTCTGAGCGTTTGACTCATTAATGATACTGTAAGGGGAATATAGATACTTGTATTAGTCACCAGTGAGAAAAAGAGGGAGAACCTTTCAGCTCCTGTAACTTTGTGACTTTCATGATTTTAGTTAACTTAATTTTGTTTGATTTTAGCCCCTGCGGCTGGTGGACTTCTCAGCATTTCTCGAACAACAGCGAATGGAACCTGAGTCGGTAATTAGAATCTCTACCAGACACATGTTAAGCTATTAATTGCAAATTTAAGATATACACACAGCCCGTAGTGTGTTGCATTGGATAGACTGCAGTGTCCTTTAGAAGTTAACAGCTACACATACTTCAAAATCCTAAGTAACTGAAGAAATGTCCAGTAAGCAAGATAATGTGGCAGTGGAAACAAACAAAACAGCTTTCAAACATTGAAGTTTTGAATAAATGTCAAGCTTGAATTTTAAACTAAATTCCTCTTCATTCCTTTCCTTTAGTACCACAAGCATTTGTTTGTTCACTTGGGACCAAACACAGATCTTGGTGACCCTCACCTTGAGGTAAAGCATTTAATTAGAATGCATGGATTGAATACAATTTTATTGGTTGTTATTATACTGTGGAATCTCAATTATCCAGACTCAGGGGGACTGGGCTGAATAATGTGCATAAATGAAATGGCCCCAAAATAAAACTGAATTAATATATTAAACCAATGTCATACAAGAATGAAAGTACATTCTCAAATAACTGTGCATCATTGCCAATACTTGTTAAAGTATTTACAAAATCATTTTACAAGGACTACATTTTATGACCTAGAATGCTTACATGTGCACCTTGCTAATTCTTCAATTCTTTGAAACTGCATTATTGAAATTGTTTCAGTGCATCTGCTTGGTTTGATGGGAAAGAGTTGTTACAGATCTCATTTTTGAATGATTGACTTTCATGAAAAAATAGGACCAGAGAGGCAAGTCGGGATAATAAAAAAATCTGGATAATTGAGATTCCACTGTAGTGGATTGCCAACAATTTCCAACATTATGAACTCTTAATTAGGGCTTGTTTGCACAAAAATATCTGTGGATGTGTGACCAAGCAGCTTTATCATGCAGTTTGTCTCAGCGGGGCAGTGAAAAAATTTCAACAACTGATAACATCACTATTTTTTTCTCCTTTTGTTGAACTGAAGGCAGTCGACATTCGCCAGATTTATGACAAGTTTCCTGAGAAGAAAGGAGGCCTTAAAGAGCTTTATGACAAGGGACCCCAAGCAGTATTTTTCTTGGTGAAATTTTGGGTAGGCAGGACTGTCATTATTATTTTTCTGTGTTATGAAGTATGATCCTGATGTTCCTTTGGTTGTTAGTTTTGGTTATAGACACACTTCTTGTTAACCCTCTAACCCTGAGAGTGACCAGCATCTAATTTCTCTTTACAGTAATACTGCTGAATTATTCTTTAACCCTTTAACTCCTAGATCAAATTTGTTATTCTCCTTACTGTCAACCATACAATTCTTCAGAGAATTTAGTATTGGATCAGCTAATTATCCCCAAATTGATTTTTTTTCAATTCTCATCACTAATCTGGTTCACATGTTATTGATATAGTAAGGAGAAATTCTGTCTTGGTCACTCATGGGAGTTAAAGGGTTATTAAGATCATGAGAATAAACAAAAGGATTACCAACTTGAGAAGCTTTGATCATAAAATGAATTCTCCTTGTTTGTACCAGGAAAATGTATAGAGGAGAGTATGAAGAATATCGTTACTGATTTTAGGGTGTAAATTAAGGGTTTTTCTGATTTTCCTTCCTAGGCTGATCTGAATACAAACATACATGATGAAGCTGGAGCATTTTATGGTGTTTCAAGCACGTGAGTGTCTTATTTTTAAATTACAGTACAATCAGTTTATTGGATAAGTTTTTACACACACTGAACTACCCATATTATTGTTTCAAATGAAGTTTGGCCATAAATTATTTGGTTTATAGTTCATTATATGCAAGAAATTGTACATAACCCTGTAAAGTGCCTGAACTCCTTTCCTTAAAATATAACGTGTGTGGGAAATTATTTATAAAAGTAATCCATAGAAATCCTTACAAATTTATGGGGATAAATTTACACTGCCACTTGTCACTTAGCCACTTATTTGAACTTGACAGTTAATTAAGGTAAATTGTCACTAATGAAAAGCCTTTGCTTTTATTCTAGTTATGAGTCAAACGAAAATATGACCATCACATGTTCCACAAAAGTTTGTTCATTTGGCAAGCAAGTTGTGGAGAAAGTGGAGGTGAGACAAAATGCAAAAAATAATCAATGATCAATCAATCAAAGCCTACTGATCTTGCAAGTTAGAAATTACAATTAGTGGTGAGAGTATTGGTGACTGATTTAGCCCATTCATGTAGATATTGTGCTGAGTTTCTCTTGGCATTTCAGAGACCCATCATACTAGTAAACAGATATTTTGGACGGCGACCCCATCTTTCCTCTTTTTTAGTTACATATATGTACTTTGGGTATAGCAACCAAAATTGAGCTGTGTAAACATGTACTTTCTAACATGAATGTGGACTTTTTTTTCCCTCCTTTCTTTCAGACTGAATTTGGCCACTTCGAAAACAGTCGGTTTGTTTACCGCATTCACAGGTCCCCAATGTGCGAATACATGATCAATTTTGTTCACAAACTTAAACAGTTGCCTGAAAAGTACATGATGAACAGTGTGTTGGAGAACTTCACAATTCTTCAAGTAAGTTAAAGTGTTACAAGGGAACTGATGTCAGTGGGCTTAAGTGAATATATACTTTGTACATCTTTTCATACCACAACAATGAAATTGCCTGTAGTACCTCTGTAGTGTAAGTTGCAAGATTGTGCTACATTGCATGATGTCAATTGTGGCACGTAAGCATTCCACTTTAGTTCTCAGGCTCTTTCCAAGCCAGTACAGTCTTTTTGTATTGTCCAACTTGTTTAGTTGAGTGGACAGGCTGAGTTTGCAGTTACTGTGGTGAATGTGAGGATGCAAATTTGAAACAAAACCAAAACTTTTAACCATTTTGACCCCTAAGATTGCCAAGCATCTATTTACTCCTTACATTATTATTCCTGAATCACATAAAGATCATAAGAATAAGGGAAATGATTACTAATGGCTGTCAGGATACATGTCTTGGTTCTCAATCAAGAGCTTCTTTAGTTGTAGATCATGTCCCATATTCTCATGACCTTAATGTTTTATTCAGACTTGCTTATCAACAAAGGGTACAGCCCTTATAGCCAACTTGCTAATTTTTTAGACTTGCTTATAGGGTGTTGGTAAGCTGCTAACAATTCAGCCATATTTAATTTATTTATCATTCATTTGTAGGTATTATCAAACAGGGAGACACAAGAAACCTTACTCTGCCTTGCCTATGTGTTTGAAGTATCAACTAGCGAACATGGAGCTCAGCATCATATTTACCGACTAGTTAAAGACTAAAAAATATTATATTAAAAGTAACTGCTTTCTAGAACATGTATATGTATATCTTTTTCCTTTGTAAAATTTATTCTTTCAATTTCTTTATATTAAATAACTTGTATTATGTAAATGAAAGAAAACATCAGCCATTTGGAGGACTAAAACTATCCATGCAAGATAAGGAAAATTGTTTTAAAGCACATCGATATTGCTTTGGGTTGTGATATTGCATTTTGCTGTGAGTTCTAGGAGCTAGAAATCATTACTTTTAATCAAGACATTTGAGATGACTGTCAGCTTTACTCCAATTGTAAGTTCCAGCCATCAAAAATCTTTTATATTCTCTGAGATATTAAATACTTTTAATATTGTAAAGGGCAAGTAAAATAGTCCATCTCACAGTTGTGTGCTTGGTTGCCAAGCCTTTGAACAGAAGTGAGGCTAAGGTTGACCTTATTATGATACAAACCTTGCTGCTTTGCAGATGCAAATTACTTTGTTATCATGTGAACTAGACACTGGTCTCTATCACTACAAGGTCACCTTCAGCCTCACTCCAAATTAAAGGCTTGGCAACTAAGTACACAACTATAAAATAGCCTATTGTGTGGTAAATCCATGAATGATTTGTGCATGTATGACTGCAGAGCATTCTGGCCTTAATCTTAGTAGAAAAAGGTAAATACTGTCCATTTACTCAACCCTTTTAATTCAAGAGACAGGGAGTAAAAGGGTATAGGACTTTTTTTTTTGTCTGGTGATAAAATCCCTTCACTGTCTGCCACACATTTCTACTTTGGAGTTAAACCAACTGACACCCATTGTTGTTCTTCCTTGTGCTTACTATCTTTCTTCTTGACAGTGCAGTGAGAATGTGAGGAGAAATTAATTATTGTTTACTCCAAGGAGTGAAAGAGTTATCTGAAGCTGGCAATGAATCCAGATTGTGAGAAAGATATGAGAAAATTTTTTTTCTAGTCAGTTTTCCAATTTTTTTTTCTTCACTTCTTCTTCTAAATTGCTAAAAATTAGCTTACATGTTCTCCTAGCTGTCCACTAATTGAATGTTAATTTGCTGGGAATTGCTGAAGTTAAGTTTTGCAGCTGTAATCACTGGCTGAATGGTTTTTTTTTCCTGTTTTTGTGGATGCTAAACTGCACCATAGTGGTGAATTTCTTTGTACTAAGGGGGTTTGTAATTACTTATAAATGTTCTGACATTTAAAGACTGTTACTAGTGTACTCATTCAAACGATGTAGGCTATTAATCTCTTTTTCTAGTTAGTATTTTCAAACTAGACATTTTTACATGTGTATCTAAAGCAGTACAGCTTAACTGTACTGAGCATAAAATTGCTTCAAGTTGTGGAGCTTAAGTACTAGGGGAGTTTTCAAGTGTAAAGTGGTACATATTTTCACTTAATTTCTTATCTCTCTACATTCATGTTAATAGAAATGTCCAATACACTTCTTGTTCTGTTCTTAGAACATTTATTAGGCAAACACTTAGCACACATCAAACATAAGTAAGAAAGCAAAACTTTGCACAAGTGATCGTAATTGTGATGTGAACAAGGTATGTGACCACACTGTCTAATGAATATCATTCTTAGAAAAAAAAGAAAACCTGTTTTATTCTAATTTTTAACTTAGGTGTTGCTAGGGAAGAAAAACTGGCAACTGGCTTAGAAAATTCCTTGAAAGGTGCACCATATTTTTGTACTGTGGTGATAGAGGAAATTCTTTAAAAATGGTATATGTTTCCAAACAAAGCAAAAATATTATTATATAGATAAACTAAAGTAGTTTAGAGGCAGTTTTCAGTAATTATGCTTGGATCAGTTTTGTTGTTATTGTCAACAAATTTATGTATTATAGGGTACTATACAGCTTAAATATATATATTGGACATTAAAAGATTCTTTCAAGAAGCTTTTTCATTTCATGTGTTTTTATGGTGTTCAAACAGAAGATATGCTGTTTATACCATGTAGACTTACCACAGCCTTCATTGCTAAAAGAAAGTCAGAGCTTCTGTAGTTATTAAAATTTATTATTACAATCATTATTTTTATTCTTATTACAACATGGATAACACACAAAAAGAGTACAGATATTGCAAAAAGGAGCAAGTGAAAAAAAATACAGAGTACCGGTACACAAAAGAAAAAACTTTCTCTAGAATCTCATGAAGCTTTGAGTAAATCTCTGATGCAATACCTGGCTTTAAATTCTTGTCTTTTTATGGCCCTTTGACCCCAAAGCGTGACTGGCATCTAATTTCTCTTTACCATATCATCCTTAATCAAACATTTAGGTCATAAGAATAACAGAAATGATGGCTACCTAAATAAGCTTGATTGTTTAACAAATTATCCTCACCTGTTCATCACAGGAAATGTTTGGACAAAAGTATAAGGAAAATGCTTACTGATGTTAGGGTGTAGAGGGTTAAAATAAAATGTACAATTTGCTTTTTGTTAATACAGTGAAACCTCTATAAGTGGACACCCTTGGGACCTTCCCAAGTGTCCACTTCATAGAGGTTTGTAAAATTGCACAATGTTTGTTAACGATTAACATTCAACTGTTACTCTGTACTGTGACAAAGTTCCATGTTGTTAATGAAGCTATCTAGAGTTCAAGTTCTCTAGAAGCTAACTAGAGTTCATGTTCATGATTTTTTGAGGGAAAGGAAAAGTGGAGTTTTCTACAAGAGGAATGAAGGGAAAACTTCAGACCACTTCTTCAAATAGAAATGCAGATCAAAATAAGACAATTCCCTTGGAGGTGTAACAGAATGACCAATTCACCATAGATAGCAAAAATTTGACATTAAGGCATTCAATTTTGTCATTGAAAGGTTCAGGACAATTCATCCAGGTGTATGGTAAAATGAGCAAAGCAAAAGAAATTTACTGTCAATCTTGAACTTGATCACTCATTTTTGGTAAAAAAATATTTATTCAACCATTCGTCCATAGGTCATTCTATGGCCTATGATACAGTGGTATAGAGAGATCTAACCCCAATTATAATGTTCATTAAATTACTCTCAAAAAATATTGCAAAATGGTTTTAAATACCAGACTGGAATTAAAAAAAAACAAAACACCTCCAGGAACATCACCTGGAGACAATCATTTGGGAAATTCTTGTTTTGTATTTAATTTTTTTTAGCTAAGATGTTCTGCATTGTATAAATAAAAGCACTCAACAAACTCTGGTAATTTTGTTTCCTTTTTCAAATATATTTTCAACTTTGATAGGCCAGTGTTTGGAGAAGTAAATGAAATTCTCCTTTTGGATCCTGGAGGAAACTTTGAGGGTAAATCATCCATACAGTGGAGCAGAAGCTGCCTTATGAGTCCACCATGAGAAACAGCCAGAATATTAGCTAGCTGTGACATCTTTTCTTGTTTTTGTGTGACACATTTTGAGGTCTGTGGCTCATCAATGATTCTATCATTGACACAAATGTCATTCTGAATGGAACTGCTAGAGTCACTACAGTGTGAAGTTCCAATTTCATGTATTATGGAGTTCAAAAACTTTGCTGCTCTTTCTTTGAGTTCAGCAACTGTTTCTCCCCCCTTTGGTGTAAATATGTTTGTCTTCATATTGTTCTCTGCTGCCATTTGTTTAAACCTCTGGTTGGATACTCCTTCTGCTACACCATAACCCTGGGAACAGAAATAGAAAAAAAATTATTGTAAAATGTTTTTCATAAATAATTTCTTGTCTATTTCTACTTGCTCACTTCAAATTGAGACAAAAAAGAGACTGTAAGCAGTTTAACTACAATGAATCTATTTCTCGATGACTACTTACTATGTTATCACGATGAACTATTTTCAATCAATATAGGAAACAATTTATCAAAGGACAAACAAACCAAGGGCAGACTCTGAGAGGGTGAAACAAGAAGATGGTATGTACAAATTTAATATTCAATTCTCACTCTCTCTCGCAGACGAGAATCCTCTACAATCTTCATTTGAGAGCAGCAATTATTTTGATTGATAATCTCCTCTGCAGTCTGAAAGATGCAAAAAGAAATTATATTTACCAGTCAGCTAGGATATAAAACTAACATTCACCCACCAGGTCAGATAACAACAAAAACAACTGACTAATTGAAAATAACAACTAGGAAAATGAGGTACTTCTCTGGAACCAGATAAATCCTTCTTCAGCTTTCAACAAGAAAAAATTTCCACAGGAACAGTGGTAATTTTCATAAACTTTTCATCCACTCTCTACTGCTGCATGACCACTTCCACAACAAGGAAAAAATAGTTTGACATACCTTTCGAGCTCTTTTCAAATCACTTGAGTAAATGTGAGAGAAAACTTCATCATTTAACTTGTTTCCAGCAAGTTGGGCTTGTTTTATACCTTCATCTGAGAGCAAAGTATCTGTCTGCCCTGCAAAATGATTCAGTCACCTTGTCATCAACACTAATGAAATTATAACTCAACCAGTCCAGATTTGTCATGAGAACTGAAACTTATCAACCACAAATAAAATATTTTCTCTCAACCATGACTGGTCTTAATGCATTCAAGACTGAATATCCAACACCTAAAACAGGGTAATATCCAAGTAACATTCCCAGTTTTCAGATATCACAGATGATTTGTAAAGAAAGTCTTCATTTACATCTAATTAAGAATGGCAGAGCCCTTTAGTGCTGTTGCAAAAGAAGAAGTCTTGCTCATTTATAACACCATTTCAGTCATCACCATGAAGTTAACATTCAATGCAGTAAACATTTTAATGCTAAGAATTTCATAAACTCCTGGTCTAACTCTTGTAAAAAAAAAAGTAATGGATAGCAAAAGCTATGACCTCCAACCAAATGAAACTAATGCTTATACATTTAATCTTAGACGTAACATTTCATCAAAGCTCAAAGGAGAGATACACTCTTGAAATTTAAAACTGTTTGCTTCTTGTAGCAGATGTCAGAATTGACAGCTATCCAAGAACAATTTTATACCAAATGGAGGCTTCTGTTTCTCTCTGTAAGAAAAATGTTCAAAATAGTTTGATGAAGGGAACCTTTCAAGTTTGACAACAAAAAAACAGCCAATCAGGTTATTGTTTTTAATCAAAGCAACTATTTATAGGATTTACAATCACAGACATTCAGCAAGTTTTCACCTTGAATGATGTTTGCCTTGTTTTCTGGAGTTTCACCACTACAAAAAAAATTTCAGAGTATAAAGAATCAGACAATAACATATAATGTAGTGTTTATCATGTTAAATTACATTGCTCATCTATATATCAAATCTCGGTTCTGTCCCTCTGGTAATCATTATCCCAATCAGTTCATTTTCGAGGCTCTATAGTAAATAAATAAAATTTTAAAGAAGTAAGGAAGAGAGAAAAGCTCAATTTTTATCAGAAGTGATAAGGATCTATAAAATTTTCGAAAGGAGGTCACTTATTTCCTCCACAAAACCCTGAAAACAACATTTTTTTAACCAGACAAAAACCGAGCAAATTGCAAGGAACTATAAATCATCACAAAGTTCAGCCATGTTTGTTGGATTACGACACGTCACAGTAACATCTAATTAAAAATAAAATGTTCAGACAATGATTGTATGCGAAGCGTATTTCCCTCTTAAAGGGTTTTTAATGCAGCTACATGTCCCATAAATTTTATGCCTTAAAATCATGTGAAAGAGAAAAACAGACGTCCGATCGAGCTGTCCTAGGATGAAAAGCACGTTCAGACGGTCAACTCCACTAACTACAATTTTTGTTTGCTTATTTCAGTTCAAACAAAGGTTATGAGAGAGAAGTTAACTACTCACTGTCTGACAAGGGTTAGAAGAATAAATGCCGAGCAGCTATCCCCTGCATCAGTTGCGTCCGCCATTTTGCTCAACGATACTTAATGGCAACGAAACATCTGTCCCACCCGTGCCTCCCCTCCACCACCACCACCACTACCCCGATCAAAATAAAATAGATTTGTGCGGTAGAGGCACCCTGGGTAAATTTCGGTTGTTGTGTGGAAAGGTTTTCATTCCTTTTTTTCCTCTTTTTTTTTCTTTTTTCCTCTATTTGGGTGATGAGGAAATTGAACTCTTTCACTATTTCTTGGCTTCATCATCCATTACTTTTATTTATTTTGTTGTTTTGTTTGGTTTTTATGTTTTTTCTTTTTGCAAAATTTTCTACTACAAGAATCACTGTGGCATTTGATACATAAATAGTAAAAATAGTAAAAATAGTCACTTACTTCCTGTTATTAAGGGCTATAAATAACTACCTGTCAATTCAAGATCAACCAAGGTTTTGCATGCTCATGAGCCAAGTTCTGCTTGGTTCAACATCTCGGGCAACAACTCTGCATTCTAAGAAGCAGCTTTATCTCATAATTCAACCATCAATGCACCCTAAAAATGATCTTGTATCTCATCCTGTAAATGAGAATTGTTCCTTTAAGAACTGCATTTCTACAAAAATCACTGTGGTCCCAATCCTTCTTTTCAGTGGTAGCTGAAATCTTCAAGAGGGCAAGACTCCATCAGTTTTGCATGTAAGGTAATTGTGTCTTGTTTGCAAAATTGATACATGGACTTAAAATTTCCCACCCTGGTATTGTTTTTAAGATTGTTTTGACAATTTAAATATTATATATCAGGACCCAGAAGGATGGTAGGTTCAGTCAATACTTTATCACATGACTATAACTAAGGTGCCTATCCACCAATTTTGGTCAAACTTTTCAGTTGCTAAAAATTAAATAAAATTAAGTTAGATTGCTTCATTCTAAATGGCTGATAACCTTGAATGACCTGAAGTTGCATCCTAAACCACTATACCACTCTGGGCAACATCCTGTAAAAAAGGAAATATGTTATAGCTGTTTATCATGACCCTTGGCGATCTGCCAGATGGTGTTTGACAACAAAAAAACTGCTCTGCCAGATTTTCTTCTCAAAATTCAACATCTCAACATGCAGTCATTCAAGCATCCCTTTATTCAAACTACTTATATGCTTGCAAAAGGCTTGTAAATGAGATCAGTATACCATGATTTTCTCTCAGCAGTCTGGGAAGGTTGCCAAGGATTTGTAAAGAAATCTACAGAGATAACATGTCTGAATTCACCTGGCAAGTGCAGACATTCTCCAGATATGCTTAATTAAGAATGTTGGAGAAAAGCCTACAGACCTCAACTTGTCCCTAATGCCCGTGGCACCATACCGTTCATAGTCCAAAAGGCAAAGTTAAATTTAAGCCCCACAGTCACAAGAAAATCTGCTGATTTACATATCAAAACTACCTCTCTCCCGCATGTGCATTTTGACTCTGTTGTTTGGAAACATTCCTCAGAGAATTACAGCATTGATTGAAAGAAGCGCTAATGCCATTTACGGATACAACTATTCTTTAGGTCAACAGCCTAGTCTGTAGATAAGTACCTACAACTCTTAAAAATGCATTCCACAGAAAAGTGAATTGTGTTTACAAAATATTGGACCAAAGACGATATTTATTCAGTCGGGACCCATTACCCTCTTCGAGGAAACCGCATACACCAAAGATTTTGAAGAGCGATGCTTACATTTGACGCTGTCGTGTGACGAATTAATAGCTTTGCCGCTGGCGCGGAAGATGACTTATTTATAAGTTGTCGCGATAGACAACTTATAAATCGATTTTTAAACAAAACAACTTGATCAAAGTAGTGACATTATTTCCCACAAATACATAAACCAGTCATCAAATTGACGCTCTAAAATATATGACGATGTTTACTTCTATATATTAATCTATATAAAACTGGCTGGTCAAACGCAGCAAAGATGGGGCGAATATTTAAATTCCTCCAGCCTCTCAATCCAAGATATGCCGTGGTATCTTGACTGGCAGCGAATGCAAAACAGGTCAAAGCTAATCAAAGATATCTTCGCACTACCTTCTCTTCGACATACTAAAAGCTCTTCTAATGTGAGCGGGTCTGCTGAGTTCTCCGTTCAAGGTCTTTCCTTTGTCTTTGTCCTTTTTACTTTTGGATTTTTCTCCTTCGCCGATTTGTGTGGCCGACGTTATACTTGTAACATGGCTAAACAGACATGGCGTTGATATCTCAACTTTTTTTAGCTTGCGGAACTTTTTTAAACGTTCCCTGTTTGTAGTCGTGGGAAGTTTATTCAATTCCGGAGCCGAAACAGACGACAGGATTTCTTGCACTGCAGCTTCGACCTCTTTTAAGAAAACATTGGCAGATTCCTCACAATTAAAGCGAAACCCCGCCATGGACCCGTCCCCATTAGAGAGCATCAACGTATGAAAGTTCTTTTGTTGTTCGTGGTAGTTAGAGTTCGAAGTGAGGGTTTCTTTCCAAGTCGCAAAGCCGCTATCTCTCTCTACTAAACTCACATGCACTCCTTTAGGATTCCTCGCTCCACAGTCTCCAGTGCTGATGACTAACACAGGCACTCCACTTCGCTCAAGGGTCCATTGATTCGAAGGACGATCGATGCTTGGCGGTTGCCAAAGATAAAGGCTTGCTGTTGTTCCGCACACCACAACGCGGTTCGATAAACAAGATAACGAAAGTTTGATCTTGAAAATATCTTTGTCCGATAAACGTTCGCTCAAGGCATTGTCACTAAGCGTCGTCCTCATGGACATGACTGATCGAAAACAGCGAATTCCAATAAGACGTGACCGACGGAGACTTCAAATTAAAAACAGTTCAATTTAAAATACAGACACTGTAGGCAATGCACACCTCCGACTGACATCAACCGAAAAATTAGTAGCACCTCAAAGTTGTCACTTGATAATGCACCATTTTGAGTGAGAGAGCGCCCTTGTGACAAATTCTCCGTTACTTTCTGTCGCTACAACTGAAGAAACCCTCTTTACGGAAAACATTCATTTACAATAGAGTACAAATGAAGAAGCTTAGTCACAGGAGTATGACGTCACGGCCTTTTTTGCTTTCGACGGATGTGACTGGGTGCGGTGAACTTCCGGTACAATCGCCTGAGTTGTGAGTCCCCAGACAGGACAACGAAAGGTTACGAGGATCGCAGATGGGTAAAATCAGGAGAAAAAGAGATAAAAAAATTTTTTTCCAAAATGAAATAAATCAGGAGGATTTTATTAAAGGGGCAGAAAAGTATGACATACCAGAGGATCATAGAGGGTCATTCCTCCTTGCATAGAACGTAAATGAAAGGAATGGAAAAGAAAATGAACCAAGTAGTTGCTCCACTTGCAATTTAACTAATCATATCACAAAACGTAACTTTAGCTTCTCTCCAGAGAGACGAAAAGTGGATCTGAATTCCCGTAAGCCGGATAGCGTAAATCATCCCTGGTGTTATGGCATGGCTCTGTAAATGTTTTAAAAAGAGATATCAACGGGGCTAGGATGGGATTATGTTGGAGAGGACTGGCGGCAAGCAATAAGGAAAGCATAGATCAAATTACAGAGGGCGACTGGACACTACAAGTAGATTCTTGTACTCTTATCAATCACACATCATTTCAAAATGATTGTGCATTTCGAGGCTTGATCATTTGTTGCGTATTCATCTGAAATTAACTTTAAAAGCTTCTCTAGCAAGTATTTCACGGCTTGAATTTCTGATTGGTACCTCAATCTCGGTAATTAGGAAAACTGTGAGCTTCGTGTGATAGGTAGTGTCCTTGAATAAATAAACGAGAATTTTTCGAGCTAAATGAAAGGCGTATTGTGTTTATCATCCATCACATATTCTTTATTCGAATTTTTACCATTTTCATGTTTCATGCGCAGTTGCGGAAATAAGATTTTGTTCCTGTGACAACTAAATGAAAAAAAGACGGATGGCATCACAGAGGAAAATTCTGCTGCATCACTGAGTGGAAAGTTGCCAATCTTTACGTTCTCTAATAACCACAAATCTGCTCTTTGACGAAGAATATTTTGATACATTTCGCTTATTTTTTTACCGTCCGGAACTCCATACTGATAGGACGGATGACATGCCGTAAACAAGTAAATGCAAAAAGTTTACAAGTTTTATGTGAGCCGGAAATTTGTGCTGTCAGATAATTTGACCGAACAACGCCTGATCAAGTGTCATGTCTCGTGGCAGTATTGGCGTAAATCAGGTAAATTTCACAAAGTAAATACTGTTCTGATCAGCTTCGCTATTTGATTTTGGTAAAAATCGGGTAACTTTCTTTCTTTATTTTGCAATGTCGTCTGTTGTTTGCTTGTTTAGCTGTTTGTTATTTCTGGCGCCTTCTCTCGTCTCTTCACACCTCCTGGGTTCCTGGTCTCGCCGTCCCGAAAGCTTGTGGCTATCGTCGATATTTTTCAGTCTCTTGTTCAGTGAATTTCATTTCCGATCCCTCTTAGTTAAAGTGAGTATTTGACTGGAGATCATTGAAACTAGCCAAATCTGAGTCAGTTCACAATGTTGTTCGTCTTTCAGTAAAAGCATCCGGTGTTGATATAGCTAAAATGGTTCGTGTCGACATTTTACTCAAACGGAAACGATACACAAACAGAAAAATAGTTCACTGAAGATGAAGCGCTTGAATCATTTTGATAATGAACATGTAAAGAATTTTGACGAGAGTCTTGACAAACCTGTCGTTAACCAAGGTGTTTTGTTGAATTTTAATGTTTCCGAGGTTATTCTATATAAGTTACTTAATCAGCAACTATTTAATACAAAGGTTTCCTTATCAGCTCATTTCCCATTCAGGTCGAGTGTCCCCTAAGTACTCTCCTCACCACAGCACTTGGTCCGATATATTACGAAACTCGAACTTGAATTTTCTCAGACTGTTTAAGTCCTTCGACATTTATTATTACCCAAAATCTCGTCGAAAACTGCAGTACTGTTTTCGAAGAGGAATCGTGAATTGCCCTCGGTTGATTTGACCTCAAAGTTTATCTTTCACATGCCAAAGCTAAGTCATCACTTACCACAAAGATAGCCTATAAGGAAAGCCACCCACTGGTGACCACATTTTATTGTTTTGGAAGCCGGCACCGGACATGTGTCACTGATGAAGTACTGAGGTTTGGGGCGACGTAATTATGTAGAAACTTCCTGCGAATAAATGCATGCAATTTATCCCAGGAAAATTTTTCGAGAGGAAAATTACATTTTATGAAACCGGATTCGAAATTGGGATGTCGGGATAAGATTCCCAGTGGTTAGAACCTGTTGAAATCTGTTTACGGTATCTTTTGACTTGTAAATAAATGACTAATTAGAGGTAATTATTCATCAATACAGAATTGGTCTGTTTAAAGTCTGTGATTTTACGCAGTGTTGAGTCCAATATTAGCTCGACTACACTAAGGAGACACGTCTGAGAATTAAATACCAGCAGCTTTATTTTTCTCAATAAATTAACTTGAGGAAAGAATTTCTGTACACAATCTGAAACTGATCTAATCTTTCTGTAGATATTATAAATCCTTTCTTAATTGCTCAGTTAATCTTTTCTGCATTATGAAGTCTTCTAGGTTTCCATTCACGCAGAGTTTAACATGATCATATTTTGAATATTAAATTTCACGCCGTCGACAACCCAATGTACTCCTTAACAAATCAAAGCTCTTGAACTTACATCAGTACCGTCACAACATATTTCATGGCAGCGTTTAAAATTTCTGTCGTTCATATTTAGCGTTTCTATTTTTCCTAAGGGATTTCAACTTATTTAAAGTTCGGTTGTACATAAATCGGTGACCATCAAGTCTCTTTTCTTAAACACAGGTTCTGTACATCGCCTAACCAAACTTAAACTGCGGTGTACGGGCCGCGGTTGGCAGGTGAAAAGTTTGTTGGATGGGTTTTCAAAGCGGCTGATGTCGTTCATGGTTTTCTCGCACCCCTCAGTTATAGAGACGAGACGTCGATTGTTTTCTTGCGACGCAGTCTTTCCTTCAAACAGTGTCGCTGTTTGTCGTTCGGCTAATTGTCGTCCTTCGGTGCTGAACACTTGCTGTATCTGAATATTCGATAAGGCAACTGTACACCTTTCAAAAGCAGATTCGTGAGCGCGAGGATGCCTTGGTCTCGGGGCGACATTGAACGAGTGTGACCTTGAAGCCGGCTTATGTCCAGATACTTTTGATGCATCTTTACTGAGCGATTTTGATTGAGAAGAAAACACGCTCAGAGCCCGAAGAACAAGTCTCGCAATTGTTTCATTTTCGTAGCGAATCCCGGCCTTTTCATTAAAGTTTTTAGTACTATTAAAAGTGTGAAAAGTTGGCTGAGGTGACTCGATCCTTGTTAAGTCTGCAACTACCGTCTCTTTCCACACAACTGCGCGTGTTTTCAGGGAGGTCAAACAGACTTCAATCCTTTGGCCAAGGCTGTCGGTATTGTAGATTAAAGCAATTACTCCTCGGCCGACAGTACTCCATTTCTCTTTAGTTGGTCGTCGTAGAATGCTGAGCCGAATCTTGTAAACTAATACCTCAGCCAAGCATGGGGCAATAACAATTTTATGACGAGGTGTGAGTGTCTTAGCCAAAGACTCTCTAATTCGTTGGATGTCTTCGTCAGTCAAAACCATCGTAGGCTTCATTGGAAATCGCTTTGTTACACCAAAACAAAGGTCTCAAGTGAAGCAGTGTCTCTAATACTGTTATTACAAACCAGATCTAAAGAGAAGTGTCCAATCAAACAAACAGATTACCGCACTTTAGTATCGCAGTCAATGTACGGGCAAGCCGAGATAGGCACAGTCGCTTTGGAATATTCGTGGCTGGCTGTTTGCGCTACAAGGGCTTGTGGATTTCCGCTTCGGTGAGAAATTATCTCGGAAATCAAGGCGTGGGAGTAAACAGAAGAGCCATGAGTCATATTTACATGACTGCGAGTTTGTAAAGCTCTGTTTGTCAACTTGTGGGCAGCGAGAATCCAGCACTTTCCTATGACAGCGTTCTTTGTCTTTTACTCTCGAGAAGACCTGGTAACAATTTTACAAAGAACAGAAGTTCGGGTAAAATATTTACCTTGGCTAAAGTCGAAATTGAAAGCTAATTATGGTTGACACCATAATGTGCGTATTTGCCCTTCGGCGGTACTAGTCTGCTCGTTATTCAAATTTCTATAGATTATATTGTGTGCAAAGCACAGCTCATTCAGTAAGAAGGTCAACAACGGATGTACAGAGCGCCGACTCCATTTGCACTGGCTGACACCTCGGATCAGCTTATTTTTGTTTGATTTAAGAGGATTGAGACAGTTTTCAAGCTAGTTATTGAAATGCGTATAAAAACCAATTTATCAACGTTTTGTTTAAAAGAGCGTGAATAAGTTCTGACAAAGCAGCACAATAGTCTTCCTGTCAAAATTTATTTATGCCGAAAAGCGGTCCTTTGGGAGAGAGAGCGTGAGGGCAGCGCAGAGTTAGAGCGTGACGCGTGATATTTAGGGAACGATCAATTAGTCCGTGACCCGTGCTTTCAATAAGACTTATCAAATGCGAAATGCTTATCTTCCAGCTTTTATCACGAGCCTTCAACTTTTGAAGAGTCTTGTACACTCCTTTCCGTACGCTTCCTCCTGGGACTTCCTTTTTCTTCTCAGTTTTCCAATTTATTTTTCTTCTCAAGATAGTCTGTTCTACTTAGTTCTTTCTCCTCATCAAACAACTACAACCCAACTTTGTCTGCCCTACAAGTTGTTCACGCACTGTTCGTCTACTCGAAAGTCTTCTCTTATCATCATGTTTCTCTTAGTTTTCTAACTAGTGGTCAAAGAAAAATTTAGAATTTGACGGCAGGTGGTAAAACGTGAATCGTGTCCAAAGGTATGAATGATCCGTGATCGTGAGTGACTTGTTCCTTCGCATATCAGTCAAAATAAATTTGATTTTTTCAAAACCGTCAGCCTGTTAGTGTAAAAACGTTAAATGCTGAGATGGTATTTCGGAATTTTTGCACACAAACGGAAAATTTAAGCATTGATGACCTCTAGATTTAAATCAAGAGAGTTTCTGAATCCGAGGTAATTTGATAAAAGATGTGATTATCACATTTCTTAAGAAAAAACAAAACAAAAAATATTCAGTACAGCTGATGAAAGATCCATCCCTGCCTCAACGTCGAGACAAAGCTAGGCGCGAAGGTTGGGTAGAAAAGGGAGCCTAAGCTTTGGTCGACAGGCTAGGTTCAGCAACCTGACAGAACACACAACTCTTTCTATACGACCGTTACTCAAGATTTCGAATCCCTAATGACAATCACAAGAAATTCTAAACTTTAACCCTTTAACTCCCATGAGTGACCAAGACAGAATTTCTCCTTACAATATCAATACAATATCAACCAGATAAGGGATAAGAATAAAGAAAAATATCAATTTGGGGATAAGTAGTTGATCCAATACTAAATTCTCTGAACTAACATTATAAGAATTGTATGGTTGACAATAAGAAGAATTACAAATTTGATCTGGGAGTTAAAGGGTTAAACGTATCAGCACTCTTATTCATGGCGAAGTAATACCGGAAGCCGGGGTTAGATGACCACAAGCTTCGAAAACGAATCTTTTTATGCCCTAAAGTTCCAGTTTTCATCTTTCCTGCCGAATCCCAGGTAATAATAAAAAATGTTTCTGTAAATGTATCAGGATTCGTTAATATAATGCCTACGATTTTTAAAATTGAAAATGAATCTGCACTCACCGTTTAAACACCGTTCCACGTAGCCCACCTGTGGTTGCCATAACCTAATATCCGAAACTTTGTGATCTAAATATAATTAACTAATCCGCGAAAGTAATAGCGAAAATATCTCGCTTTAATGCTATGTAACAGTGATCCGGCCAACCTACAATTTTCCCTCAACCACTTCGATCTCTCTGATACTCTGGCCCTTTCAAGGTTCCCTACAAGAAGTAAGTTCACAGAAGATTCAAGAAATCTTTGCCTGGAGAGAAGTTAAAAATAAATTTAGCTAAAAATTTCTCTTTGTTAGTTAACCGGATAACGACCTGCCCTTTCCTATCTTCTTAATGGTTTTGGGAGGAATTTTAAGATCACGTTCGTAATTCTATCCAAAATCTTTGAACTAACAAAGGGGTGAAAAAAAGGAAAAAAAAAAAAAAAAGGTGAGAACTAACACGGTTGAAAAAAAAATTACGAAACGATTGCCCTTCAATAAGTCACCAAGTTCAACAACCACATCTGGTGGACTCACCCAAGTAGCTCTTTAACATATAATTGATAACTGCTTTCTCGAAAACGTAAAAAAGCGACTGTTTTATGTATAATAAGTCTCGTTGTGCTTCTCGTGACATGCATGCATTAAGTGCTCGAAGAAGACGGTCGTGAAAATATCGGATCCACGTCGGTATCTGCGTAAATGCTCACCAAACACTTCTCTAACACAACAACGATCAATTGATGTCAAGTTAGAGAAAATGTTGGAATAGGGGAGGGGTCGGTGTGCAGTTGCTCAGATACTGACACTGATTCAAAATATCGGCTTCTCAGTCTTATTTGAGCTGGTTGGTAAAATTACGAATAGATGGGAATTCCGGCTGGGACAGTTTTTTCGTAAAATATTTGCTAGGAATTTTGTTATTAACTTGTGATAACAGGCAAAATAACCTTGACGTTTTGATGGCCGACAATCACTCATCACGGCGTCCTTTTTCTGAGCTCATCTACCCAACAGAGCAGGCGTAATTTTGGCGAGCGAGTGCTCGTTAATTTACGGCCGCCACCTTTGATTTTAATGGCAGTGGAAGGCTGGGAAGAGAAAGAAATTTTTACCAAGGGGACGGTGGACGGTCAACAATAAGGAGAGGGGTGGGGGTAGGGGAGTGGTTCTCAAAAATGATCCAAAATAATCAGGCTAAAGGATTTAATACTTTAATTCTTAGACAAAGATTGTCTTGTTAATGGAAACCTTGTCTATAATCTGATGCAATGAGTCCATGCAATTTTAAATATCGATATACAGAGTACTTTGTAAGAATAATTCTTCTAAAAATTATCTTTCCACCCTTTTTGAACTTCTTCAAACTCCCAAGATCTGATTAGCAGACAACCATTTCCTCTTTTAATAGATTATCTAAACTAATCTAAAAATAAGTGAGGATAATCTGTTGTCATATTCTGACACCATACTCTGGTTAATTTTCATTTCTCCTCAAGACTAATGCATTGAAGTTGTACCATGAGGTTGCATGTTCATCCTAATAATTAACCGAAGATTTCACTCTTAAATTCCTGGAGGTGATTAACAAGTAACTTCTCCCTGTAATATCCATACATTATCTAGAAAACAGGCGATGAGAACACTCAAATTTAGCAGGTTAAAGTTGTTATCTTAATCTAACACAAATTTCCCTGACTAAGTTACAAGGAAATGTGTAGCAGCTAGAAGGGAGAATCACAAAACAGATCTTGAGAGTAAAATGGTTCAGGATAAAGCCCATAAACTTGTCCTCCAGTTCCCAGTTATCCTGAAAACTTTAAATATGGCAAAACAATAAATACAATTTCTTCCTAAGTTTATTTTGAAATTTATAGTGACTCCTACTTTTCTTCCCTTGTAAGATGAAGTTCTAAAGAGGGAAATAACTTTTCCAGTCAAATAACACAGACAAACAAACAAATGATGGGTACTAAGATATGACAATAACGTCATTTGCCTTTAACTGAGTCACATGGCTCTACAATAAAATCTGCTCACTTTGAGCACTTATTGGAGATTCAAATTTCCATAGTAAAAAAATGTGTCTCTACCAACTCAATCCTTCTTTGTGGCAAAATACTTTTCACAGCACAAACTTTACTTGATCTGAAAAAAGAAATCTCAGAATGTCTGAGAAACAAGGTATACTATATTACTCTGCATTTTCCTATGCAGTTTGCTCGTTCTTTTTGTGAGAAAGAATTTGGAAAAAAAGGGATTTATTAAAGCACACCACTAAGCTTGCCCCACAAGCAGAAAGCACAACATGTGCTGGCTCTTCAGCAGTTTCAATTCTTGAAATCATTTCCCCATCTGGTTTAAAGGCCACAATTGAATTACCACTACAGTCACAAACTAGAATTACATTGTTGATTACATCAGCAGTTATGCCAACTGGGTCTAAGAGATCCCTGTTTCCAAAATCAAGGAGAAATTTACCATTACTGTCAAAGACCATGATGCATTCAAGATCACCATCAGTCACAAAGAACTTCCCATGGTGATAAACAACATCTTGAGGGCAAGCCAGTTTATCTTTGCCAAAACTAAATAGAAATCTTCTATCAGGGCTGTAGACCAGAATACAAGATTGCACTTCATCTTCAGGCTCATCGCAGCAGTCTCGAGGACTCGAGGTCACCAACAGGCGGCCACTACCATCTGTTGAAATCCTTGTAAACTTCACAGAGTCATTTGGTGCTTTGACATATTTTTTGATAAATGTACCTTCTTTGTCGTAGTGAAGAAGGCGATTACATTCTCGGTTCACAACAATTATTTCTTCATCTTTGGAAAATGTTATGTCCCACAAGTCACCGTATCTAATGCGGAATGATGTAAGGTAGTCTAATTGTGAAGAGAAGACATGTACATGCCTTTCCTCTTCATCGAGTGCCGCAATCTCACCTGATACACTGGACACCGCAAAGGCAAAAGTAAAGAATTCAGTTTCGATCGTCTTTGTTACTTCTCCGCAAGTGCCATAGTCAATCAATCCAGCACTGGCTCCAGCGTGGATGTATTTTGTAACAGACATTGTCAATGTCCCGAGCATTTCAACGCATTTCTCATCTAATTCTAACACCTGAAAATGATTGTAGTATATTTCTGCTTGGCTAGATAGCTTCCTAGCTTCAAGAGTTCTTGTATCCAAAGTTGAGCTTATTTCTTTTAACTGCTCCTCTAACACATCTCCGAACTTTAAAATCTTTTCAATGTCATCCCCACTGAGAATTTCATTTGCTTGCTGGATGGAGCTTCTCGCTTTTTGAAATAAATCGATCATGTCTTCCCTCTGTTTTCGAAGGGAGTCAGTGTCGTAGTTTTCAGTCATAAAATCGTCAAGCTGAGAAAGCAGAATTTTCCTTTTATCATTTATGAACTGAATAATATTATCAGCCATTGTGTTGATCTCACATATCATAGCTTGGCTCTGCTCGGTCGCTTTATCGTAACAATCTTCCATATCCTTGACTGCTTTTTCTGCTGCCTCTACCCGCTCTTTACAAAATCTCAAGGCTTCAGTAACAGCTTTTTTCTCTTTCCTTGCGGGAGTGTTATCGATCAGACGCAGCAAAAGATGGTTTGTGGGGAAGGCCGACACCCCTAGGGGGGGAAGAAACGATTCTTCTCGACACTGAGGACATGAAATCGTAATACTGTTTCTACGAACCATGTTCTGCAAACACCGCTCACAAACGTTATGTGCACAACTTGGAAGACATTTTGGTTCCTGAAATTCTTCTAAACAGACAGGACAAGTGGTTTCGTCTCCCATAATACTCAAAACTTTCTGAAATTCCTCATGTTCGGATCGAGAGACGCCCGCCATTGCTGCCAGCTGGGATATTATCCACGTTTCAGTGATTATGCAACTTAGTGCCCAGTTTCCTCACGGGAAAACAGGTAATTTCGTGTTAACAACTAAGTTTAAAACGTAGATTGGCCACCGTAAAGAGTAAAAAGCTGACGTTTTGGGCGTTAGCCCTTCCTCCATCGCTCTGACGAAGGGATAACGCTCGAAACGTCAGCTTTTTTACTCTTTACGGCGGCCAGTTTACGTTTTCAACTCAGTTGTTAACACTAAATTACCTGCTATACTCTCCCACCGACGGAGCACCACAGTTTCTTTAGAAACCTACCCCCTTTATACATTCCTCACGAAAGTTGGACTGATACAAGTCACGTGGGTAACTTTGTGCGGGATAATTTGGTAAACCAACCAGAGAAGTACTTTTAGACCAACAAGGATAAGGAGAGTTGAAAGATGTTAATTGTAAATGAGTGCACATCTAGCTTTAAGATGTATCAATGGCAACACAGTCCAGAAAAAAATTACTATGATATGGTTCTTTATAAACTTGAAAGAACATGGTCATGGCCTCCTGCTACATTAAAATATAAGGTGATGTAGCTCCCCCTACACCCTCCCTCCCCCCCCCCCAAAAAAAAAAGTTAATGAAAACATTCAAAAAAGGTAGAATATATGAAATAGGGAGGGTAGGCAAAAGTTAGGTAAAGTCTTCACCTGATCCAAGTGGGTCACCCAGCCTAAACTTATCCTGGTTTCTATGGCATGATGTGATTAAGATTATTACTCCTCCCTGCTGGATTCCACCCAGTCCATTGCAGGGTTCCCTCCAGCATTTTATCAGGCTTCCCTGACTATCCACCAATACCCAGTCATACTCCTGAGTAGAGAGACACATGGTGAAATTCAGGTGTTTAGCACATGCCCAAGATCACAGTGCAATGACCCCACAGGTCTTGAACCTGGACTTCTTCACCAAGAGTCCAGTGCTCTTACCACTTGCCCACCATGTCTCACACTGAGGGGGTAGAGGGGTGGGTAACTTACTTGAGTAATTGCAGAGGCTACTTAACAGCAAAAGTATTGTCAGCTCTTGCAAACTAATTAAACTTTTCAAAGTACTTCCTTTTTGACACCTTTCATTATAAACCATAAATCAGAGCAGAGAGGAGATACAGTGATTTTTCCAGTTATAGGAGGAACAAGGGGGAAAATCTCTTCATCAAATTTTTCTAACATTTCCACCACCTCACTAAAGAGAAAATTCACAATCAAATCTCACTGTTTCTGGTTCTGCATTTCATTGCTTGAATTCATGATATAACTCAAGTTTTACAACAAGTAATCATTGCAACCCTTTTTCTTAACAGCAAAGAATTACCAAACTAAAAATAGCACCAAGATCATCCATAATCATAGCTTGTATTTATTCTCTTTATCTAAGAAATACTTATTACAAAAAAAACAACCACATAAAGGCTTGCAAAGAATTCTCATGATTGTATTAACTCTTATTTAGGTTACTGTAAAAGATCTATGAAACCTATCCTTCTATTCTTAATTATTCATTAATACATCAATAATCCAATTAATTGACTAAACTCAATAGATTAAAAGGGTTTTAATAACCCACTCTTTAAGTTTCTTCACTACTGGTGTTGGATGGTTAAAACTACCTACATACACCAATACACTGTGCATAAAATACACACACTCATTATTGCAAAAGGAGTTACTCCTTCATTCTGCTTCTCTTCTAAGCTATGGTCCTGCTCATGAACAATTACCCCCTGTCAACTGCAAAGAAGTAGTTGGATTATTATCTTCATTATCAGCAAGACTTTGGTGAAGTCAACCCTTCCAAACAAATGCCTATCACTGACTTAGGATATTTTCCATCTTTAGCCTTGATTACTGTCTGACAAGTGAGTAACATACACCTATTCCAACAGCTGCTGCAGCAACACCATATTTCAACCAGGACTCCCAAGAGTTTCTATTGCTCCTTGTACCACTGGCTGGTCTTGACTGTGGACCTTCTTTTCCATCTTTCTCTTCTCTTTCATAATACTTCTTTATGAGACTTTTTGTGTCGTGTATGTCATCCTCGTCTTCCTCATCAAAGGCAGCCTAAGATTAACAGATAATATTGGGATCAAAATGTAGGATGGATTGTTAAAACCTGGAAACTGGTACAGTCAAGACTAACAACAGATGAACCTGTATTAAGCAACACCTTATTAAGCAATGACCTTGTATTAAGCAGTCAGTTGTCAAAGTCCTAAATTTTTCCCCCATAATTACTTCCTAATAAGTGGGTGACATTGTTCTGAATCCCACAATAAACAGCATGAAAAACTATAAGGTCAAAATAACCTGATAACAACATATGGAAGGTGTTTTCAGTTTTGTACTCAAAACTAAAATCCAGCATTATTGGAAATGAAGTAAAGCCACAGCATTCAGTGGCAGATCCAGACCTTGAGCTAAAGAAGGGGGGGGGTGTTTGTTGCTTGCCCTGCTGGCTTTTCTTCCTTCTGTGATTCTTTTTTTTTTCTTTCACCAAAATAAGGAGGGTGCCTGAGCCCCCTAGGCCCCTCCCCTTGATCTGCCACTGGTATTGAGAGATATGATCTAAGGAGGCCAAAACATTTTCCAGCCAAAGTGAACTGTATTTTGTTAGTAAGTAAGTAAGTAAGAACTTTATTTAGAGAGGGTAACACATGACAGTATAACAGATAAACTAGTGGCCCTCTGTGCTAAAACATCAACCAGGTAATCATAAAACAACTAGGAAGAGTAAAAAGTAAAAACATTTATTATCTATAGTTAAAAATATATAGAAAAAAAATAAGTTAAAAACACAGAGATACCTCAGTCTATAAAGTAACTAAGAATCATACAAAGTATGAACATTAATCCCAAGTCATCTATCATCTAATCTCTCAAAAAGTTCTTTTTGTGCCCCAAAATTATATTCCTGCTCCTTACCCCTTCCCTGAGCAGTTTGTACCCCCCCTACATCAAACCTTAGAGACAGCCTTGTAACTTAAGCCATTTTTTGTTTCCCTTAAGAATTTGAGTTTGAAAGGATCTACTTTACATTTTTTAGGTACTTACCCATCCTCCCTTCTTTTCTATCCATTCAGCTGTACTCTCTTGTATAAACCTTAAGCTGTGTTCAGCTAACTGCTCAAGCTGCTTATCATCTAACTCTCCAATAATGGCTATTTCACGAGCAAAATGGCACAATAGTGCAACCTTTGACCAGCCAACAATGTGATGATCAAAGGTAAGATGTCTTGCAGCTTTGCAAAATTGTTCGTATGACAGAGATTCTGCTTGAATCATTTTCAAGGGCTCATCTAATAAATTAGGCACCATTTCCATAATTTCTTGACTGATCTTGTCCAGTCGTGCAGCAACACGACCCTCGGGAGATAACACAGGAGAAGGAGTGTGGTCACGATCAAAGCAAGATTTACATGAAAGCGGTGGAAGCTTGAGCTCATTTGGTCTCTTGTAAAAATCCCTATTCAAACACACAAGAATGATGTTGATTCCAACTTTTGTTTATACCTTATGTTAATACTAATAGTAAATTTTTTGAGCCCATAAGTAACAACCAATTGTGTGGCCTCATTTCCTGGTTAGAAAAACACTGATTTTAATAGCAGAGATGAGATTGACATTTTAAAAAAACCAAGCAAAAGTCATCGTCAGAGACTAGTCAAAATACTTTTTTAATGAAAAATATTTATAAAATTTTTTAAAATAAATTTTTAAAAAGAAATAAATAACTCAAAAAGACTAAATGTTACTAAATATAAAGTGAAGTAAATAAAATAAACATTATTTCCAAATCCATATCTCTTGACTTGCATCAAGAGATAGACACAAGCACAGGGTGAAATGTGATAATAAGACTATCCTGTTTGTCATTATATGTAAATTATCCACTAATTACCAGACATTTTAAAACCATAAAGTGCCCAACCGTTTTTATTATCACCCTTAGTGGCGGCTCGTAAGACACGTTTTTTGAAAAAAAGAAGTCAAGAAAAGGAATTCTTATACTAAATGAAGGCTTGATTGAGTTAAAAGAGGTAGTTTGAAAATCACACTCCTATTCATTCCTCTAAATTAAAATTCAGTGGGCTTAGCAATAATTCTTACTTTCCTTGAAGTTCCGAATGATAGCAGGGGGTATATCGAACCATTGAACCATTGTAATAGTCTTATAAATATGGCGATTTTGTGGAGTTTCCTGCACTTCAAATACATGGATGCGTCACGATCTGAGATTCACATGTATGAGATTCAGACAGTCGCATTTTACTGTCTTTCCTGATTGATTCACACAGCTGTTCGAGTTGTGTTTACAAACGCAAACTATTAGAGAATCTAACCAGGAAACATCTGAACCCCCAAAACGTCATGTTAAAACACCTGAAAATAGTGTACTGCGCAATAGACTTGTCATTAAAACGTTCAAACAAAACCGATAACTTACATTTTCTTCTCTGCTCTTCCTCTGAGTTTGTTATGGTCAAATGTTTCAATGTCTCTCTTCAAGTTCAAGGATAACTTTCGCTGTAGTTTTGCCATTTCCAAAAATTTTTTCCTCTTAGATTCGTAAGCTCCGGCATCGCTAGCACTCTTCGACAGGCCAATTATAGCTCTTTTAAGATAAGGTGCCCTGTTCTCAGAATTTGTAAAGTTCCTAGCAGTCAGCCTATCTGCTGGTAACGAACCTAGGTAGTCTAATACTACAATTCGAGTTTCCTCCCGAATTCGTTCGAGTGAGGCCCAACGATCAATGTTTGATTTTTCGGGGCCACAGTTTTCCATTTCTTTATCAGAATCTGTATCCGTAGTAACCTCAGGTGTTCCTTGTGAAATGTATGTTTGTTCTACCGGGTCTTGTTCCATGATAAAGATATAGAAGAAAGATAGTTCTGGTTGCAATACGTTATACCATTCTGTAAAAAATATTGCAAACCGTGGCTGACAGGGAACTGGGTACAAATTCCTCGCGGCCGAGCTGCGCGTGGGCAGCGCGTGCATGACGTTCGCATCGTGAACTTCCGTCTAAACTTCGCGTCAAAGATTGATTCAGAGGGATTTGTGAAGCAATATTGCTCTTTTCATGGCCTAGAACATTTATCTCAAGAGCATAAGGAGCAATGATTTGGGCTTAGGGGAACTTATAGGAGAGAGCCCTCTGTAAATGGAACAATAAAGAGCTGTCAATCGTCATGATCATGGGGCAATCGATGCTGAGCTCTTGAAACGGTTCTTTCTTTACGCGAGTGAAATTGTTTGACGGTCGTTTTATTCGGTTGAGATAAAGAGCAAATAATGTCAAGGCCTATAAAAACTTCTATAAAAATTCAGGCTTTTTAAAACTTGTCCCTAAAGCAAACAAACAAACAAGCAACTTGCTGAGGCAATGCCACGTCGTGATTTTGCTTATTCAGAAATAACATGTGAAAGGCAGATTTCATTCAGGGGAAAGGAAGCGACCTTTTCCTTAGTGCCTCTGCCATCACGATTGAAATTGAAAGCGAATGGAGGAAATATGGGTTTGACCCCTTCGAGTCACGTGAAATATCCAACACCACAGGCAAACTGCTCTATAGCGATAAAAGCATTTTAAAGCGATTAGATAATAGCTCTGAGGCTCGAAAAGAGAGGAAGGTTAAAGTTTATTATACGAATATCAAGAGGATGAACACTCGGTAAAGACTGGGCCTGAAATTGGGGGACGTGACGAGGCACGATGACGGCATTGTTAAGGGGAAATTACCGTACACGACGTATAATTGAGTTTTTCGGGAAAGTCAAAATCTCAGCGGAAAATCGAATTTCCTGTTTTTCAAAGAATCCTTGAAGACTGCTTTGATCTGCAGAACTTGAACAGATTCAGTAGACCCTTGGTGAGGGAACAAGTGCTTTCGTAATGGCAGAAGGCATGCCTTATTCCGATCTGAAACCTCAGAGAGCTCCTGTGGAAAGCTATGAAGAGAGTTTAGAGGATATCGAGAAACAAGCCTGTTTGCTTTTCGAAGAATTTTTAAGACTGCCCCATTCAGCAAGTATGAAGTTAATGGTTAAAAATTCATCCAAAGAAGCAGCAGATTCCCCGATCATGCTCGAGAAAAAGGGCCATGAAAATTACAAACAGTCTCGAGGTAACTATTAGTCGTACCCTAGATATTGAATTTGATAGTTGTAATCTCGATAGGACTCGATAGAACTATGTTTGTTAGAATGACTAGGACTCTTGTCAAGTTCTGTAGATATCTGCACACTTTGCACGGCGCAATTTTTTGTGTGTCATTGAATTCCAATTGATAAGCCATTGGCCTCCTTCATAGTCCTTGCATCAGACAGAAGTCACACATGGTTCGCTCTGCATGATCCTGTCGAAGTTAATGAAGTTGTAGAGAACTTTCGTCTTCTTGGCGGTGATGACAGTCAATATTCTTGTGTTTCCGTTTGTCCAGCTCTAATATATTTCTTCTCTATTCTTTGAGGACTGGCAGGTTTTATCTATATTCAATACTAATTGATTTTCCTTACACGTAAGCATCACCCTATTTAAAACAAAGTAGAACAATGGGGTCCTATCACTTAAACTAGATTTGACGGTAAGGGATGATATGTGAGTGGTTTGACCAGTTCTTGAGTCGAACTTCAATCCCATAATCTCTAATATTTGAGTAGGCTTGTGTCACGTAATTTCTTGGTTTAAGAGTTAAAAAATTTGTGCCAGACTGTTACAGATCTTTTTGTTGAAAGAACAGCGCATGTTATTAAGGTACCTACATGTATCTCTTTTTTGTGAATCATGAATATGCTCACAAGAATCTAGTGAAATGTGGTTTTGTTAAGGAACTGAATAATGTATTTTGGCTGTTTCAAAGGAACATCTGGAATGAGGAAGGCAAACTAATTACTCTCTCAAATGACAAGTTAGGGAGGAAAAAACTTCCCTTTTTCTAAAAATAGTATTTCTAGGAAAACAGGGAAGTTTTTAAAAAATGCTGAATTATACAATCTCTGCATTAATTCTCAATGTCTTTCTCATATTTTTACTTGTACAAGTTTGGACAAGCATATACTTTTTAAGTAAATCTTCATGACCTTTGTACTTCATGGTGTACGGCCTTACTTTAAAATAAGTGAACCCTGAAAATTCCAGTTGGCCCTTGTATTAACAGAATTTTGCTTTCAAATATGAAAGCACAGCTAACAAAGATGTTTTCCTACAGCTAAACACTAAGACATCTTCAAGGCAGGCTAAAAGTACTTAAGTGCCACACTCTCGTCAACTTTACTTGCCAATCACAGTGATCTGCAAAATTTCTAGGTACTGGTGAAGTGATTGCAATTTTCACTGATCACTGTGTTCAGCATATAAAAATGGTCCATATCTGACATGTGAGATACAGTCAACTCTCTTATAAGTGGACATCCTCCAGAATTTAGAAGATTTTCCCTCCTGCAGGAGTGACTCCCATAAATGGCATGAAAGAAAAGTAGGGTGGATATCTGCTAATGGGAAAGTGTAAGCTACTTTCTTGCGGCTTACAAGAGAGTTTCTGCTTACAGGGATGTGTAAGGTAATGCTCAGGAATGTGCTTTTGACAGGGAGGCAAAAATTGAAAGTGAAAAAAGTGTTCATCAGTAGAACTGTCCTCTTACAAGGGTGTCAGTTAGCAGAGAGTTGACTGTAATTGTGCTTTTTGCTGCCGATCATATTCTTCATAATTAGTGAATAAAATCCCCAAGTGTGTCACCACCATAACTAAAGTATGACTGAACACTAGAAAAACAAAGAAAACACTAATTGCATTGCAGGATTATTATTGCATCAACATTACACACAGATACAGGGCAAGTCTCAGAGTAAAAAAAAATGCTTGAGTTATTTTGAGCTGATGTGAGCAAATTGCACTAATCCTTAACTAAATTTCACAGTGTGGTAGCTACAGAAAGTTTGGTTGACCCTTGAACACCCTGAAGGAGTAAACATGTATTCCTCTCCCAGAATGTTATTTCAATCCTTCATCAAGTAAACAGGTGACGCAGTTGGACAAACATGTCTGTTAACAATTTTGTGAGAGGATATTGTCACAGTAGAACACTGATTCTCTTTTTATGATTACATTTTTGTAGAAATTTTTAGCATATATAAAGGGAGAGTTTCACACTAGATGGCAAAAGTGAAAGAATTGTAAATTTCATTGTTCATCTTCTCCAGTTCCTTGTGAATGTGATGAAGCAGATGAGGATGATCTTGTAACTGACAGTAAACTTGTTGCACAAAGTTCCAGTAATGGAGTGTTACCTGAGCCTGAGCCTGTTTCAACTCAAAACCCAGAACTGACGAGACTTGCACATCAGATGCAACGGGCTGGTGATGCACTTTATCAACAATATGGTGATCGAGTTGATGTGAGTTGATTTTGTACTTGAAACTTTTTGCTTTGGAATGGGAAGTGGGAACTATTTTAAGTTAAAAGAACCAGAGTTAATTAGCAGTCAGACTTTATTCTTAGAAATAATTGTATTCCCTGATTAAGTTGGTGGAGGCACGGTGGCCTCATGGTTAGTGTACTTGACTCTGGATCAGGTGGTCCAGGTTTGAGCCCTGGGTGGGGTCATTGTGTTGTGTTCTTGGGCAAGAAAGACACTTTACTCTCACAGTGCTTCTCTTCACCCAGGTGTACAAATGGGTACCAGCAAATGTGCTGGGGGTAACCCTGTGATGGACTAGCATCCCATCCAGGGGGGAGTAGCAATACTCCTAGCTGCTTCATGTTAAGAAAACCGGAGTTAAGCACTGGCCCCATGGGTCACTTGGGCCCATATCAAGGCTTTACTTACTTGTACTGTTTAAGTTGATGTGACTTGTATGTTGTAAAATGATTTTGTACTCATTTGTAGCTTTTTGCACATTCAAGTAATGTCAATCTTTACAACACTTAGAGTAGATCTTAACCCTTTAAACCCTCAAGATTGAGGGTTAGTGTAATAGCATGAGTCCAGGGTTCATGTATTAGGCACAGTAATACATGGATGTAATAAATACCACAATGTATTTCTAGGAATAAAATCTTATTGTCTTTACACATGATATAATTTTCATAGTATAAATGATAAGTGCTGAAAGTTCTGTGAAACTTGGTGACAGCTGAAAGGAAAACTTTCATGTTAATGTTGGAGTACAAGATTGAATGAAGATCTGTTCTGATATCAACATCAGAATCATAAATTAAACTAATTTGCATCATAACAAAATTTATTGCCACTATTTATTTTGTTGTGGTTTATTTTCTTTACAGGGAGTTCAGACACACTTGGTTTCATATGTCCTGGATAATGCTGCTGATCTGACTTATGACAGATTCAGTAAAGAAATTGATAACATGATTGGTCGAGACAGAAACTGGACCAACTTGATATTTGCATATTATGTTGGTAAAAGAGTGTGCTTAATGACATCTGATGCTTGTGGTGCAGTGAAGGGCTATTTTGAGCAATACTTGGGTCAGTCATATCGCCGTCCCATGCAAGAGGCTGGTGGAATTGTAAGTTCAACCTCACTGCAGTCAGTGTTTTTGCTTTTATTCGCAATTTTTTTCTATTTGGATTGATTCCCCAAAGTATGGCCATTGCCATTTCTTCAAATGGTCTTTATTGGTGTTCATATTATAGCCATGGCATCTAAATTGTCTTCACTAAAGTACCATTGGAGTCAAGTTACCTTCAGACACTTAGTGAAAAAGTAATTTTCAATATTTATCGTTGCCTGGAATAAAGCTATGTATTGTGCAAGAGTTATGAAAACACTTGTTCTACAATTAGAAAACTCCCCAAGTTTGATTGCTCAGCATAGGTTCAAGTAGACTATAACTAGGTCTCATTATCAATTTTTACTCATGAGCTGGACCAGTTTTTCTTCTTTTTTTTTCCAGTTCAATACTGGAAAGTTTTGCACATGATATCTTTTTTTGAACTTATACAATATAAACATGGTTTTGTATCTGTTTCTTTACTCAGGCCCGATTTGTGAATTCTAAAGGTCGCTAAGTGATGCAGTCAATCAACAAATGAAGCATGTTGCTAAAGAGGAGCTGCTCTGATAATGACAGCTGCTTTGCCTGGCAAGGGATGGCCTGCTTGAAAAACATATCTTCCCACATTTAAAAGGACAATGGGAATGTGCACCCTGTTACGCACTTCATTTTTTAAAATTCAGTTGAATCAGAGCTGATTTTCTCTTTGTTAATTGATACTTAATTGTTTCAAATTAAAATAAACCTTTTTTTTAGCAACAGCATGTAGCTGTTAAATTCAACAATAGCGAAGCTAGGTTCAAGAGAGACAAACTTAGGAGATGTTGTTACACATGGTGAAATGACAGCACCCAGGATGCATTTTTTGTCATTACTCTTTGAGAATCACTGTTTATTTGGTGAAATGTATGAAGTTGATTATCTAGCATGTCTTGAGTGTCATAGCCTCTTAATTCTTTTCTATTTGTAACTTAAACTTTCAGTATTTTTTTATTCAAAATTAAAGTTGCTGGAAAGCATCACAATATTTGTAGTGTAGTATTTAATAGAAACTTAGAGTTATTTTTCTAGTTTTCGTTTTCTTGATGTAGAAGTTATGAGCTTAAGTCAGTTGCCTAATACTGCCCCCTTCCCCCCCGTTCCCTCCCAAAAAAGGAAAACATATCCTCACTCACAAACATGTAAATTTTGTTTTTATGAGCTTTCTTTAATTGATCATTTCAATTAATTAAATACTTATATGGCATGTCATGATTTATGATGTTCTTGCTGTTCAGTTATTTCTCAAGAAGACTTTCAACATTTTCAGTTTTAAAATGTGGAAGCAATTCATAATCCGCAGTTCACACATACGATCTCTATATATTCACAGTCAGCGCAATGTGAGAGCAAACACGTCTTAAGAGTAAGTTATTTAACGATCCATGCACAGAAGTTGCTAGTTAAATCTAAAGGTAAATAAACAATGGAACTTATGAAAAGGTGAAACCAGTAAGATAAACATCGTAATGCGTAACTAAGGTAACCCCATTATCGTGTACCAGATCGAGGCACTTTGCGATAATTTTCGCAACGGAACCATCTTGTTCCTGTTCCGAATTATACGCTCTCTGGACTCGGGTAAAATAGTTTAAATTTTCATTATGAAAATTATCGTTATGTTGTCTTCAAAGCAATTTGCAATTTGCAAAGTCAATTTTTTTCCTTTGGACAAAAAGGATCAATGACGACACCCTCATTAATTAAAAGTCAGTTTAGAAAAGCTGGCCATTCTCTCGTTTAAAGGGTTTTGACAAAGAAGCCAGTCATGAAGAAATGGGTATAGAATGGGCGCCTGTCCGACAAGTAGACTGGCAGTGAAAGGTTGGAGAAAGCGAGTGAATTCTTCAATTTATCATAACCATTACAATTTCATCAAATGTGATGAGTGCATTGCCTACTTTATTTTTCACAATTCATTCTGTACAGTTGCTATCGGGCCGCTGGCTGTGATTGGACACCTGTAATCGGGCAGTTAAAGAAGCCAATCATACCTTTCAGCCAAATCCACCAATCACAGAACTGATCACGATAACCACAACAAAACCACTTATCCTAAAAAAAAACCTTGTGGAATTTCCAAAATCGAGGAATGTTTTACTTTAGGTATCGTCTTTACCGTAGATATTTGTCCAAAATGTATTTGTTGTTTTCAGGAATTGTAACGGTTATGATTAATTGTTAACAGGACTTTGTGTCGTCCAGTTCTGTCTGTAATCATACCGATGATAGACAAATCGGAGTCCTGCTTCGCGGTCCTCCGATTTTGTTAATCACCCGTATAATTACAGACCGAATTGAACTCCACTCGTTCTCATTGCCATTATTAATCGTCTTCATTAGTGTCATGACATAAAAAGCTCGATAACCAAACAAAAGAATAAAAAGGAAACGGTTGCATTTTAACAAACTATGGACATAGGTTATTAAATTAAACACACCTAACGATATTTTTCGTTACGTTTCGAGCTACTTGTAAATTTTCTTTTGTATTCAATACTAGTTGTTCAAAGAACCCTTATCATTCCTAAGCATGCGATTATCGTTGGATATTATGCTTACTGCATGATCTGTAGACGATACAAGTATCTAAGCGGAGACTGGGGCAGAACTTAGCCCCTTTTTCGCTGTACGTGTGCTCTGTCCCTCAGTACCAATGCCGATCAATAAACAGAGTGTGTATGAATGCATTTAACTGGTAAAAAATTAAATTCACCTGTTTGAAACCTGTCTCATGCAGGTAATCTTGAAAGTCAAAAGGTTTAATTTAATTGACGTCACCTGTTTGGGTGTGGTCCTCGTTTCATTTTTCTTGTTCGACAATTTTTTTTAATGACTTCTACTTACTAGGAGCAACAAGAGATGAAAAAGCTGAGGGAAAACTCGAAAAGAAACCGCACGATGATAACAGATTTTGTGATATATTCTCAAATCTGCATCAGCCCTCAAGCGGCAAACAGCTAAACGTGAATAGCAGTTAAGGGTTTCAAATAAATCATTAAAAACAACTGGACGACCCTGTCGTAAAGCTAATTAAATTTTAAACAACGCCATACAAGTCGACTAGCATTTTTTCACATCCACGGCGTGCTATATTTCACAGTAAGCCGAACAAGCTTCTCAGGCACGAAATCGCTCTCCTATTCGTATCAAAGACTTTCATCTCATTCTTCAGAGCTGGTCTACTCGACGCATCTGAACGAAGAGGCAAAGTAAGTCAATGATCTTTTGAATTACTTTTGAGATCGCGATTACTGATGTTCCTATTTACCGCGTAATGCGCGTTTGGTAAAAGCAAGCTCTCTTAAGTTGCCTTTTTGGGAAAGTGACTTCAGTTCACTTCTTCTTAAAGGGAAACACATTGGTATAAATACTTGTGCAGACTAAACTAAAATTTTATCTTTGTTTTGGTAAAGTTGTGAACCAAGATGGAATGTTATGTTTTTGGTATGTTCCTTGTCAGATGCCGCTAATGAGTTTATTTCCATCACAGTCGCAGTAATTAATTGAGTCCCGTTCAGTTCTCAAATTTTCTCGATCGAAACATAAACAATTTTAAATCACTATTTTGCATTTGTCCGTAGACAATTTTTATTGGTTGGAAACACATCATGGTTGGTAGTCGTTAAGCCTCAAAAACCGCAACTTTATCATTCGTTTCTCCTCTTACATGTCGTTCGTAAATTTGGTTACAGTCACCTTAGATATCGTATACATACATTGTCTATTTACATCAACATTTGACAGGTCGACCATGTTCAGTATCTACCTTGCGCGTGACGGATGTAGTCACGCTATCTCCCATGAAAACCTGTAATAAATAAAGAAACTAGTCGCGATCTTTGTTTCAGGTAGCAAACCTCTGAAATTGGAAATAGCGAGGGTGAGGTCGGGGATCGGTCTTGCTCGATATGTCATCCTCAGCCCCTTTCCCTCAAACCAGCCCCAACTCGAGCATCACTACAAAAGTTTTGGACTTCCTTTGATGGAATGCGTCGTTACTTTTCGTATGTCGTTTCGCGATGATGCCAACAATTTTGTACAAAAGTCCTATAATAGATGATTACTTTGTTTTGCAACACTGTGTCCCGAATTAAACAGAATTTTTTCTCAGCAAAAAGTCACAAGTAAATCAAATATAACATCCTAGGGCGACAGGAAGATTAAAAAATGGGAAAGAAAAAAAAAGAAAGAAAAACATGGAAGTTAGCTACAAACTATATTGCTCAGCACTTGTTTTTTCAAGCTTGAGTTTCCGCGAGTTTTTTTTGTTTTTGTTTTTTTTACTGTTTTTTTGTTTTGCTTCTTCGACCATCAGCTAAGAAGTGAAGCAGAATCTAACGCGTCCTCTAATTGGTCCAATTTGGCGTCACAAGTTCTTTGAATCAATCTGATTGGACAGAGGGATAGAAATTGTGGCGCTAACGACGGCGCAAGCACCCGAAGCAAGCTGAAGCCGTAGGTACCATCATCGCTGCTCGAAGCCAACCTTCCGCAGTCCGCAGCCCCAAACATTGATCCTATTATATGGAAAATCATCACAGGTAAGCTTTGACGTTGCAATTTTAATAACTCCTATGTTTTTTGAACACGTTCTTAAAGCAAAAATAGACAATTTGCATTCTTCGCTTGAAACTAAATCAAAATGTAAGAAATCTCGGTAATTTGACTTGATGACGAACTCCGCGATAAAATCTACGCTTTTTTTGCCAGACCAGATTTATATCACGGAGACATATTGCAAGCTATGTATTTTTAAAACTCTGAGTTTGTATAAACAACACATTTGACTGTTTCAAAGCTACTTTTTAAGTCAGCTCAATTTTACACAGAAATCAAGGCAGAACTGTCAAGAACGACGACTGCATTTTAACTTTGCTTGATTTGTTTTCATTGACATACCCTCGTATCATCTTGATTTTTCTTTGGCTGACTTACTCACTAAGCCAAAAAATTGAGATAATCAATTATTAATCTTGACAAAGCGTACTTCGAAAGATCAAGAAAACTTGCAAGTCAAAATAGACACCAGCTCAAGCAAGTCATTTTACGCTAAAAAAGCGAAGCTTAGTTCTAACCTACAAGTTGAGGATAAGTATATCAGTTTAGCTGAGTATCAGAATAAGAATTAGTTGGAAATAAGCTTCTGCAACAGACTCAACATCCTACAAACGCCTCCAGTTTTTGTATCTGCGACCGAAAAAAAAAATCCAAACTGATGAGCGTATGAAAAATCACAGAAAGGTTTTCTTTGTTAATGTTACCAAGATTAAATAAATTCCACTCTGGAATACAAGCTCATTCAGAGCTCTGTTTATTGTGTGCAGTTCATTAAAATCGTATCAATAGGGAAAGAAATCTCCAGTAAATTTAATTTGAAACCAAACAACGATTATGAGTAAAAGTGAATGAAGTATTAATTAGGTTAGCTCGCTCCTGCTGAAACGCATAACTAATTAACAAGCGAACTGGTGATATTGACTCTGAATGTGATTTACTTTGTTCACTGAAAGAGGTTATCAGAACATTTTTTTAGAAGCTAACAACTTTTTCTTTTTTTTTTATAAGCATTTAAATGTTATGTTCAGTTAACTTCTTTCGATTTTATATTATTATGTATTATTTTCACAAAATTGTGCGACTGTCGGTAAAATAAATTTTTGTAGATGTATACCAAAAGAACATGGCTCTGTAACACTGAATTTTTTTGCTTAGCTTTTTAGCCAAACTTATAAATGGTGCTATTGCTGGAGTGGTCGGCGTTGCATGCACCTTCCCATTGGATTTGTGTAAAACAAGACTACAGGATCAAAGACATCTTGGGGCTCAAAAGCACTACAAAAACTTGTAAGTTGCATGTGGATTTCATAAACACAATGATCTGCAGTATTCAATGGAGTGTGTTCTTCTACAGTACTGTGGTACTGTGCCACGTTGTTCATTCAAGGTCATTGCAAAATTAGTAACAAACATGGAACCTTTGACAACAGAACAGTTTTTGGGATCGCTGACGTTTATATGGCTTAATTTTTTTCATTCAAACGAGGCTTTAAAACTCAATATACAAAATGGTGATCAGAGCATAAATATCTTAACTGTATGACTCTTTTCATCATGCGAAGTTCCATTGACTTTTGAGGCAATTTGCTTTCGCAAATGGTCCTTGCCTTCTCTTAAGAAGCAGCAAGATTTACCTTAAAAGCATGTCTTCGATTATTTCTTCCGTAGAGCGGACTGTCTATGGAAAGTGGCAAGAGCAGAAGGGGTGAGAGGTTTATACAAAGGTTAGTTCCGTCTAAGGGATCATTACGATCGCTTCAAGTATTATTGTTAACCATTTTGTTAGGGGATGTGGATGCTTTATTCAGAAATCACCTCATCAGAGGTACACTATATGATCACTATTATGAAGGTATGGAGGTCAACAGATGATTGTAATACGTTTGATAAAAATCAGTTGTAGCAATGGTTCAACCATCAAACCCCGTTGTACATTTTTTTATCTCCTTTAGGCATAGGAGTAAATTTGTTACTCATAAACCCGGAAAAGGCATTGAAACTTGCTGTAAACGACCAGCTAAGACAGATGTATGGTGGAAGAAGGTATTTCCCCGGATCAGAAACTTTGTGGTGTTTTTAGTTTTCGAGGAAATCGGTGATGGATACATTGATTTCGTTCGATTACAGATCCAAGTTCTGAACTTAAACCTGAAAATAAGTTAAAAAGTAAATTGAGTGTTTTTCGCCCTCGAATCCGTTTTAATCTTCTCCATCGTTTACCGCTAGTGTTTGCTACTTTTCACTTTTGGCAAACTAGTTTGAAGTGTAGTCCAATTTGGGATAACCCAATAAACAATTCCAAGTGGTGTCACGTCTCGCTGGTCCAATCCTTCTTTCCTGTCTACATTTCAGACACACCCTTCCCTTGAGCAAAGAGATGATCGCTGGTGGGGCTGCTGGGTTTTGTCAGGTGAGAGTCAAAAACTGTTCACGGTATTATCTACAACGCTCAGTTATGGCGACATTACGTATCTCACAACACCTAAAATCTATTTTTCCGTAGTTTATGAGCTTTATTTTAATATGAAATTGTCTGGTTGTTTTATTTTCCTTCCAGGTGGTCATTACCACACCGATGGAAATGCTCAAAATACAGCTTCAGTTGGCTGGATCACAAACAACAGGTACATTATACTTACAGGGGACCCTAGCTCAGTTTGACTGCTACATTTGTTTCACCCTGAAAAGGACGATTCCATTCTCAATAGGGTTGGGAAACCTGTAATATTTAGTCAGAAAACAAGTTCATTCTTATATTTACTTTTTTACCAATAGCTCCCCGGATAGCCAACTCAACTACCACTGTGGCGGCGGCGAGCTCAAACGTTAGGACGTTCGGCACCAATTCAAGCACAGCCCCCCAATCCGCCCTAAGAATAGCACATGACCTGATGAGGAGCAAGGGTATAAGTGGCATTTACAGAGGACTTGGCGCCACATTACTGAGGTACTGTGGGGGAGAAAGTCAACAAATATTACGCCACGATCACTATGTTCTTGTAGTCTGTCATATCTCTCGAGTGTTTTTTAAACGCTGATTCTATACTTCTTTCTTATTTCTCGCCAGGGACGTGCCGTTTTCCTGCATCTACTTTCCTCTGTTTGCCTATCTCAGACTTGAGGTAAGTGAAGAAACGCGTAACTAAAATTACCGTTATCCTACTAGCAAGCCCTGGTTAGTGGTGCCACTGGACGCAGAATCCTAGATAATCACTCGCCGGCTCGCGTCGCTCACAGCCTCATACCAGCCCTGCCTTACATTTTCCCATGGGCGAGAAAACCCGTGCAGAAGTGTGAGTAGCTTAGGCCTGCTCGCATGGTATATTGCCCCGGGAATGACTTAGCGATGGTGTCTTTTGTTTAGTTTCAGGGAGATGGGACACACAACCATGCCCCAGGGCCACTACAATCTTTGATGGCAGGGTGTACTGCTGGTTAGTTTGTTGTATTTTGCTTTCTGTTCACTTCAATAGTAAATCGAGTTCCTCTTAAAAAAAAGAAGATTAGGCGGAAAGAAAAACAAACCAAATCGAAAAACAGAGGTCGATTTCGTCTACAAACGATTGGGTATTAACCAGAAAACAGCCGGAACTTCTTCAATATCGTCAATACTGTATTTCCTCGAATAATGGGGGGGACGCTTATTGGAAGGAAGGCGCTCATAAGAACTATTAACCTGTACTGATTCAGCTGTAGTTGACGCTTGAGGAGTTAATAAATTGGGGTAGAAAAAGGTTTTTCTTGTATCCTTACTATCTAGGAAAATGAGGGGTTGGGGGGTGGGCGCTTGTTTGATATTTTGGCCTAGGGCGAGGGCGCTTCATCGGGGAAAGGTGCCCAATGGAGAGTGGGCGCTTATTCGAAGAAATACAGAAAATAGCATTAGTTGATCCTTTTACAAACACGGAAGGTTGTTTCGCGTGGATTACCAGCCAGCAAGGAAATAGTATCTCCAAACATCACGTATCCGCGATCGTGTTATGACCAAAACTAATAACCTTTGATGTTTCAATCCAGCTATGATAGGAAGTGCAGCTGTCACTCCATTGGATGTGATCAAAACAAGGCTCCAGGTGATAAGAACAGGAGGAGAAGCTGCCTACAACAGTTTGTGGGACTGCGTTCAAAAAACATACGTAAATGAAGGGATAGGTGCATTTTATAAAGGAGTAGTGCCAAGGATAATCGTAATTGCACCGTTGTTTGGGATTGCCCAGATGGTATACTTCTTGGGAGTGGCTGAAAAAATATTGGGACTTGAAGCGGGAGAAATTTGAGCTAGATGGCTATAAAAAAATAAAACTAACGGTTCATGTTAATAAAAGAACAATCAAGAACGATTTGGGGCATGAATCAACTTCATGCGTACACAGAAAAAAAGGACAACAGTTTCGTGTTAATACTCAAGGCTCAATGCTTTTTGCAAATTTACTAGACTTCTGTCAAAGGTGTCGGGTAATGTAACCAGTATTTATTAACATGTAGCATTATAATTCCCCTCTCGAAGATTTTACGAATCAGATCTGTCCAAATTATGTGACAGTGGTAAATTGTAGCTGGTTTCTAAAGGTTGCACAAGTGACAGAGAAAGGTTAAAACCGTCAGATGAAAATTACCAGAGAACTTCATAGGAATATGTGATAGGTATCTTTGACAGTCTATAAAATAGACGTCAATATCTCATCTTCACATGGCAGTAGGATAAAAATAAACAGTTGAAAATGAATGGCATCACTGATGTAATAATGTTATTTAAACCCCTTAATTCCCAAGATCCGATTGCTAATTCTCCCGTCTTGTTGCTATAAATTTCCTTGTAAGTTACTTACGAGAATTTGTCAAAAGTACTGGATAACAACTTCTACCTGATAAGTTTGAGTGTTCTCATTAACCACGTGATGGATAATGTATGGATATTATAGGGAGAAGTTAAAGTTAATCAGTTCTGGGGGGTAAAGGGTTAAACCTTACTGTGACAAGAGGACAAAACAGAAAATATGGGGTCAACTTAGAAGCCTTATTCAAGTTTACTAGATAATTGGGACAATCCAAGTCATGGTCTAAAATTGGACATAATTAGCTTTCTCAATTCTTATATGTATTTATTTCAAGTATCATCAAATCTTATTTAATTACAGGACATGGAAAAGCCCTTTCTGCTTCCCCCCCCTCTGCCCTTCAAAACAATTCTGACCAAAACAGAGCCTGGAAAAACAAAAAAAAGCAAATAAAAAAACAAAACAAAACAATACTAGCATTGACAACCAGCACATGCTAACAACAAAAAAAAAAACCCCAAAACACAACGAACAAAAAAACAAAACAAAACAAAAATAACCCCTTCCAAGTAAGTTCAAAGGAATGTTCATCCAGAAAGAAGTTTACACACATTTTTTTTATCAGTAGGAGGTCATATGGTTTTAGGATAGGAAAGGAAAATTTGTATAAAGGAAACAAAGTTTGTGGTCAAGAAATTGGGCACATCAGTCAAAGAATGCTCTTCTGGTGTTTGCACCAAATAAAGTCTCCCTAATCTCTGGCATCATCTGCAATAACAATGAAAGAAACATTTAAACAATTTTGTCGCTATTACTGATAAATGGATGTAAAAAAATTAACTCATATGCTACTTCAATATAGGATATAATTACACACCTGTTTACTCATCATTTCAAGGCGGCTCTCTAATGTGTTTACAACTTTAATCCGTCCTTGTTTTGCTAACAATTCAACACCACCCGCACTGCAGTTGAATAGAATAATAATATAAATATATATACAAAATAATTGCATAAAAATTACAAGGTTGGTTTGGATATGTTTACAGCCAGTCTGTGTAGGTGACAGTTCAACATATTTTGATGCAGTTCTAATGTCACAATTCAAAAGTGAGGCAGGCTGAGTGCATTGTGCAAACCCACAATTGTCTACTTTGTTCCAGCTTACCATAAAAAAACAGAGATTGTTGCTGTAAGAACCACTATGAATGTCTCTCACCTGGCATAGGGCTGACTGGAAACCTTACAAATTCAGAGTGGTAACACAAGAGCCAGAGAAATCACTATTAAACCCTTCCTTTGACCCCTTAGAGTAACTAGTGTCTAATTTCTCCTTACAATATCACCTGTGAATCACATTACGGTCATGAGAATAAAGGAAATGATCAATCACTAAAACAATCTCAATTTCCCCTCTCGAGTAGGCACCCCCCTTCTCCCTCACTTTTTCAAATAGTAGGGATACTAGGAAAACCTGTCTCTTTTGCCACCTTATAACTTTTTAAAGCTTCAACTACAGAAGAATCAATACAGAATAACACTTTGATAATACGCACCCCCTTTGATTAAGCACCCTCCTCTCAATTAGTGACCCTCCTTTTGGCTGAAATTTTAAGTAAGTGCCCGGGTGTGGAAGTATGGTATTTCTAACTGCTCTAGCATCAAACATACTTACCAGTCAGAGCCTAGAAATGTCTGCTCATCAATGCTTAATTCTACACTTTTCTTTGTGGCTTTTTTATATTCCTCAACAGCAGCATCCTTTACACCCTGCATAATTATTAAGATATTATAACTACTGCAATCTTTTAATTTTCATTCCTATTCAATTTTATTATACTGCACTACTAGTCAAGAAGTAAAATTCGGTGTGGTGTTAAAGTATGTTCAAACTTTGTAAAATTTTTATGTTGCATTACACCAAATAGTGGCTTCATTTTTGAGAAGAAAAATCTATTTTAGCATCAACCAAATGTTTACATTGTTATTTTATAATTCTGGTTGTCATTAGGTCAGTTTCCATTGAAAAAAATCTTACAAAATTATGGATTCAAAATTTGTTGAAAGCAAACACAAACTTGCACTAAAAAAGACCCTTTTCAATGTGCTTACAACCAAGAAGTTCAGACATGTGCAAGGCCACATACAATCAAAAATTTTAATAAGGAGTTGAGATTCAGACCCAAATTTACTATAATTAGATTTGTGGATATATCATAGAAATCCAAAGTTAAAAATACTACCTTCACAATATCAAGGTCTTGTTGGCGACACCGAATTGACACAGCTGGCTCCAGGAGCTGAAATAATCCCTGAAGAGGAGACAGTATATTTTCATGAAAACACTTAAAGTACTTATACCAAGTAATTGCAAACAATTACCCTGAAACAATGACAAAATGTGAGGCAGCCACATTGAAATTTAGTGCCCCTGGTATAATCACCATATGCAAGGTGATTATAGTGAGATAGATGCAATCCTCTACCAAAAAGAGTATGCGCACATCTCTTTTCACCTGAGCAATTATGTCTAATACCAGATGTTAGATGAAGCTAAACTTACTTGTGTTATAAGGCCTTTGACAACTTGCGAGTACTGAGTCTTGTCTTGTGTCACCTTACCAAGCTGTTTAACTGCATCATCAAGTATAGCCTGTGAATAACATGCGATAAGATTCATCCACTTAATGGGTTGACTAAAACAAAACCTAGGGATTCCTCTTTTCACCAAAAATTGATAATACAAATAGTAAGAATCTTTCCCTTTATCTACTTCAATCTGGATTGTTTTGCAAGTCTAACCCGTTCCACTTCCGAGATTTCATTTACTTTGTAATTCTCCTTCCTGTCTGCTACACAATTTCCATGAAGCAAGTTTGAAGAATTTTTCACCGGATAAACTAATGATTCACTTCTGATGCTTTTCTTTATTCTCACCAATCATCTGCTTGACACTGTATTATCATTGTAAAGTAAAACTCTGTCTTGGTCACTGATGGGAGGTAAAGGATTAACCATGTAGGACATTTTGACCTCCCAAGTCAAATAGGGTTTAAAGTTTTAATTTCTGATTTGACCAAATCTTGTCTTCACATTTAAAGTAAGTTTGTAATTACCTTGATATGATCATCCTGTGCCTTGAGGGTCTTCAGTCGTGACTGATTCAACTGATTTGATCTCTGACTAAATATTAACATTGACAAAAAATATGTATGCAAAGATTGTTTTCAATATATATATAAATTAGATATATGTTGTCAAAATTGTGTTATATGTACATGTGATTATATGATACACAATAGATTTTGAGGTAAATTTTCTTTTTGTATGCAAAGATGAAACTTTTCATTTTGTGGATTTTCACATCCAAGTACTAAATTATTCATCAAGGCAAAAGATTCACAACATCAATTATTCAACAACAAAAAAAATCAGCTAAAAAATAAATGTTACAAGATATTGTTCGAGTTTGGCTTGGAGTTTTAAATTTTACTTCTGCTTGGTTAAATAACTATACTACAAAAGGAGCCATAGGTACCAAAAATAAAAAGGCTTCAAGATAAACTGAGCTAAAGATTTTTAATAAAACTAAAAGGCGATCAGCTAACAAGCACTCAACTTTTGTTCTCAATAATCCTGTATAATGATTTTTTTCACTACTGGAAATAAAACTAACAATCTCTTGGAAATTTTGTGATCACAGCAAAAATTTACCTTTTCATTCCTGTTTTATTAAGACATAAATTACTCAGTCCCAACATCTCTAAAAAATCTGATGAAAATGTCTTTAAAAACGTGAACTATAATATACATGTATATCGTATTCCTACCGTTAACAATTTAATTACCTACAGTGGCTAAACTACACTTACATTTTCTTTTGCAACTCAACTTGCTTTTCTTTCTTTTCATAAAAAGTCATTATTTTGAGACGCTCCTGCTGTACGAGGCGACCTTTCTCAATATTGAACTCTTCTTCTGCCTAAAAATAGGTAAACGGGACAAAATTGAAGGGGTTGCTTTAACCCTTTACTCCCTAACATCAGTATCCATATTCTCCTTACTACTCTCTAGACATTTCCTAAGGTTCTGACAAGGAGAATTTGTTCGGCAATCATGAGCTTCTTTAGTTGGTGATCATCTCCTTTATTCTCATGACCTTAATGTTTAATTTAGGGATGATGCTGTAAGGAGAAATTAGATGCTAGTCGCTCTTAGGGGTTAAAGGGTTAACCATACTAGATGATACTTTTCATTCTGGGATTTAAACCAGCGCTCCCAAAGCTTTGCTAAGTCAACCAGGATTAGTAGACTTTCCCAGAGAAAAGCATCTTTTTTGATTACTCATTCTTTGAGAAAGCTTCAGACATACCACCCTTTTCTTTGACCACTATAAAGGCTATAAACTAAGGTTGTAATATGGTGCCAGTAATAGGTAAGCAATGGGTAGATCACGAGGCCATCAACAAGAATAAAAAAGGAAGGGGTACTTAAGAGTACACTGTACCTTTCACCTCTATTTTTATTGATATACTTTTTTTTTAAAACTATTCCTAAAACATGATTTTGCCTTTTGTAGAATGATGACTTAGGACCACCTAGATCTCTGCATGAACTTGAAAGAGTATTGGGTATCAGCTGTCACGAGTGAAGATACACACTTTAAGGTAAATGGTGATTTTCACAAGATAAATAGAAGATCTAGGGAATATGAATGTGAACATCCACCCTTTGAGCCGATGGAACCATGTAAAGACATGTTAGGACGAGGGGAAGACGAACGAAAGTAAGAATGGAAAGTTTCAAAGCTTAACACAGGAAAAGGATATAACCCTTGTGCTTCATTTCAATTCAGCACAATCACGATCAACGAATACTTAACTGTTGGTCACAAACAAGAAAGCGCCAATTTTTATCCTACCAGAGAGAAATAACAACTCACAGTGACGTCATTACCAAAAAGGACTCGAACACCGATGAAATGTGTAAGTGTTTCAGCTGATCACACCGGTTCTGGATTATAGGGAGAGTTTAGGCGTTATTATTTACAGAATAAACGTTTTCATCATCAAGGTACCTTGGCGTCGATTTCCTCGACCTTTTCCTTGGCTTCCTGCTCTATAAATGCCATCATATGTTCGATCTGCAATACAAGCGACTCAGGTGTTTATAACCTTTACTTTAAGGTCGAACTGCCGATAACTGCACCTCAGAATAACTCGAACTGTAGGAAAAAGGGATAAACAACGTAGAGACCTACTTGTTTTCGAACTTCAGCGTCGTTAAGGGCCATCCTGATAACTAGTGGAGATGGACCGCACAACTTTAAGATTACTACTGTAAGGCAAGTTGAGAGCAATTTTCTGTCGGCTTCAGGTGTATGCTGGGAAAACAAATTCGACCCAGGCACCTTGCACTCGGTACGCTCTGTCCTTGAAGTACCTGGGGAGAAAAAAAAGCTTTCAGCGGCTGCTACATGTTTTGGTCCTTTCAAAAAGGAGAAAATTAAACATGAGAGCATGAAGCAGGACTTGCAAAGTAGACAATTTCTTATCACTGATAAATATTTTCTTTTAGATGCAAAAAAATGAATGAATAATCAATTAATTGAATATGTAATTTTAATTACCTCTGGCTTATTTTAAATGGACGGTACTGGAGGTTGGAAAGGATACGACATTTCGAAAATTTTCAACTCCGAATACAGTGCTTCTAGTGTTCTGATCGGTTCACTTAACTCCAGTTATCGGCTCTTAGGATCCATCAAATGTTTTTTGCTCATGCGCGATTGGTCTAAACGTATCACTAAGAGGGATATCCGAGGATATCATCCAAATGATTTTCCTGATGTTCGAACCTTACGTCCGCTACGATAAGTCTTCGTTTAAAATTTAATTCAACAAGAGAGAGAGTTTTATGGTTGTTACAGAAGAAGGGAATATTTGCTTGTTTATAAAGTCTTATGTGAGAACACTCAGAGGAAACATCCCACGCAGAAAACAGGAAGCTATTCGTAAAAATTTTTTCACTCCGGTTACAAAACATTTGAAGGATAATAAACAGAAGAGCTTTGTTTTGCGCGAAAATTTGTCTGTTCCCGGAAGCTCGCAGTTTTCCTTAAGCTTCGCTTCCCGGGAATTTGTTCGCATCTTGGAACAGATAATGACCGCAGACAAATATCCGTGTGCATATTTTCGCGCCAAATAGAGGCTACTGTTTATATAGTTCGAGTCACCTTACATGAAAATGTAATGCGCCAACTGTCGCGGAGCTGAAAAAGGGCTCCCTAAATCCAAAAGTTCAGAATTTAGCAAAATTTGATTATTCCATTCGCGCTTGTTGCTACGTGCGTCGTTGGCTATTTACCCTTTCATATCCAGTGGAAATTCATGGAACAATTGTTAGGTACGGCCTCTTATTATTTTGTCAAGGAAAAAAAGTAAATTTTCCTATGAAAAAGTCTATTATCTTCTTTTATTTTTTTTAACTCAGATTTTGGGTTGCGCTTCGCATAGGATACTTTTTCCGTTCGCTCAATCCTTTTTGGTCTTTCAAGCATTTCTACCATTGATTTACAATGTATGTAGATTGCTTATGAGACCAATAAAGTTGGTAAGCTGTCAGAATCCTACACAGCCTGCCAAAAGAGGAATTTTTTCTTTCTTTGCTTTTTAACCGGGTTTGCTGAGTCAAGGGCGAAGCGAGTGACAATTTGAACAAGTAGAGACATTTTTCTGCAAAGAATCAAAGGTTTTTTTTCTAATGTCGCGGTCATCTCATTTAAAGCCTCTTAAGTCATGAAGAAAATTAACAGTTAAAGAAAAAATTCTCACCCGCCCCAAAGTGCCAAAATAATTTTCTACTTACCGTCTCAACATGCGTTGCTAATTTTATCACCTATACAATTAAAAATTAAATATGCTTTGTTTGACTTTCATACATTACATGAAAATGACTTGAAAGGACAAACACACACATTCTCCCGTGTTACCATAATTTTCCTAATTCGATCTGCAACCTAACTCGCTCTCCTTTATTTTTCGTCAAAAACGGTCGATCGATCAGTTTTGTTCGTGCTTTTAATCATTTTGTTTCGTAAAATAAAGACCATTTCCAAAGAGAAAAAGTAGGAAATCTAGAAATGGTTGACTCGCTATAATGGCCTCGTTTCAACAAAGTAAGCGGTCAGACAACGGGCGATGCATTGTGGAAGTAAGGTGAGGTATTGTTATTGAGAAGTTGACATCGTTGCGTCTCACAGCTGGAGCTTGGGTTGCCTGTGGCTCACAAGGTGCCGCTTCAAAGCAATTAAGTCGTTGTCAGGTTGTCTCTAAGAGACCCGACCCGCTTCTGTTGTAATGCTAGAACGATAGGGCGCAGTATTAGAAAAAATCAGTCATAAAAGGACGCTACAATATACATTTCTGAATATTGATTTTAAAGTGTGTCTATTTCCAGTACTTCAAATACTTCCCGACACGATCAAGCCCTTCAATAACATTACATCTACTAGAGTTAACCATGTCAAACTAATGCAAAGTGTGTTGCACTCTGTGATCCTTGGATGAGTAACTAATTAAAAGGGTAAGTGTACTATTCAGTATTTGAAGTTTTCAAGTTTCTATTCCATTTTTCATTTAGAGGCGGAAAGACTGAAATCACTTTTTTGGATGTTAAGTTTTTCCTGTCAAACGTTTTGAAATAGCTTTCTCTCGCCTTTCTACTTTGAACTATCATTAGTCGTGTGTCAAAATAATCTATATTGGAATACATATTGAGTAAACACTGGTGGGTTTTATGTAATTGAAAATAAATGTTCTGGCTTCAAAGTAAACGCTGTGTTCGCCAAGCAGAACGAAGAAACAGGTAAGAAAACAGTGAAAAACCTTGCATGCAGACTCAGATAAAACTGAATAAGGTATAAGCTTTGAGTATTTTATTTGAAACTTATTAAGCTTCTGACCTCTATTGCACATTACTATAAAGCGAATACTAGATTATTTTCAGTCCTACTGAGATACGGCCACGTATAACACTACACTGTTTGTAAACTTTATGAATTGCGCTATTAATGTTCAGGATACAGAAAATTGGCTTGGAGAGTTTGCTTAGGGAATTTTATCCAGCCTCTCACTTACGGAGCAGTTTCGATTTGTGTGTTCCATTTTTAACAAGTCTTCCATTTTCAAAGCTTTTCATGAATGCTGGTGTGGCCTTATTTCCCAAACAGCCCCGCTGAAATTTTTCAATGCCAATTAAGAGAAGCTCGAGCACACAGTGTTGGAATTGAATAGTTATAGCAGGCAACCTATTTGACTCCACAATAAAACTCCACTCCTTAACTGCTTTAGAAGATATTGTTATTATTTATAACGTTTTATAGCGTTTGCAACATTTCAACTGGTTAAAATCAATTCGTTGCATCGTTCAGTCTCAACACTTGTCTGTCAAAATCACTTTTCATCGATCATGGTCGTTGTTCAAAAGGAGGCACAAATTCATCATAGTACTTAAGATCAGCAACCGCTGGAATCTATTTCGTAAACGACACACATTAGTTCTTTTAAGAAAATTTCTAATTTGGATTAGTCTTGGGTCAAATTTACGGCATAAGTATGAGGCGATCAAATGGTATGAAATGGCGTTAGTTTGAAGTATTGCAAATCTGCTCTCTCTCGCCAAATAATTACCTTTTTATAAAACTCTTATCGCCCTCGATACACTACACTTAAGTTAAAAAAAGAGTCTTCAAATACACTTAACACGACGTGATCAAAAGACAAACTCTCATCTCTCAGTGATTAGCACCTCTTTTTCCCTTTCATCAGTCAGACGAATATTAACTCAATTTCATGTAAAACAACTTCAACAGGCTCCAGTTTCTGTATTCAACATCCGTAAGATGGTTTTTTTGAGAAGATTGCTTGGGATTTTTTTGGTATTGCTGGTTTCCGTGATAGAGATTTTTGCTCCTGATCCAGGTAAAACTCATATTGCTAATTGAAATTCATAGGGTGGTTAATGGGTCATTGAAAAATAAGTATTTCATATCGTAAAAGTCGTTTTTCCTTTCTTGCTCTATTTTTCTCAATGCCACAAATAGATGTAAAAACCTTGGGAAAATATCTTGTTGATTTTCTAGCTTGACATATGTGGCCACTATAGCAACAGTATTAGTTGCCGTTAAAAAAAAATGAGAAAAAAAATATTTGTCACATTCACTCAAAAATTAGCTTGTTGATGGTCAGAGTATTTTAAAATGTCATAAACTGTCTAATCCTTTTACGTTATGATTCATTAGGAAAACGTGTTCTGGCGAGACAATCAGACGCCACTTACTCTCCTGGTACCGTGACAAAGAAATTCATCGCCACATATGTTGTTTTGCTGGACAATGGCAATGAAATTGAGTATAGTTATGAGGATGTAACAGCTGTAGTGCATGACACAACTCCCAACTGGACCAGCTTAGGAGATCGCGTGATCGCACCGTCACCAAAAGAAAATACGAGCGAGCAATACCATCTTGGTTTCGTGTCTGATGATTTTTGTCTAGGAAATGACACGGAAACGTATGAAATTACCTTGGACCGAGGACACATAGTCGAAAACTGCACGCTGAATATGTTGCGTAAACTCCCTTTTTTCTCCTCAATTCGCCAAGGTGATCATACAAATGTCAGTTCGACTGACGTTCTGATATCTGCTACCTCTTTGATTTTTAGACGGGGTCGATTGCCGAAGCGGCCTTACAAGAAAGATTAATGGATTGGAAATTTTACCCTTGAAAAGTTTGGGATACAATTTTCAAGACTCACACTGATCATTTTCATTTAAGAACTAATTGAATTGACATAATGTGGAGAATACTGAACTGCAGTAAAAAGTGTGGATAACGCTATCCAACGGATAAATCGCTAACTAGCAGATAACTGTTAACCACAGGTATTGAGAATTTTCCATTGCATAGGATTATCCACCCTTCGAGAAATCATGGCCAGACCTGTGGCTCTACTTAACTGGCATGCTCCATTCTTTTCTCTTGCAGTTGGAGCTCGCGTGTTTGCTCGCGGAAGAGACGACTCTTATTATCGCGGATTCGTGAAAAGAACAAGTTACCATGGAAACATACTATACATAGACGTGCAACTGGACCAGGCGGAATCCATTTCACATCAAGCCAATGACGCAAGAGCCATCATCCTGGATATCATACCATTGTACAGTCACGTGCACGCCACTCAGCGCGTGATTGGCTACTATCCTGGGTACTCAAGTTATCTTCCTGGAACAGTGATCAGACGGAATACAGATTGTTGGAAATCAGCTTACCGTGTCAAATTTGACATGGGGGGACAACGAGATCAGGATTTTCATGAAATTAGAATTCTGCCTCCTTTTGTAAAATTTCTATTTTTTCTGTAAAGGGAAAGCCAAACCCTATTTTTTGCTAAAAGATGGAGGAGACAATGAAATTGAACAGAGCAAATTAAAATAACTAGCGTCACAAATGGATTTGATCAGTTATTGGTTCGAATGCTAACAAAATGCCCGAAGAAGCAACTAGTGGGACATGTCATCCCATGGATAAAAAAAAAAAGTAAACAAATAATGAATAAGGGCTTGTGGTAATTCGCAACATCCTTTCTGCGTCACGTTATCGTCACTTTGTTCTTAATTAAGAGATTTCAAATCTCTATGAATAACTGTTTCACAGCGTTCAACCACCCCTTTCCCCGTGAATTATCTTACGCATGCGGAAAACAAAAACGGCCTCATCTTCATCATTCATATTATTGAGTCACCAATTTAAAGAAAAAAGACGAAAGTATTTGAAACATAAATCTTGGAACTGAACGTCACCACCTCAAAAACTTCGTTTATATCACAGATGACAGTCGGTTTTCACAGAGAATCCAAGGGCTTCAAATCGCCGGTACGTTTATTTTCTCAGTTTTTATCGCGAGAAGCGAAAGTTTTTTGCCTCTATTCTCCTGTGAAGGGATGCAAATTCATCTTAAGTTAGAGCGTACTTATGTTTGAATGTCGTAAGCCATAAACAAAGTAACCACGACAGCCAATCAAAACGATTACCAATCGTCTCGTACCCACGGTCGTTTCGCACTCAGTCGTTTCGTATCCAGCGAGGGCGATTCGGGCCCAATCGGTTGATTCGTTCCATACCCATACTAATAAAGTATGTTTTTTCATGTTAAGTATTTTACAGTAAGAATGGCCGTTTTTATGCTAAAGACGTAAGCATAAAAACGGCCAATAGAAAAACGAATAAACGAAAAAGGGAGAAAAAAGAAAATCTCACTTACACGAGCTGTTATTGTTAAGAAAGTCACAATTATAGACAGTAGACTGTTCTATAAAAAAATATCACACTTACCTTGCGCTAAGCAATGATTTAGTGCTCATGATAAGAAGGTCGCATGTATATACAGCAGAATTTTCTTTGTATCTCACTCTGTTGACCCTTCTAATTTGTCGCACACACCAATCGATATCTGTTCACGTGCTCGAATGAATGCGTATTGGGTCGGGTACAATTCGACTAGCGGTTCAGGTACGAATCGACTCAGAGCGGTACGAGTGTACTGAATTTGGGCATGAAACGACTTAAAACGATCGAGGGTACTAAACGACATCAGAACAATGGAATATATCATAAGAAGTCGATGAAAATTCTGAGTAAAAACGTGCGAACAGCTTGCAGCGCGGGAAAACGCATTCTGATCGGCACTGAGAAACGATCTGTCGCGACTTAGTAACATGCAAAGTGTAATAACGAATTTGTATTACAACCTGGCTTCAATAAATATATCATGTATTGTTTCCTTTATAATTCCTCTGCAGCAAAATAATTGGTGTTTATGAAACAAAACGTTGAATGTGAAAATTGAAATTTAATATCGTCAAGGGAAATGGCTGAGGAATAAAGCGAGACGGAGTCCATAACCGAATAAACATGAAAACATGAATGAAATAAATAACTTAGGGAACACACGGTTAGACGAATAATCAGCGAAGAATTTGTTGAAATAAGATTTTACTATGGATTAAACCAACCTTAAGAAAAAAAAAACAACTCGCTTGTCTTAAAATTTTTTACCATTTCATATATTCTAGAAAAGCGTTGGCTAAATACTCAATTTTCCGGAAAATTATTATTTTTTTATTTTTAATCAATAAGACATACGTATGAGACTCGTATTGAATCAGTATGTATTTATTCAATACCAAAGAAAATTCCGCCTTAACGAAATTCGGTAAAATTTGTTTCTGCTCAAAATGAAGACAAAGTATTCATTGTTAAGTCTGCCGATATTGAAAGTAAGGTGTCTCGTGTATTGAAGTTTGGATGAATAAATTATCAAAGCTGCTGTTAACCTAAATGAAATTAAAAACCATATTCGCGCCTAAGTTCGGCACTTGAACAGCACACTCATAATTGAAAGAAATAATTGACTCATAATTAAAATTTGAAAAGTAAACTTTATTGAAAAATAGTAATGTTGACTGAAAACTCTAAAACGTTTGCGGAAAGATTAAGCAACATCCGGTTAAATAGAAACATTTTCGTCAAGGGAAAGACGTTGGTTACGAAATGAATAATTTTGTAACTTAGAAACCGCAGACTGGAGAGATTTCACTAAGGCTTTTAAAACCATAACCTCTTGTTTGGTGCTAATTGGCACAAAATCCAGCCCATATGGCACATTCTTGACCAATACAAGCGTTTTTCAAACAATAAACTTAAAGCTATTAAATATTTACGATATTTGGACCTATTTTACTGCTTTCCCGTTCTTTTAATTACATTTGTAATTATCTGGAAAGAAAGAAAGCTCTGAGTGTTTTAGCCTGGACTCGCAGGATGCGTCGATATATGATACCAGGAAAGGTAGCCATCAGAGACAGATATTTATTCCTTTGATTCCCTCTGAGTTTCAATGGGCAACAGGTGACTAAAAGGGCACGATAATACCTGACTAACTTTCGTTCGACTGTATTTTCGTAAGATCCTGTTGGCGCGCCGCCGAATGCTTGCTTATCAGTAGCATAATCGTTTTTGGTTCAGTGGGATCGCACCTTTGATCAACAGTTCACAGATATCATGGAAATGAACAATACTAGAAATGTCGCCAGTAATATCCCAAGAAACTTGTCCGGAGATTCGTGTAAAACCGAGATGGAAGGGGTGGCGGAGAAAACGGTCTTTACCGTTGGCTATACAGTGGTCATCTTGGTGTCTCTTGTGGGCAACACTCTGCTTATCAGCACGGTGAAAAGGAACAATCGACTCCATACTATTACTTATCGCCTGATCATAAACTTGGCCGCCGCGGATATACTAGTGACCTTTTGCAACATGCCGGGAAGATTAGCCAGGCATATAACAGGACGGTATCACTGGTTTGACGGTATACCGGGAATTATCGTCTGCAAGGCTGCAAGTTTTATCTCTGATTCAACGGTCTCCTGTTCCATTTTAACACTGACGGCCATCGCATTCGAGCGTTTTTGTCTTGTTACATTTCCTCTCAGGAAGATTGTGACCATCAAGATCGCGAAGTTCATGGTTGTTGCTATCTGGTTGGCGTCCTTCCTCTCTGTATCTCCGCTTCTGTACGCCATGAGCGTCAGGGAAATAAATGGAGTTATCTACTGTTACGAAGATTGGTCGCCTTTGTTTCACCAGGAAACAGCTGCAAAGGTGTACACAGTAATTATGTTTGTGTTCCTCTACGCTTTACCTCTGCTGATCATCTGTGTTTTCTACTCTTGCGTTGTTTATAAAGTATGGATCCGGCCGGTACCAATGGCCTGTCGCTCAAACAGAGCCGTAGAGTTAGACGCACGGAAAAATGTCCTCAAAATGCTTATTATTGTGGTTGTGGTCTTCACATTGTGTTGGCTTCCTTTACACATTGCATTTTTTCTTTACTTTTTTCAAGTGCATGAATATCTCTGCGGAATTCCCCAAGGAGGATTTAGCATCGGGTCTGTTGGGCTCTTCCTCAGCCACGCAACATCTGCAATCAACCCGTGTTTGTACGTGGCATTCAACAAGGATATTCGGAAGGGATTTCGAAACATATTGCTGTCATGTTGGTACACCTGTGTTAGGTGTTGCCGTAAATAATGTCAGAAAACAAACGGTGGTAGGCAGAGCAGAAAATAACTGAGGACGTTTCGGGATGTTTCCAGTTTCACCTGACTAAACTATTAATTCTATGTCTTTCCATTTCCACCGTAGAATTAGTTATCCCTGACACCAATTTGCTCCTAATTTAAAAGAACACTGACCGTGGATGACGTGAAAGATTCTAGCAGTGATATAATGACAAGCCTGATGGACTGTGGAACGAAGAATTGTTCAAGCGCTCGGTTGTGGACTATCATATGCTGTGTTCCAGAGGCTGAACGAGATCAAACTGGTGATAACGAACTCTTACCAGGAATGGTAAAAATAATGGGGCACTGAAAATAACAAGGGACATACCATAACCTTACCACAAGCCAAAAGTTTTGCCAAAATTGAAATTTTAGACAATAAAGATGATTTTAGCCGAGAGAGGATGAGGTCTATTGTCCCAGCTGAATCCACAAGGATCAAAGACTTGAAACGCGATTTTCACAAGAACCGTGGAAACTCGTTGAGCTGACGTCAATCGCCCAAGTTCCCTATTTTGCATCGCTACATTCTCGATCCCAACGATTTCGTTTCTTGACTGAAACGGTACATGAAAACTAGTGGCCTTCACGACGAGAATGGCCGCATTTTATATATTTACTCAAAGACTAACCTGTATTCAGCCTACATCCTCTTTTTGGTAGACGCCATTTTGTCTCCAAAACGAAAATCGAGTGAAGATAGAACTATAACCTTATGAAGATTTGAAAGTTTTAAAATTGTGCTTAGCTCATGTTATTATTAAATTGATACAAAGTTTATTAAAAGAGCAAGATGTATTACCTAGGCAGGGTAAACCACAAACAATGATACGTTATTTACC